AAATATGACAGACACCCGCAAAAACAGGAATTGGGTACTACACCAATTCCTTCATACGCAGGCGAAACTCTTCACATCGACATATTCTCCACCGACAACAAACTATTTTTAACTTGCATTGACAAGTTCTCAAAGTTTGCTGTGGTACAACCACTTCTATCTCGAACAGCAATGGAAGTAAAAATACACATTATACAACTAGTTAATATCTTTCCTGAAATCAGAACCATATATTGTGACAATGAAGCTGCATTCAACTCAGAAATGATCAGATCATTCCTGAAAAACAACTACAATATAGACATTGTAAATGCACCACCGCTTCACAGCAGTTCCAATGGACAGGTAGAGCGCTTCCACAGTACGCTGGCTGACATAGCCAGAAGTCTAAAACTAGATGGAAAAGCCAGCGAAACTGTTGAACTAATTTTGAGATCAACAGTAGAATACAACAAGTCAATCCACTCGGTTACAAACGAAAAACCGATTGACATCATACATGGCACGTCATCAGAAGTCAGACTATCTGTAAAGAGAAAAATTCAAAAAGCACAACAAGCAGTGCTTGACAGATGCAACCCAGACAGACAAAACAGAGTATTTGAGGTAGGCGAAACAGTGTTCTTGAAAAACAACAAAAGACTTGGAAACAAGCTAACGCCGCTATACTCGGAAGAAAAGGTAGAAGCTGACTTGGGAACCACGGTTCTCATTAAAGGGAGGGTGGTCCATAAAGACAACCTCAGATAGTAACTAAGTTAGGCATTAGAACACAAAGGTTTATTTATAACTTCATTGTTCATTCATTACAGGCGTACGCTTTTGCTTCTAAACATGCTTGTGGTAGCGTTCTCTCGAATCTCTGATTACTCACGATCAAACTACATTCCCATATTGGATGGGAACGTACTAGTTTGGGAACGACAAGGGCTTATTAGACACACCAGCAATTTGACAGAGTTTACCAATATTATAGATGAAACAGATAAGTTGTCCGAATTATTTCCCCAATCGCACATGCGAAAGCTTCTAGACGTTGATATAGATCACATTAGAAGTCTATTGTCCGTAGTAAGAGTACATCATAGGACGGCCAGGAGCTTAGACTTCCTAGGCACAGTACTAAAAGTGGTTGCCGGTACACCGGACGCTTCCGATTTCAGGATGATCAAATTGTCCGAGTCAAAGCTCATTGATGCAAACAATATGCAAGTAGTTATAAATACTGAAACACAAAAACAAATCAATCAGTTAACCTCCACCGTAAATGAAATTATAAAGGCCAAGAAAGCCAACTTAGTAGACACCCCACATTTATATGAGGCACTTTTGGCAAGAAACAGAATGTTAACAACAGAAATACAAAATTTAATTCTCACAATCACTCTCGCTAGATCAGGCATAGTAAATCCCACCATTTTTGATCATAATGACTTGAAATCAATACTTAATGAACACCCTCCAGAAGTCCCTATAGTTAACCTGATGGAAGCCTCTTCCATAAAAGTACTCCAGTCCGAAAATGTTGTCCATGTGCTAATCACATATCCAAAAATCAAATCCGTTTGTAACAAGATAGCAATTTACCCTGTATCACATCAACACACCATACTACAGCTACAGGATAACATCATAGCTGATTGTGACGGCGATGTTTTGGCTACTTCAGGATGCACTACTACCAACTTTGGCGCAATATGCAAGGTGGCAAAGGGCGATAATTGCGCTCGGGCTTTATATGCCGGAAGCACGGCAAATTGTCGGTCTCAACCCAGCGACTTAAGAACCATCACCGAAGTAGATGACGGAGTAATAATCATCAATGACAGTTCGGCGAAAGTAAGCGCAGATGACGGGCCAGAAATCAGCATCCATGGCACCTACCTCATCACCTTTGAACGCTCCAGCATGATTAACGGGACTCAATTCACCAACCAACGAGAAATGGTAAAAAAGAGTCCAGCCGTTGCAGGGTCTCCACTTCTCAACATCATAAGTCATGACCCTGTGCTGAGCTTACCGGAACTTCATTTGATGAATACCCACAACTTACGAGTCATCAGCGAGTTTAAAGAAGATCTGGAATCATCTGACTCCCAAGCAAACTGGCTCATCAGCGGTATAATTTTAAGCGCCGCCTTCAGCTGTTTTATTGTCATCTACCACTTTTACAAACGAAAAATGGAATCGAAGAAGGTGCAAGAAGTCATCAACAAGTACAGTGTGTCCGAGGCCGGTCACGAACTTAGTGGGGGGATAGTTAACAAGTAACCCTCGCTTGTTAGAGACTTAGTATTTAAGCTACCCTCGCATGCGCATTCCGCTGACACATCAGAGTCAGCGCAATGCCCCGACACAAAGTCAGTTCTGGAAACATGATACTTGACATTGCGCAAGTAGATTTGTTTATCAGTTATGCTGAGCCGGCATTGCCGGCTATGGGCTTTGTGTGGCTTTTGCTCTAGCTTAGCTTTGACTTCAGTTTCAAGTCAATTTTGTATTCAGTTTAATTTGGAATAAAGAAGACACAACTAGTCTTGAATTATACTCCGGCACCAAGCCGTATTTTTGTTATTTAATTGATACATTGCTGAGCCACAAGGCCGGTAATTAATAAAGGAAACAAAGTAAAGTTTCCCACCGTAATCTTCCTAATTTGGAATTACTAGTGAGTCATCGCTGGAACGTCGCCAGAACAATCGGAGGACGACGTTGGACATCGCGGGATCACAACTTAATAACTTATATATATAAATATTATATACATATACAAAAATTAATATTATAGATCCACTGAATACAAATCTAATAAAAATATAAATAATCAGAAATATTGACTTTTAAAAATAAAGATAAAAAGAATAAAGAATAACAATTATGCTATTTTATTATAAATATATAGGTATATTTATTTTTAATTATTTGATCAATTTGTGAGCATAGAAAATCAAATCTACATTAAATTAGTTCACAATTGTCAATCATAACTACTAAGACAGATTTGAGAGTCTCAAATATAACTAGATTTACTCTTAGTTGATTTGCCGTTCTCATTTATGTAGGTTCAGTTGTCAAGGTTGAGCCAAGCAGCATAGAAATTACGAAACACACCATCAAATATCAATATTGGCTGAGAAGGCAGCAGATAGAGAGATAGAAAGAGACTGCATTTGGGTCTAACTTTTCGCAGCTCAAGTTCAGCAGCAAGAGTGTTGCAACCGCAAAGTTTTGGTATACATTTGAGTTGCTGTTGCTGTGGCTGGTGTGAAAATCAAATGCAGTTTTCAATGTTAAACAAGCAACGCGAGCACCACAGCAAGAGCAACAATTAACGGCAACAAAGAAAATAGTTTTGCATTTAACTCAAAATTCACGTAGACACACTCAAGTCTCTGCGTGTGTGTTGGCAAAGTGGGTTGCCTTTGGATTTCCCAGCTCCATAGGAAGTCGCTTTGGAGCATTATCAAATGGCCTACACTGAAAATTAAAAGTAATTAGCTGCTCGGACATTGCGCAATGCCGAAATAAAACCCCAAAGAGTTAATTACCAGGTGGAGCGGGACGGGCGCTGCGACTGCTCAACATGAATACTCGACTTTAATTAACTAACTTATGTGCAGTTAGTGTATTTGTTATTGTTGCTATACTCAGCACAGTTGACTGCACTTTGGTTCAGTTGAGTCAGCTACGATCGTACATTGCAGTTGATGTTGGGCTCTTCACGTGGGAACTTCCTTATGTGAGTTTGAGCACCTGCTTATTTAAACTGGGCTTTGTCTTTGGTACATTGATTTTCTGCCTGGCTTAACATTGTGAAAGGAAAGACCTCAACGTGCTCATAACTCGTACATCAAAAGGAGCTAACTCAGCTCCATGTGCTTAATCATAAAATTAATAAGTATTGTTTAAATGATAATAGTAGTGCCAATAAATATATATTTTATTTTAGTTAAATTTAATAAATATTAGACTCAAGACTCGGTGTAAAGCAATAAATTAAATTAGTCTCATTAAGCAAATTAAAATAAGAATAATAATAAAAATTGTAAGCAATATTTCAAGTTGCTTGAAATTAAAGACAGCCTTCGTGAAATATGAAATATTATATTATATTATATTCTATTAAAAAATGCTCAAATATTAAAAATAAGTGATCTTCGACTTATGTTTTAAATTCAAAATTAATATATAGATTTCAATTAACAATAAGCTAGATAGATGGACTAAAATAACAGCTAAGCTTGTATGTATTTTGCAGGCTACCAACGACTGCTTGGTTTAACAAACACGCTCATGGATAAGCTAAATCGATTTTAAATCGGGTCAAGCACACCGTCTTTTGGCAGTTACCTACATTAGCTGAAAATCCTTCCTGCCAATTGATTCCGGACATATCATAACGTGTGTTTTAAAACCCCTAGATCCGCATCTACTGTTTCCATTATCATTTCATTAGAAGCATTCCTCATTTTTAAATTAAATTAAAATTGACAACAATTTGTACTTATTGACAATTGACACCAATTGCAAAAATATTGAAAAAATAACAAAAACAACTCTAATTTAGTTGTAATTCAAATTCTATAAGAGGGTACTACATTTTTGAATGATCATCTTGGATCAATGATCAATGAGGGTAAGAAAAAATATTTCATTCATCAGTACAAAAATGCAAATCAATGAAGTAAATATATTTTAATTTATTATATAAAACTCTTAAATATTCTTTAAAAATTCTTACAGTCTTAAGTACTTATTATTAATAAAAAAAATATTTAATATATCAATTTTCAAAATTTATACACCTTATCAATTATTTTATGGCATAGAAACTTATAAAAACGAATAACTTTGCTTTTTTCTTTAAGAAAAATTAATACAAATACTTAAATACCTTATATCAAGAGATTGTATGACAAAATAATAGTTAGTAAAGCTTAAGTTGAAGGCTCCAGTGGAGGCATTTACATTACATCACGCAGTGATTAGGCGAGTGTTTTCTAGCACTGTTCGCCTTTAATGCCGTTGATCAAATAGTCTATGCTAAAGTTTTTGCCTTGCACTGGAAGTGGCGCTGGGGCTGAAGTCTTTGTGGATTGCTCGTGCTTGACCAGGTGATTGAGATGATTGAAATAGGCCGTGGCACGCATACTTTGCTCGACAATCTTGAGATGCTGCGTCGTGAATTCTTTGTACTGCTCCTCGATGGCCAGATGTTCGAGCTTCTTAACGCGGCGACTCATGCGACAAGCGATTGTGTTCTTATTGCGTCGATCCTGATCCTTGGGTGATCGTTCCTTCTTGGGAAACTTTCGCACCATATTGCCATGGTATTTACAAATATCGCGGAGCGCCTCCGGACTGATGGAGGGCGGCAGCGAGTGCGAAGATGAAGCAGATTCCGAACCGTTAGAGCCGTCGCATACGGAGCTGTTGAGACGTCGACGTTTGGGCAGCGACAGTATGCTGGAGCACTGGCTGCTTGTGTCCTCCTCATCCGTGCTGTTGTTGCAGTCCGGCGTATCGAGGCGTGCCAGCAGCTCCTCCTTGATCTGCAGCTCTAGTTCTTCGTTGCGTGGACGCCGCAGATCGAACTTCTTGTGGCGATAGGTAAGCGGATTGCTGCCTTGCATTGTCAGAGCCATTTCTCTAGAGTGATTGGTGATGATGTGCTTGGTTTGTCGTCGTATCGCTGACTGTTGTCCTGCATCGACGCGCGTCAAGTTTATATATGAGAGATTGCTGACTCGCGGCTCTTATCAATTGGGCCACTCTAATCCGCATTTTATGATGTTGTTTACACAAACTGCAAAAAGAAAATCTATTTTTGCAAAACAAAAACAAAGCCATAAAATCAACTGATGACCTGCGCACGTCCCTTCGAACTGCGTCCTGCGTTGTGCGTGGCTGTGAGCGTGCGTTTCGCGCATGCGCCGCAGCACCTTGAGCGAACCCTTAAGTCTCGCCTACCCGCCGATAAGCCTTTTGTGAGTGCGTGTTTGTTCTTGCGTGCTTGAGAGTGACCAGACCTAGTTAATGAGCTGGGCTTAGGTATTCATGAATTCATCTGGCTATCGACTCAAGAAAGATTTGTGTGTGTTTGCCCAGCTCCCTAGGTGGCAAAATGCGCGCCTTTTGTTTGGCTTTCATTCAATTTGCGTTTGTTCCGCAGCCAGATAATTTTTCTATTCTTTTCGCTCTTTGCCATTCTCGCAGTTTTTGTCAATAGTCGGAGGCTGTGCCATGTGTTTTCTTTTCAATTCTATTCGAATTGTTCAATTTTTGGTTTTACTCGAAGCATTTGCGGCTCATTTGTCTCTGTCTGTGTGTGTGTGTTTGTGTGTGTATTGATAAGATATTGTCGAACTGTTTGTTTTTCTTTTTAGTTTCTGTTGTGTTTCCTAAAATTTCATTTTTCTTGGAATTGGCATTACTGGTGCATCACGCTGCTGATTACGATAAGATGCGGAGCCAGCAGCTAGCTGTGTTCTTGTCTTTCACTGACTTTTGATCGGATTGCAAAAGGCAGACACAGACATTGGGCATTCATTACGCTAGCTGATAAGTGGGTCGGCTTTGCTTTGCCCAGATTAATACAATTGTGATGCTGATAAGTAAAAGGGAATGGTGCAGAGACCGGTCGTTTGGCATAAGAAAACTAGATGCGCTCTTGTGTGTAAGATAAGATGTCTGTGCAGTAACATCATTTAAGATATTTAGTCAAAAGTATAAAATAAATATTAAACTGGATATAAATAAATCAAAAATCAATGATATTGCCTTGGAGCTTAACTAAATTCTGCATTGTTTAAAATACAGCTATTTAGGAAATTCCAAATCACATTTACCCTAAGTTTATTTAATTTAATATTAATGTAGTAAATATCTAAAGACAGGTATGGGCAGTTCCACAAAGTACATTTCCAGAATATCTTTACAAATCACGTGGTAATAAAACAAGAGCCATTTTGGCGTGCTTCTAATCTAGTCCATGACTTATAGCTAATATTCTAATTAACTCATACACCCAATAATGCTTATGAGTGCTCTAAAGATATCGAATCTTGTTGTTTACTTAAGTTTTATTCAATTACTGTGAATATGCAGAGTCACTTAATCAGATTTAAAGCAAACAATTTGCTACGGCTTGTCTACTTGGCCGCACTATGCAACCAGATTTGTGCCATATTGAGACCAAAAATAAAATATTTATAATTAGAAATATGCTCAGTAATATTGCAATTATTTAGCTGAAAAATATTTATTTATATAATGAATTCTAAATAAATAAAATCCGTCAAATTCTACCAGTTAAGGTGACTTTCGCATACCCTGTATAATGTTCTACCAAGAACTTGACTCACAATAGAAGCTATCATCAATTTCAACTCTTATATACGCCGATTTGAGAGAGTATATGTGAGATTCATGTTAACTGTTCTGTATATTGAGAATGAGAACGTATTTGTCTCTTTGGCCTTTAAGTTTTTCGCACGATTTCGCTATGATTTATTATATTTTACTCTCTGTGCGCTCCAAGCTCTAGCTGGTATTTGAGGAATGTCAATGGTTGAAACATATGCCTAGTTGTACAGTGTAAACAACAATTAATCGAAATAGGAAAAGGCTTTCATTTTTCACAGTTATTGCATATATGCAAATGCCAATGGCTTTAATCTCAGATGAATCTACACTTTAATTGAGCATTATAAATCGTCTTAAGCATTACAACACTTAGATAAGTATCAGGCGTCGCTCGCGTAGCGGGTTTCTTAACGGCTGGTTGACTTTTAAGTGTCAACCGGGCCAACAGATTCCAATAATCAGTGCGACGAGGAAGCATCAAACGGGTTGAAGCGCATCCAAATCGGACAGCTGCCGGTAGTTGAGCGAGCTTTGGCTGGGCACGACTTTTGTCTAGGGTATTTAATAATGTCGTTTGTATTTTGCTACTGATTTTGCTTTGGATTCCCTCTGCTCAGCGTTGTCGTTGTCATTAGCTTCCGAAGCTATTTTCGTTTCACTGGCTATCCCCCAATCCCTGTGCTCATCACCCGACTGTGGGTACCTATTATAGCGTTGCGTTACTCTCTATTTTCGCCATAAATACAAGGCAGCGGTCGGTCGTAGGTTTCAGATGTTGCTTCGCATTTGCATGAACCGGGGGCGTTGTTGTCGTGCTATCTATCCATCCTTAACTGACTGCAACCCCAACGAAAGTGAAATTTGCGTACTTTAAGTAAAGCAAAAAAAAAAGAAATATAATTTCACTTGAAGAAAATGGCAAGTGTTTTAAGTGCATTTGTTCTGGTGCTGTGCCTGAGCGCGACTTTGGCTGCTGATGAGGGTCTCGGCTTGCCAAACATTGAGTTTAAGCCCATCACAAAATTGGGTGAGTAGAGAATAGAAGACATACATGTGAGGAGGACGAAGTTCGTGTCCTAAGTCTTCTGATTTAAAAACTTTTTTGAATAATTAAAGCATTATTGGCATGTGTCATAGCTGGAGAGAATAACCAAGTTCGTGTCCTAAGTCTTTTGATTAAAAAAAAGTTTTTTAAGAATTAAAGCAATATTAAACTGAATGCCCGCAGATTGCATGTGTCATAGCGGGAGAACTGTTTAATGTTCAAATATTGCTTTATAGAAGTTTTCTGTTTGTGATGTTTGTACACTGTTTGTACCAAGTCAACATCTTAAAAGCAGTTCAATAGTTATGTCAACACAAAAAGTTGCTAAAACCCTTAAAAGTTAAATAAAATTATTGTCTATATGCATTTCCACACTTACACATTTACTCTCAGCAAAGAAAGTATACGTATATGAACTCATACTCGTAAAACGGAATTTCTAAATTAGCCGATAGATATCAGTAATTGCAATGAAATACTATCATAGCGCAGCAGTCGTGTGAAACACGTAAAGTTGTGCGAATTTTATAACAAAGCAATTTTATGCAATTGTATTTGCGAGTATTGGAGCCAATTTACTGCTCAAAACATAGCAACACTTGGCAGAATTATATAAAATTATTTATAAATATGTTAAATGGGTATGGTTTTATATTTAATTTATTATAGATACCTTAATGACACCACAAATGGGATTTAGTAACCAAGAATTATATTTTTACATTTATACATTTGAATCATTGTAACGGTATTCTAGAACACATCATATAAATTTAGTAAATATCCAGCTGCCCTTCAACCGCCGATAAATTTGAATGACCAATTTAAATAATTACTAAAAATGTTTAAAGTAGAAGAGTAGTCCTCTCAGATAGCATAAAACTCTAAGCCATTCAAATTCAATTCAATTCAGATGTGACACAAATATAAACTGATTCTTGGTTACAAAATTTCATCATTTGTTGGTCAGTGTAATTATTCAAAATTAACAATTTGTGTCAATTTAATGAATGATGTTGCCTAAAAAAGGTATAGCGTAATGGTCAGTTATGAATGTTGTGACAAAATAATCAAATAATTAGTATGCATTATGTGAATCTCAAGAAGACTATAAAGAATAAGCCAATAAAGAAAAATGTATATTGGGATAAAGTATACATAAATATATATATATATATATATATACTCTTAATATGGCCAACAGTAATGTGTTCTATAAACATATGAAAGAACAAACAAGTGAGAGCTTGAAATACGCCTAAAGTTGATAGACCATTTCGAGTATAGATGCCTCCTAAACATTGAGTTTTAGAGCATCACAAAAATACTCGAAAAAAGATTTAACTTGGCTTTTTATTTAAAAAAACTTTAAAAATTAACTGAAAATCTAATCATCATTCTTTTAAAGTGATTTTGATAACATCACATGCTGATGTTATTCACGCTTTAAAAGCACAACATTTGTAGATGTAATTGACATTTTATCCGTTTTTTTTTTGAATAGAATAGTTAAGAGCCTTGGCTGATATTTGCATAAAACATAAAGCTCAGAAGCTTTTTGGTCTTTAAGTCGTTATACTTATAGCTCTTGGATTAGCTTGCAGTCAATTGCCACTTCCGCTAAGCGACCTTCTCCTATCGCAGCGAATAGCCTTCAGTACGAAAGATTTAAGCGACAAACTTGATGCGACAGCGCGATATGCGCCATAAATGAAACGCTTCGTCAATGCTCAACGCAAAGCACTTGCAATTGAATGCTGGCATTTTTGTCATAGAATAAATGTGCTTTTAAGTCATTTTGTAAATATCTAACACAACCAACAATTAAATTGAGCGCGACGCTTCGCCGACTGCCGGGCCGGCAGGCGCACGGGAGAATCGCAATTATGCACGGCATCGATTAACAACAACAAAATTCTCGACTAGCTAAAATGTCACGTTCTGAGCATAGGCCGCATAGATCACAGCTGATATGAGATGCGTTTCGATGTGTGTCAAGGCAAAGCTCATAATTTGCTAAATGGGAAATTCTGATTTTAATTTGAACAGCCGACGATATACCGACGTGCCAGCAATCGGACAGCAACATTAATGAATGCATCAAACAGGGCTTTCAGCAGCTGACGCCACGCCTTAAAAACGGCATCAGCGATCTGAACATACCGCCCATGGATCCCTTTGAGCTGGGCAAAAGCTCCTACAATTACAATTCGGGCATGCTGCAGGGCCGGATTGCCATGAGAAATGTGGCGGTTCATGGCCTCAGCGAGGGCATCGTTGACAAGGTGGACTACCGTCAAAAGAACAATCGCGTACGCATGGAGATGATCAGCCATGTGCCCCAAATGCTAGCGGAGGGCGCCTACAAGGCGGACATAAAACTAAACGACATGAAGATAACTCCAAAAGGCACCTTCAACGTAACGCTGCGTAAGTATGCGTCAATATTGTGCACTCAAACATAAATTTATGATAATTACTGTGTCATCCACACACAAACATACCTCTGACATTATAGGCGACGTCAGCATGAAAACGCGCGCCATGGGCGAACTATACGAGCGCGACGGTCACACCTATCTGCGTCTGACGAAGCTCGAGTCGGAGCCCAAAGTGGGCGACATGCGCATCTATGCCAATGGCCTGGTGCCCGACCCAGTGCTAAGTAGGTTCAACAAACGGCCAACAGACTCACTTCAGCTTAAACAATTCGATTTTTAATTGCAGACGATGTCATATTGGATTTCATCAATCAATATTGGCGCCAGCTGTATCAAGCTATGCTACCTGAAACAATGGCCATTTGGGAGCCTCACATGCTCAAACTGGCCAATGAGTTCTTTGCTGCTCTACCCTTCGACTTGATTGTCACCCAGGATTAGCTTTGGGGGCGTCTCTATGTGGTAGTCTCTATGCAATCCTAGTACGGTTATGTGCTTTATTCATGGTGTTAATTTAGTTTATATTCAAATAAAATACAAGTGAAATGGAAATTTGCAATTTAATTACTAAATGTAGTCTAAAATGATTTTAATTTAATTTTTAATTTAATTTTCAATTTAGGCTTACTTAACTTGTCAAGCCGAGCTCGTTCAAGAATGGCTTTGGGCAATTTCCGTCTTGCTGTTTGTCCGTCTTTCTGATATTGAAGCTTGAAATTTAGAGTATATACTAGTGGTAAGAAATCTTCGTCTTATAAAGTACTTTTAAGATACTTCCGTGGTAAATCGGGAAATACTATATCTGGTTTAACAGAAACGCATAAATTAACTGAGGTTTGAATTTACGGATAAATACTCGCGCTTGCAATCCGAAAGAAAAACATTTAGTTGATATATCAATCATATATCAAAATAATCTTTACTTTCCACAGGCTTGGAACCCTACCCCCACAATTTTACAGCTTACACCAAAAATGCATCTTCTACAGTTTATCAGTTATTCCAAATTTTAGGACCTCCTCTGCTGATTAACCAAAAATTATATATATAAATACATCTTGGGGGCGTAGCAATTAAGAAAGAAACTATATCCCCCAAAGTTTTCGAGTTTGACAGTAAAGTTACAGCAGTCTCCCTCTTAACATTTACTAAAAATAATCTAATAGTTATTGCACATTGAACAAGTATTATGCAGCGAGTTATGCCCGGCTGCAACATTTTTACTTGCTATTTTATTTATTTTTCAATTATGGATTAAAACTTGATTTTTGTTTGGAATAATTAAGGACATGTTAAAAAGGACACTTTTTGTATCGATCGGTGATATGAATTGAAAAAGTGTAGGACGACTTAAGCAATCTATTCTGATTTAATAACTGAATAAAAACTTGATTTTATCTTGGAATAATTAAGAAAATCATCAAGTATAGGTTTTATTTGACGAATGTCAATATTTGAAAACTTTATTCAAGCTGCTCATATTTCTTATATAATTGGTTATTAATTTAAATAAATGAATAAAACTTTACTTTATCTTCCAATATGTAACGAAAGCTTATAGAGTCCAGTAAGTCAGGGCAAATAAATTTCTCTTTTTACACGGAGTAAGGAAACATGTCCACAGCAAGATTATATATTATGTATCTATATATCTAAATATTTTTAATCTACTTATTTATTCTTGTAACATGCAAGACATGGCATATACAGGCAGTCAGAAATATGTAATTGAAATTGAAATTATTTGAGTTGTACAAAGTGTTACAATGTTTGGAAACTACTTTAAGTGCTTAAAGTGTACAATTATTAAGCCATGCGCTCTTCCAATGGCAATAATTAAAATTACGAATACTAACACTAACATCATCGTCTTTGGAAGAGACTTGGGCTCAGGCGATTGCAATGATCTATAAATGCATTTTTCCAATAAAATAGAGCGTAGCAGCGCCTGGGCGACTCAGTTTAAGACAGAGCATTGTAACAGAACGTAGACAATCAATCTCTTACTCGAATCGCAAGGAATATATATATCTATTAAAGTGCCAGTGTATTGATTGGAACAGCATGCAGTATATTGCGTTGGTAACGATTTGCCTTTTGACCAGTGCACCTTATGCAGCGCCTGTGGCGTCAAAGTATCTATCGGGTGCGTATACAGTGTATGAATGGCATTGCGCATACCCAGTGTATAACACAGTTTATTTTGCTACTGATAGACGAAGATTTGGCCAAGTGTCCCAAGGATGCCGGCCAGGCGGGAGAGTGTATCAAGATTATTATGAACGAATTGATACCACGCATGCGACTTGGCGATCCCGAACTGAACATTGACCCGTACGATCCTTTGGTCATAAATCGCTTGAGTTTCCAGTACACGGTTGGACCGATCAGTGGTAAAGTTTCGGTTAGACATGTTAAGATCTATGGTTTCGGCGAGCACAAGGTCGACAAAGTGAATGTGAAAGTGAATGGGGATAAGGTCAAGGTGCGAGTTGTCTCAAATATGCCCACAATGAATCTCCTTGGCGAATACAAGTCGGAATTGAATGTGAACTCGCTGCAATTAAAGCCCAAGGGTATCTTCAATCTAACGCTTTGTAAGTAGAAAATAAAATCAGCATAAATATTTGTATTAATTCGCACTATAATTGATACAAATATTTCTGTTGATGAATTGATCCCCTTTAGTTGATGTAGAGCTTCGAGTGATTACGAGTGGAGACATATACACCAAGGATGATCATCAATATTTGCTTGTCAATGATATTGAAGTGAAACCCAAAATTCGTGACTTAATCGCTAAAGCCGATGGCTTCTTTGCGGATCCCGAATTAGGTATATAAGTGTTTGTTTTCTTTGTTTGAACTGTATTCTAACTACATAAATTTGGATTTCCTTAACAGACGAGATCGCTGTAAATATAGCCAATACCTACTGGCGGGACATCTATGGCATTATCTTGCCAGAGACGCGACAATCGTGGGCTCCTATTTTACTGCGCCTGATCAATCAGGCGATGTTGCATGTGCCCATCGATCACTTTATCCAGCCATCCCAATGAGATTCTAACTCCAAAGTGCTTGTATGTACATTAATGTGATAGCCTTTGGTAATAAATTTAATATAATTTAAATATCTTTATTAAATCAGGTTACCTACAATAAAATCCGCACTTACAATTATTTGTCATTACTAAACAAGTTTTTCCTATACCCTGCGCATATTGAACGTGGGTATAATGTTTCTGTGAAAATGCATGTATTCTATTTATCAAGATCAGTCAGTAGTGGAGGCGATCTACATATGAAGGCGTCGAACATATGAGATTTAGACACATGCAATTTGACACAAAGTTCCTTCTATAGCAATAGCCTTATAAAGCGATTATCTTTTTCTGTTTTAATAAAATCGATCGTAACCGTCCAGCTTATCTCGTAGAATTTAAAAACCCATCACAAAATGTTTCATGCTGTTCCTCGTTTAGTTAATATTTAATAATTTATATTTTGCATAGGCATTTTTTTATTAACGGCTCAAAATTCAATAATTAAAATAAGTTGTCCAGCTTCGAAAATCAGAATTTAAAAGTTTTTGGCATATTGAATATTGCATATTTAATTGATTATCTGAAAATTTTGTATCTATAAGAAAAGCTTTTATTACAAAAGCTAAATTATTAATACCACTCGATACTCACTATACGCATATCCTCATGCTCGAAACGATGTTTTAATTTGCAAATTCTATTAACTGCCTTGCAATTAGGATTGTGTAGATAAGTTTTGAGCATTTTGAAGATAGACATTTGAATCTAGAAAGGGATATGCTGCTTGTTCTTTATATAAACAAGTTTCTTTTAAGTAAGTAATGGTATTTCCTAGTTGGACATTGCCAACTAAAGCACTCTCACTTGGGCTAATTGTTAAATAATTAAAGCGGAAAAGTTTTGCAGCGCCTGGTAGTTAAGGCAAGTAAGTTCATTAGAGAGGTTAGATAAAGATAAATATTGACTTAATTATATGAAATTTCTGCTCGAGTTTTGTCATTTGAAATGAAGTAGCTTGTAATAAACAAAAACATGACAAATATTTATATAAATAAAAGTTGACGAAGCTTAAGTCAACAAATAATTTATAATAAATAAATTTGATTTCTGGTCAAAATGTGCTTAGATCTATGAGGCAAGCCAACAAGCCACATGGCTTCACATGGCTAAAGGGTATAATTAGTTAACCGCTAAACGCACAAGCCATATTTGTTGTCAATAGGTAATTATTAAAATTATATTAATGCAAATCATTGTCATTCGAAGTTCAAAAGGCTGCGGCAGTGTGCGGGGTTGAGGCTGGCAATTGTAGTTTTTGCTTGAATCGTTTTCCATTTAATGATTCGGCATTACAATATCTCAGTCGCCGAGCCGGTTTTCAATCAGTCGAAGTCGATGCGCCGGTATCGTTTGTAGATTTATAAGCACAAATTGTAAAGCTTAGTACAAGCGACTAACTTTAAATCATTGTCGTGCCCGTTGCTCGCAATGCTTTTGTGCTATTTCTGAGAATTAAATAGCGCCAAACAGCGTCCGGCCGACTCAGTTTAAGGCGGCTCATTTGAACAGCAGGTTGAAGAGGATTCACCTACGCAAATCCCCAGGAACTATATATACTTAGATATATATAAATAAATAGGAAAAACATGCATTACATAGCGCTTGCGACGATTTGCCTCTTGGCCAGTGGAATCAACGCAGCGCCCGCAGAGACAAAGTACCTCAGGAGTGTGTATTCAGTGTTTAAATTTCTTTGTGAAAACGCCATGTATAACGAGGCTCATTATTCAATTGGCAGCTGATGACTTGCCCAAGTGTCCTAAGGATGCCGATCAGGCTGGAGACTGCATCAAGCTCATTATGAATGAGCTGATACCACGTTTGCGGCTGGGCGATCCCGAATTGGGCATTGAACCGTACGATCCTTTCGTGATAGACCGCTTGAGCTTCCAGTACTCGAGTGGAGCGGTCAATGGTAAGATTTCAGTGCGAAATGTTAAGCTCTACGGCTTCGCCGAGCACACGATCGAAAAAGTGAATGTCAAAGTCAATGGGGATAAGGTCAAGCTACGAACGGTCTCGCACATACCCAAGATGAATATCTTTGGCGACTACAAGGCGGAATTGCAGGTGAACTCGCTGCAGCTGAAGCCCAAGGGCACTTTCAACGTAACGCTGTGTAGGTAGACAATATATCCTTCTAATCGATATATGTATTGATGCATTGGTTCACTATTTCTTTGCAGTTGATGTGGAGAACCGTGTGGTTATGGATGGCGAATTTTTCAGCAAGGATGGACTACGATTCTTGCGTCTCAAAGATATTGAAGCGAATCCCACTGTTCGGGATATGGTCATTAAGGCCAATGGCATCTTTCCGGATCCCGAACTGGGTACGTGTGTGGTCATTTAGGTTCCATTTTAGCTAATTCAAACTGCACTTCGTTCACAGATGAGCTCGCAGTGAGTGTGGCTAACAGCTATTGGCGTGACATCTATGGCATTATCTTGCCAGAGACGCGGCAATCGTGGGCTCCTGTTATGCTGCGCTTGATTAATGCGGCTCTGCAGCATGTGCCCATCGATCAGTTCATCCAACCATCCGAATGAGCTTCTCTTCTCTCCCCAGAACGCTTGTATGTACATACATTGTTGTGATTGCCTTAAGTAATTATTTTTATTATTGAGATATCTTAATTAAAGCAGGTTACCTCCAATAAATCCGCACTTGCTATTTTTTGTCATTATTAAATTGAGGCGCATTGAAACAGGTTTTTAACTTGTAATTTGTAATTTGTAATTTGTTTTGATCATGCTCCAGTTTAGGCACCGATTTCTGTGCCTAAAACGCACCAGATTTTCGAAACGGCCCCCTTCCTAGAGGGCACACAGCTAATGGGGTTAAGTGCACGACTCGTTGACCTTGAGAACTTGTTGCTATCTATATATATATATATATTGAAATATATGTCTATTGTAGGCAGTGCCCAAGTGCAGGCATTAAAGTGAAATTGAGTAAGATTATTTGCTACGATTTAAGTAGCCAACAGTTTTAGAGTAACTGCCAAAGGTATATAACCAGCTGGACAGACACTTTGTGTATGTCAAAACTACTGTTAATGTATTATAATTCATATTCAACAACAATCGTGACTACTTAGACGCTGTTTATGACTTCATTGAAAACCTTTAAGCCATTGATGTCAATTTTACTTTGATTAGGGCAAAGATCAGACTGTTTGTCGAAGTCGAAACAGTTAAGTTTGTAATTTATTTTCTATATATTTGCATATTAGAATTTTTAATGAAATATATAATATAATATATATTAAATTATTTCAAACAATCAACACACTCAATCTCTTCCTTATGAGATAATTGTCCAGGTAAAAATGCAAGCAAAACCCACCCTGATGCGTTCTTTACCTTGCCTGCTCCAGAGTGTTTGGTGAACATTACAAGTTAGAATTCCCAAAGAGTTCATGCATATCTTAGATTAGATCAGGAATGGTTTTTAGCTTCCTTACTCTGGCTTCTCTTCAGTTGTCGAATAAATCTTTCGCCTTTTACTAAAGATTTCCGTGGAGAGGAGCACTCTAATGAGTCTAAACATAATTTTTTGGTTGTGTCTGACAGCGTTTGCTGTCAGGCCATAATTAATAAATCGAACCACTCTTGTCTCTATATCAAATGTTTTTATTCTTGTTAGGCTGATTAAGGGATCAGAACTTGGCACAACCTATTGGCTAGAATGAGAATTCAGAAAATACTGCAGTCTGATGTTATATAATATCTATAATTATTCAGGAAGAGAAGAAAGTAACATCGATATATTATATCATTCGCTGTCTGTCTTAAAGCTAGGCTGTTTAAAATGTTAGATTTACAACAATATATGTCTGTGTACCCGTCTGATCAGCTTTAATGATTATTCCTATTCTACCACGAAAGGTGGTGGCTAATCTAGAATCATAAATTACAGCCAAAACTGTAGTTATATGAATAAAATATATGTTTATATATAAAAGCAACCATTTTGGCCGTAACAAATATTTCTTTCAGGTGTTATAGGGTCAATAAATATGGTCACTCTGGATGGTTTCTTTTAATAGATTAAACATGTAATGGAATATTATTCCATTGGGGGATTATAAATCAGAAAATATTGTAACTTTCAGTATTTTATGTGTTTTAATTTATTTACATTTATAGAAGTAGGGACTTTTTCATGACTATCACTGTTTGTCTTCCGAAAATATTGACATTCTCTCTTTTTATACAGATTATAAAGGTTTTATGAGCATGCACAAAATTTTGTTAAAGTACATATTATTAATCAGAACAACAATCTGAGTAGTTCTTCTGTCCGTCCACGTGAACGTCATGATCTCGATGGCTATTTTGTTTGTCGTGTAGTTAATGAAAGCGTAGACTGCTTGAAATGGGAGTTTTGCGCAGAGTTCAAGGTGTCCTCTAGTCGCGCATTCCCGACTTGTTTTACATTGTTTTTTCCCTACTTGCTGCTAATAAATTGATGCAGGTCTTAATGAATGATAGAGTCGCTATCGCCTTTCTCCTGACAGATGATAATAAATCAATCAATGTAACAACAGATATTTACATTTATTTATATCTTATTTGAATAAACCTGGTTATAAATTATCTAATACATATTGCTTACACTTACAGTTTTAGAAGCACCAACTTGGCTGCAATGGCCAAGACTACGTCAACGAACCTGCTCGATTAGTAGTTTTTGTTAAAGGCAAACGTGAAGGTCTGATCAACTGGGCAAAGAGTTCACATAAATAATATAGTTTATAATTGAAGTTTAGCATAGTTAAGTGCGGTAATATTCCGCTGGGCACCATTTAGCCACCGGATCGGCGTTAACTATGCCATAAATCAGCTATTATAACTAAGCACTGCACACGCTTTTGCATAGGTTCGATCGACTCAGATGCGTTATGCATAGTAAATATTGCTTTGAATATACTATGGATTATGTATATATAAGTATATAACATTTGCTGAATGAATATGCTGGGCACACGCTCGTTTGTCGTCTGCTCGAAGACAGGCCAAGCATAATAAGCTTCTGATATTTGTATTTTTTTTTTTTGCTTAGCCAAAACATATTATGACGCATCTGCCAAATTTGACACTGGCTTAAAAGGTAGAGCTGTGAAGCACCTGCAGTGCAACGATCTGGTTTACAATTATTTCATTCAGTATACGTTTTCATAAATCCTGAGCACCTCACGTCGATCACCTTGAAAAGAAACGCCAAAAAACTACACAAGCTGAAGTGTCGTCAGCTTTCGAGTGTAAATGGTGCTAGAGATTTATGTGTGGCCCACATTTTACATGACCCATTCCTCGAGCAGGCACTGTGCCCGAACAACTGCGGCAATGCAGCTAAAACTGTAACTGGGTTTGGCATTGGCATTTACCTGGGTGTGTGGTAAATGGCAGCACGTTGACAGCTTCCTCATTGTTGTTAGATCGACTAATTTGTAGACACAACCTTTTGATTGTTGATTGACATAATCTCAAGCATTTAGTTTAATGATACAGTTTTGTTTACTCTACATGAATTTATTTTAGATTTCATTTTGTGAAAACATTACATATTAATATATATATAAAATGTTGTATGATGTAATTTCAGAGATATTTATATTGAAATATGGATGATATTTTCTCAGCAGCGGAAGTCTTTCCAATAAAAACAGATTTGTATATAAATTGACAAAATACATCTATTTTCTTAGACTAAAACCTTAAATGACATTTTGCTCAAGTTCAAAAAATTTTATCTCAAAAAAAATTGTGCATTAAAGAAATAAATGTTGTTATATCTATAAAAAAAATAATATATTACAGCGAAGAAAATAAAAGTAAAATAAAATAAATATAAATATGACTTATGAGTTTGTTCGAGAACATATAAAAAAAATCTAGTTGATATATATATATATATATATATATATACAAAATATATATATGTATGGATAAAATTTAAAAAAATATAAAAAATAAATTAAATTGATAAAATATTCAATTAAAATATATTCTCAAAGGAAATAATATTTTAAAATATTTAAAAAATATAATATAAAAAAAATATTTTAAGCCTCGATTGAACAAAACAATATATATTTAAATAAAATATATAAAAGTATATACGCAAAAACTAAAATGGATTAAAAATACTATGGCAGAATTTTCTTTCACTGAAAGTAAGGTCAACTATATAAGTTTTAAGTTTTCATAAAAATTTGTTGTGTGCTTCATTCCAGACAAAATAAAGATGCCGATAAAGTGTAGCAACCATTTAATTTTACTAGACTATATATAGTGCTGATTTCGTTTGAATTATTTTCATGTCTAGACTTCATTTCTGATTTAGTACACTTAGCATTCAAGGGGGGCTCTAGATTGTGCAAACTCATGCTGAGTATTTTCAGTGCAGTGCTGCTCAAACTGTGGCGCTCAAGTTCTCAAATCCACTGAATAGCTCAACAAGACAAAAGCTTCGAAAGCTCAATCATCGCGCTCCGAAAGCCTTCGAATTGGGTATTTTGTTGTTTTTTGTAATTTTTTTCGGCAGCGCGCGCATGGAAAAACTCGAGCTGAAAACTATAAATAAACGTAGCTTTTATGCAGCGCTCATTTGAAGATTTGCAAGCGGCGGGCCGTCAACGACATAAGTTCGCTGAATTTTGTATCTTTGGCAACAGAGTTGGCTAGCTGTGTGTAGGTGTGTGTTTGACACTGTGTGTGTGTATGTGCACAATTGCAGCAACAATTGCAGTTAACCGAGAAAACGACAGCAACAAAAACTGTTAAATTCGTGTAGAAATAAAAGTGAAGCCGGTTTTCAAAATTACGCAAAAAAAAAGGCAAGCGAAAATTGCCCACGTTTGTATATTTGTATGTGTGCGTGTCTGTGAGTATTTTGTGCATGTGTAAAATCAAGCCAAAAAATTCAATTAAAACAAGTTTATATTGCCAATTGTGAAAAAGTGTTGTCCAAATTGACAACAACAGCAAATTAAATATCTTAAAGAAAGCAAAAAGAAAGATATGCAAGCGTTTTACATTTTGCTAACCGTCGCGACGGTCGCACTCGGAAGTGCCGGGTCCGCCACGCTGCCAGCATCCGGTCCCACAAACGAGCAGGAGGCGGAATTTGCAACCACCTCCTCAACAGTCTCACAGTTAGATACAGGTAGATATATATGTATATACAACTTTGTTTGATATGCTTATGCAACTTTGCAAGAACTTGATATTAAAATGAAAAGCGAAATGAAAACTCAAAGCTTAAAAACACGTTTGTTGCAAAAGTCTTTCATTTTGCATTAAGCGTCACTTGGAAATGGAAATTCAAAATGAACTAATAATCGGTTAGGTGGCAAATTCACTAATATTTCTCTATGACATATTTGAAGGCTTTCGCTGATAATTTCGGAATAAGCTCGTTGGAATTCATAACAGGAAATGTTGAGGCTGGACTCGCTTATGAATTTGGTAGAAACAAATTTATATGGGATATGTCGTCGATAAATTACAAGATTTGTATATATGATCCACAGAAATACCTTTAAAACTTTTTACAGATCTTTTAAACAATGTTCAGTAAATTTGTAAGGAATTGAAATAGTTTTGTAATTTCCTATACTTCAGCCGTCGGCCAGTTTAATAAAATAACTTCTCCTATATTTTGTATTACGACAACAGCCTTCAGCAGTCCGTTGGCAAACTTCTCTTAACGTGTGATTTTAATGAGATTTCATGCGCAATAGCTAAAGTAAATATCTGTAGAAATTAGCAGGTCTGCTGGCCAACACAAAAAAAAAAAAAGAAAAATAATTTAATAAATAAATACTTTTTATTTATTTGACTCTTAACACCCGCGAGTCAGGCAATAAAAATATCTGCGCCACTTGAACTTGACACATATTTTCGTTTTCATTTGTGGTCTACCTTTTTATTTTTTTTCGCTTGTGTGGTAAAAGTTATAAACCGCGGCGAGGCAGCACTGAAAGTGAATGCTGTAATACAGCGGCTCGACGGAGGTGCATGTGGCTTGTGCAAACATGAATTCTCGCGCGAAAAAGTTAATTTGATTGATTATGCAAAATAAATGGCAGAGAATCAACACAAAAAGCCAACCTCAAATATTTCCAATTGCATTAATTAAATCAACAGCGATGTTAAAAAAAATTATGTATATATATATATTTGAGGTATTGCGAAAAGAGTTCGCGACAACAAAGAGGCTTACAATATATATATGTATATACCAACAAGCAAATAAAAAACAAAAACCGGCTGGTGGTGCGCACATTTCTCAAAAGCACAAAGCTAAAAACTGACCTACATCAATGCGAAAACAGCGTCATCGTCGCTGGGCCTTTGAGCTGAGCGACGCTAAAAGTTGCAATTGTAACTTGTATCTAATTGCGTAAAATGTCGAGCAATAGCAACAACAGAAGCTCAAGAAATTTATTGACATTTGCACTGCGACTTATGCAAACGAAAGACTTAGGCAACGAACTTCATTTCAGCTATGGGAATAAATTAAAACACTGGCGTCGCCTCTTTAAATTTGACACCTGACTGAACATATTTAGTTCAGTTCAGTTTACTTTTGTGTGTCGTTTTTTCGTTTCTTTTTTGAGCTGTTTCACCTTTGACATTGAACTTGTCAGCAAAACAGCGAAAAAGATTCGACTCCAAAACACGCAAACGTTCAAAATTTGGCAGAATAATTACAGCCATCCAACTTGCCTAGTCAAATCGCCGACATAATCACACATTCATCACAGTTGTTAACAAAAATGGAAGCTGAACAAAGTCAAGTCGAAGTTGAACGTAGTTAGCGACTTTTTAAATAATTTTGGATATTTCTATGCTTTAAGTGCACAAAAATAATTGCAATTAAAGTTTCTTTTTTATTCATTCCGCTTAGAAGATTAAAGACTTGAATGCCATTTAATGAGATATTTTTAATATGAAAGAAGACAAATTTAAGTTAAATAGCTTACGCTTGAGAGGTTATACAAAAGGTATGAAATGGTATATATATATATGTAGACATATATACATATATAGATATATATACAATTTTGACTTAAAGCTTAACAATTCTTGAAATTTATACAATATATATTTCGCTTTTTAGCATGCTTATTATCATTTAATGTTATATCTTAAATGATATAGAGAAAGACTTGCCTCAGTTAGTTTTCATAAAAAGTAAATTGTAAAACTAAATAATATATCCAATATCGAATTGACTAAATGGGATTATTACTACTTTACATAAAGTAAATATTTTCTCTCTAGTTAAATCAATATGGTTTAATTTACAATAACGTATTCTAGGATTTTCTGTTAGCAATTAAAATTTTAATTGTTTCAGTTTATTGACGTCAGTCATTGACTTCTGTTTTGGCATAAATTGACAAAATGGCAATTTCCTGAACTAAACTTAGTGTCTGCCTATTTTTAGTTTGTTCCACAACTCGTTCATGTCTGTAAACTGATCATTAAACTGCAATTGGCTTTGCTTGCTTCGTGTGGGGCCCAGTTTGGAGACCTTGAGACTGCGACGCGTCATTTTCACTTGTCACCCTGACACAAGGCACGCAAAGCCAACAACAACAGCAACAACATTAAGCGACGTAATTTGAATATCAAAATTGAAGAAAAGCCTGTGCGGGGCATGTCAAACTGCGAACTAAGCGCCACGCTTGGCTAAATGCCTCGAAAGGCGCTATGCGCAATGATGCATGCCTGGCTGAGCTTGGCTGTGTCTATGTCTCAACCAACTGACTTTTGGCATTTTGGCCAACATAATAACTGCTTTGTACTAAGTCTCTGGCACTTTCACTACTCTTGCAGCACCACAAACGCCATTCGGTGGCATCGCCCCGTGCAGCCTTAGCTCTGCGGAACTGGATGTTTGCATACGCGGGCTCTTCGATGCAGTTGTGCCTAGACTGAAGTATCAGGGTCTGCCAGACTATAGCCTGGGCTCAATTGATCCGTACTTCTACAAGCGTGGCATCTTTCGGTACTCGAACGATGGCATACAGGGCGGCCTGCTCATAAAGAACATGGAAATTTATGGCATCAGCGGGCTGAAGGTAAACAGCGTGTCATCCAATTTCACGGACAGCGGCTTCGTCATCAAATTGGGCGTGGAGCTGCCACAGCTGAAGGCTGGCGGTTACTTTAAGGCGGATGTCAAGTTTGGCGGTCTGCGTCTGGTGCCCAAGGGACCATTTAACATTACCATTGGTAAGTAAATTCTCTAAGATGCCTCACCAGAGATTTCAAATAAAATATCTTAATTGACAGATGACGTCAAGGCCACGATTCTAACTGATGGACACATTGAGCAGCTGCCCAGTGGCCAACAGCGCTTGAGCTTGCATCGCCTGAATGCGAGTGTGAATGTGGGCAATGCTCGGATCTTGGCCAATGGCATCTTTTCGGACCGCAATCTAAGTGAGTCGCTGCTCTAGACGTTATCTATTATTTCCTAATCAATTTGCTTGGCTTGCAGATGCTATGATCCTAAATTTGGTCAATGAGAATTTGCCAGAGATCACGCGCGTCGGTATTCCCGCCACCCGGGAGCAGTGGGCGCCCATTTTGGTAACGCATATCAACGAGTTCTTCGCACCGGTTCCTATAGAAAAGTTGTTGGTTCAGTAAAGTGCTCAAGGCTCCAGTGTTTGCATTTTATAGCTAATTAGTTTTTAATTATTATATAACGAAATATCATTTAATTTTAATGCTGCTTCCAAATAATTACCCTGCTTCTCTTGAATTGTCAGCGAAACGAAATTTATATTTATTTATATGCTTCTTCTTTAGAAATATCATCTTGTTGCACGTACTTTTGTTCAAACATTTCAAAATTATTAAATTCTATTGTCTAACTGACAAGCAACGTACAAAATTGGTTTTTCGTAAAACTTTGTTTATAAGTCAAAAGCTAAAGGTTTGACAGGCATTGGATTTTTGCTCCCAAAAGCAGGCAACACAAATGGAATACATGTGGTGAACCAGATGAAATTATATCATAGCATACTTTACAACTGAATTAATTTGAAATATTCAACTTGGACATAAATAAAACAAGCAATGAAATCTCTGTTGGAAAATCTGAATTTAACGATTCTAATTTAATATAATTGAACTTAAAGGGCTTAACAAAATATGTTTCCCGAAATTATAATTCCAATCCCTATTTAGATACTGACTAGAATCTAATGGTAAGATCAACAATGCATACATATCTCTCTCTCTCTCTCTATTGACATTCATATATATATATCTATATAGTATATATGTAATATTTGCAGCTTAAGAAATTTGTCAGTCTGCACAAATTGTATTTTAAAACAAAATGCCAAATTGTTTTTGTATTGTTCAAGCTCTTTCCCCAGCTCTTACCCTGTTTGGCATGATGTCTGTGCGATTCATTGAATTACTTTCGAAAATTCAACACTCCAGAGCGAATCGAGAACACTTTGTGATCAATCAACAGGCAATTGCCCCCTGGCGTCCAATTATAGACAATTAGTTGGCAAAATATTGATATGTGCAGCCCAATTGTTTACTGCCAGCCATATGGCAAAAAGGTTGAGGCCACCGTGGCCGTGACACTCGAGAACGTCACATCAATTCAGCTCATTCAGGTGGGTGAGCTTTTTAGCCATTGTGCGAGTGGATCAAGTGAGCTGGCCAATCTCTCGCAACAATTGACTTAATTCCAGATATTTTTAACACATCATGACAATAGAATTTCGATCTTCATTTATATTTTAATTGAAATCTGCATGACATTTGTCTTACACCCTCACACCTATTATAAAAATTGCACAAATTATAATTGATAGCATTCATATATGTATACAAATGGCTTCGGTAGAAAGCTTAACTGAAATGAGTTATTTCTGAATTTTGCGAGTTTAATCAGCCTTAAGATTTTGGAATTGAAAGTTGAGCAGCTTATCGAACCAAAGGTATACAGAATTTCGTAAAGATATTTATATATAGATATATTTATATATAGATATATATGCTTATATGTATACAGGTATATATGTATGTATTTACATAATTAATTTTTGGCTAATCTCAGGTGAGAGTCTGCATTAACTTAAGTGTGAAAATGTGGAATTCTCACTTTAAAACTATGAAAAATATAACATTTCCTATTTAGCGCAGTCGACAGTAACTCGATTATCGAATATATAATTTTCCAGCTTTGAAATTAGACAGAATTTTTCGATTAACAACATTTGCAATGGTCGTAGATATATATATTCTCATAACATTTGCAGCCTATATCACCAATATACAGTTATTCTATTAGGTCAACGGATCAGCAATGCCCCACTTTCCATTGAAATATAATTATAATTAATTAATTATAATTAATAGAAATTGAAAAAACTGATAACAAAAAATCTAAAATATGATTATGAATACCAAAGAGCATAAAGACAAAATGAGAAGATTATTATATTAAAATATATTATTATTTAATAATATCTGATTTAAATATGCATTTTGAAAACGAATTTTGTGTCAGTGCGTTCAAATAGCCAGCGTAGAATGCAATGATGCAGTTGTCGCTCTAACAGTATGCAGCCATATAATATTCAGGTCTCGGTCTAAATCCCCGTTTGTCCGCAACTGGAGCAATGTGCGTGTGCGAGCTCTGTGTTGGCCAGTCGATCCGAAAGCAGTAGGCAAACGAACAGGAGCAAGTGTAAGCATTTGAATAACTTGTTTCCAAATGCAGGCTGTGTTTGCATTAGAGATAAGCGAGAAGGTAACCACAAGACGACCAATACAGATGTGACCGTCTATCGGGTTGCAAAGAACAAGCAAATCAATACGCAAAAATAATTGACGTTTCGGCAGCGTCTGCGTCTACGTCTGCGTTTGCGTTTGCGTCTGCGTCTGCGTGTACGTCGCTGTCTGTGCGGTCGCCGCCACCGCAACCAGACGATGGCAGCGGCATAGCTGTTAACCAAACTTCGCTGGCATCAGTTGGCTCAGAAGCTTGCGGACCTCGCTAGCCAACGGTCCTGTTTCTAATAAGCGCGCGAAGGCCAAACGATATCGATAGCGAGCAAAAGAAGAACCAGGCGAGAAAATATTCTGAGTCGTCTGCCCGCCCAGGTGAATGCCATCGGGCAACGTGCGTCGCATTTTAAAGCAAGGCGCGTTTCGTTTGTGCGGTTTATATACTATATTGTAACATTTATATATGGTCTGCAATTCCCGCTGAGTTGAAACGAAAACAAAATAGTAAAAATAAGTATATAAATAATAAAAAAAAAACAAAGTATTTTGCTGGCAAAATGTTTGCATTTTTGCGAATTTTATTACTTTGTGTGCATTTGTTGCATTTTAAAACGATATTAGCCGAGGATGTGCCATCGATAAGACCAACGACAACAGCAACAGCAACATTATCGGATCAAATTCTACAAACAAAGGCAGTTGAATCCCTAGCCGCGTCCAATGCTACATTCGAACGAGATTTTAATGCCCCCGAGGATGGTGAGTAACGCTCGAGCTAAGCAATGTCCAAATAATAAAAAGTGAAATTCCGACTCGAGACATAAAGAATTCCGAAACGCAATCACTTTTGAGATGTTGACACTTCTTTAGTTATTATTCATGAATAACAAATTAATTAATATATATATAACTTTGTACTTCTTATAAATTATAAAAAGTATCACAAAGGTTCTGAAACTAATTTTCCATTTCAATTCAATACGAGGCTTGACAAAAGACTTAGGCAACAAACTCGCAATTAAATGATCAATTAGTAATTTCTTATAGTGGCTAAAATAATGAAAATATTAAGGAAAGACTTGCAAAAGAATATCACAACTTCAATTTCAAATTCAATTTTAGTAAGTAACAAAAGACTTAAGCAACAAACTTGGAACTAAATTCACAGTTATAAGGACTTAGATTGAGTAACTAACTAAAGCTCCAGGAGGAAGAATACAAATTTGCCAATTGCAGAATTTAGACAACAATTATTTATACTCCAGAAATCATTAAATTACCTAAATTTAAACAAGATACATTCTAAAAATGGAAATGAAAATTTTTTAAAATTAATGGAAAAATGATATTAATAATCACTGAAAATGGTATATAAGTTTTTAACCAACTTAAATAAACTCAGTTAAAATGTAGAATAAAATTTTAACAACGATTTTCATGAGATACAGAGAAAATCCAATAATTTATTAAGATAAGCCTAAGCTTATGTACCCAAAAGGATCTATGGAATATCAAGTATATGTAATTGTAAAATCATTTCAAGTAAGCAAATGTCAAGCTCCGTTTTTACTTTTGTTTTTTGTTATGCATTTACATTACGCGTTCTTAACTACTAAACATACGTAATATAAAAGTTCAACGACTTTTGCTACGTCCGATAAATTTATGCTCGGCACGCAATGGTGTATTGTTGGTGTGACCTTCAGAAATCTATAAATTGCCTAGTGAAAATAAAAAGAGAACTCCAAGCTTCTGAACTACTCTTGTTTGCGTCCGCCTCTCGGCTGCAGCCCTTTGAGGCAGTCGGCAGTCACAGACGCCAACTTTCTATTCTCACTTCCGATTTTGGCACAAAACATGTCACAGTGGAGGCGTCTTTTTTAGAGCTTTCAGATTTGGTGTACTTATACGCAATTGATGGGCTTGTCGCATGTTCCAGTCCCCTTTTATTTATAGCTTACAAAGGAGGCGTGATATTTGATCATGTTGCGCTCTGAAAACATCGCGACGATTTAAGCCTATTAATGTATTTTTTTGTCCATGTAATTTAACAATTGTCCACTCAATTCCATAAGAAATTGGTCTATTCTTTGTATAATTAAGTTGCATCCCACAGAGGGCATCAATTTGCTAACTGACGGTTGGCAGCAGCTGCAGAAGCCAGCGCTGACAGACATCGCCATAAATTTAAGTTATATGGACACGCTTGCCTATCCATATTCATATTATACAATTCAGAAGACTTGGCCCTTAGCTCGGCTCAGCTTACGGGTCCTGCAGCTCATTTCAAGTTTTTGCGCCAGTCTGCGCGCTTATATTAATCCAGTTTGATTTGCGCAGGGTCTGCGAATGACTTGGCTAGCAAACGGACCTTGAACTTGTGGCTTGGCCCATTGCTGCTTTATCTTGGGGTATCTTAAGTATCTTATGCCCCACGCTTGACACTAAAGTTAATAAGTTTGTAGCGCTGGGGGTGTTTCTTAGCCATATTATGCCTGCCTGCTTCGAATCTTAAACAAATCTCCAATGTAATATGTAGTAAAATATAATATCAAGTAATTCAACTTAATGAATAAGAGGCTAATGAACCTTAAGAAAAATAAACTATTTAGCTAGGCAAAGTTTTTTAGCAGATCTGCCGCTCTATTGACAAATCAACTGAAGAAGAGGAGGAAGAAGACCAGCCAATATTTACTTAAAATTCGTTCACGCTTCGAGTTCCAGTTCGAAGCTGGGGTCCACACCACGACTTATTATGTGATTACTCAATATTTTGACATTTCTGTACGAAGAAATTTGACAAAAAACAAAAGCCAGAATATTGACAATAAACTTAAGCGCTTTTCAAGCTGAATGACAATTGCTGTGCCATTTTTTCCATGTCTTGGCTTTTTCTGCTTTTCTGTTTTACTTGTTTTTTCAGTTTAATCTTTTTTTACTGTGTTGTGCGCCTTTCAACGCACAATTGACAACATTTCTTTGTACAACAGCGTGTCGCTTGCCCCTAAGCAACTTTCTACTGTCACTTGTCATATTCATATCTGTGCGTGTGCGGGAGTGTGCGTGTATGTGTCAAGCCCATTGGCAACTTCTTAAAACTGATCTAGGCTGCTATTGTTGGCCGTCTTTGTTCCAGCTGCTCTTGTTGTTCTTGCAAGTTAACATAAATCTGCCATTTGTTTAATTTATTTAGCATTTCGCGTGTGGCCCATATTATGGCCGAACTTGATTTATGCGTTCACTAAAATCTTCGCCTAAACGAGTCGTTTAGTTTACTCCGGCAGTGTGCGTGAGTGTGCTTTATGAGCTAACAGTCTGTGCTATATCATGTAACAAATAGCTGAAGCGAGCTTCATAACTGCTCAGCCTTTTGTATTCAAGCCATTCCCAAACATTTTGCTTTAGTCATACATAATTAACACATCAGATAATATTTTTATATTCTGTGAGAATCTGCAAAAATAAATTTTTTTATTTCGTGGCACTTCATTCAGCTTGGCGTGTCAGTTTTTTTATACATTGAGTTAGGCTTATTTTTAAATAAAGTAGGGATTATACAGTGCTCATAATTTTGAATTATTTAGTATTTAGTTTTCCCTCACATATTCTTATCTAATATTTTATATATGTTATAAATAATTTCAATAATTAAAAAAAAATTATTTTTTATACCTAATCAGTTGAACCGGGCTGTATGTACAGGTCTTTAATGCGTGAACAGATTTTCTGCCAACCAAAAAACAAATTGAATCTAGGTTTATATTATGCGCTCGTCTACAAATGTCTTATAGCTTATTGCGCTTTACAGTAAGAACTAAAATGATATAATTAATTTTTTAATTATAATGGAAAACTAAAATGAGGCCTTACAACATCAACGAAGTTTAATGAAAGAGTTAAGAATATGATTTATTTTTAAACCCAGATTACAGATATTCTTCAGCAACTTCAGAATTGCTCTAAGGAACAGTACATGATTTAAAAGTCGTTATCCAGTTGTCGTTCAGGTGTTAGTTGGGTGTTATATTAATGGATACTTAAATGTGCATAAAGCTCGATCGACTGGAATTCGCAGATACCAAACTGCACGTGTTTCTGCCCTGTTCGTAATGGAGACCACGTTGACGACATGTTGCGCATATTGAGTAACCATTTTGTAAATGATATTTGCATATTACGGGGCAAACAGCCCAACAAAAATGTTAGTAGACGCACATTTTTGACGCATTATGAGTCACAGAGCATTAAATTTGGGTGCACAAGACATTCCTGCTGAAAGCCGAATCAGCTCTTACTCATTTGGCCCAAATCATGAAAACATTTTTATGTTTATTGTTATTGGCACAAATCTCAGTTGATGGATTTTAAATTGTTATGACGGCTGTCCACCAACAGGTCAATGAAAGCTATTTATATATTGTTATTTATATTTATTATATTTATATATTGTGATATATGACAAGGTAAAGATAACCAATAAGGCTGTTTATCCATAAGACTTTGCCCTTTGATGACAATCTCATTTAAGCACTGTTCCAATTAGCCTATGTTTGGTTAATCAGTGAACAGTTTTTGTATATTTGATCTACTTTTAGTGCCCGGACCAATTGTTAATTTATCTTGAGACCCATATTCTATGCATATACAAATTATATTTATTCAATTAATTTCTTATCGATTCAATAGCATCTTTTTCGCCAGGCACAAGCCGGTTGCAGCGACAACTTTTATTTGATCCGAGCTTGTTTCTACTGCAGGCCAGCCTAGCTGGTGCTGGAATCTGGGAGGGCTCCAGATGTTTCAACTCAAGGGCCCAGCCTGGCATATGCGTTCGCATCGATAGCTGCCGATCGTATTATCGCGCGGTGCGGCAATTGTCTATTTTAGCAGTACGTCAGTGGCAGTCGCCCATTGGCCCACTCGGCTTTGGCTCTGATATATGCAACTTTTACGATCAGCTTGGACGCGTTAACAATGGCATATGTTGCCCAAACATGGATACAAAGCCATTAGGCAACAATCCAATATCGACGACGACGACAACAACGACAACGACAACAGAGAAGCCCCTGATGGGTGGCGATGAGATTGACGAGGCTGATGAAGGGGAGGAGCCAGAACAGCCGCAGGACAATGAAAATCCTGCAGAGATTGACACAGACCCAATTGATACTCCCCAAAATAGCGTTGAGGATATGCCCGACTTTCAGGATATAAACAACATCGAAGCCAATGCCCCCGAGCTGCAACCAGCACCAACGCCATCGACCACGCCTCCAACGACCGCCGTCTTTCCCTATCAATGGCCCTTCGGCAACTTTGCCGGAGGCATTCCACAGTGGCCGCCACCATTGCCCACACATCCGCCCACCGTGGGCGGTTGGCCACCGCCGATACCGACACATCCCCCAAGCCATCAGTACCCAACGCATCCGACCTCACGACCTATTGCAACAACGCCAAGTTCTGTGCTAACTACTCGTCGTACTACACCACGTCCATTGGGCAGACCTCCTACCACCACGCGGCGCCCCAGCTATCCCACGACAGCGACGACGACAACGCGTCGTCCAACAAGCGGCTTCAGCCCGGAAGGCTTGCCACTGCAGTGCGGCAACAGGAACCCGGTGTCACCCGATCAGGAACGCATTGTGGGCGGCAACAATGCCAGTCCGCATGAATTTCCCTGGATCGCCGTGCTCTTCAAGTCCGGCAAACAGTTCTGTGGTGGCAGCTTAATAACCAACAATCACATTCTTACAGCAGCACATTGTGTGGCAAGGTAATTGAAATCAAGAAAGTTGCCATTAGATCTTGACTGATCTGAATTCCAGAATGACCTCATGGGATGTGGCCGCATTGACAGCTCATCTGGGGGACTATAACATACGTACGGACTTTGAGGTGCAGCACGTTTCGCGTCGCATCAAACGACTCGTGCGGCACAAAGGCTTCGAATTTAGCACTCTGGTAAGTATACTATAAATTTATATAAAAATTTATAAATTTACACTAATTCCTTTAAACAATCTTAGCACAATGATATTGCCATTTTGACGTTGAGCGAGCCGGTGCCGTTCTCCACCGAGATCCAACCGATTTGTTTGCCCACCTCGCCAACCCAACAGTCCCGCTCCTATAGCGGGCAGTTGGCTACGGTCGCCGGCTGGGGTAGTCTGCGCGAGAATGGACCTCAGCCATCGATTCTGCAAAAGGTGGATATACCTATCTGGGCGAATGCGGAGTGCGCTCATAAATATGGACGTGCTGCGCCCGGCGGCATCATCGAATCAATGATCTGTGCCGGTCAAGCAGCCAAGGACTCGTGCAGCGTTAGTCGAAGAGTTTCCTAACTTAGCAACAAGCAATTCAACTAATCTCACTGTTTATTTTTGACAGGGCGATTCTGGCGGCCCGATGATCGTCAATGAGGGCAGCCGCTACATACAGGTGGGCATCGTCTCGTGGGGCATTGGCTGTGGCAAAGGACAGTATCCTGGTGTATACACTCGTGTCACCTCGCTGCTCCCATGGATTTACAAGAACATCAAATGAACTAAGTATTTTGCATAGATTAAGTCGTGATATTGAGACAAGTTTAATAAACATTATAAAGAGCATACACAGATGGTTTTTAAATATTTATACTCTTCTCACTCTTTCCACAGTATGTAATTTAAATGTGCCCACTAATAAAAAGGCTGAATATTTATTTAATAAATAATTTGATTTAATGTTAAGCACTATATAAATATAAAAAAATATAAAAATAAGGCAAAATCATATTCACATACATACATACATATGTTAGTCAGTGGTCATTATGCGCTTTATTTTATTACTCGAAAATCATGCCGATATATACTTATATACCTTTGCCACAATGTTTGTTTACGGACGCATAAAAATAAATTCAAACGAAAAATTTCTAGCTAACAGCTATTTGACACTAACTTAAAGTTGGCTGCGCCTGTGTGCAGATGCTAGCTGGTTTCCGAACCAACAAAGACTGACAAGCAGTGGCCTATGGCAGACAAAAGCTAACTGCTACGCATGCTCTGCCAACCAACAGAGTGCCAATCAATTTTGAATTGATTACAATTTCTATTATGTATTTGTGATAAAGCAGAATAATGATTCTATTTGTATTTATATTTATATATATTTCAAATATAGTTTAAATAATTTCAATATATTCTGAATAGTAAATTGGTTGTTGTCAACGCTACATCTAATAAATTGAGATCCTGTAGCAACATGTCACTTACGAAAACATCGAATGGTTGATGTCTAGACTAAAATATTTTGTTCATGATGCAGTGAATGAATGCTATGATTGAGGTCGCTTCTCTTATTAATTTTTAATAATTTCCAATAATGTGAACTATTGATTTGTTCAGCTTGGTTTTTATCCATGCTATATTCTTATAAATCAAGTGTTTTAGTTGGTTTTCTAAATAGCTTACATTTGCAATGAGTGTCGATTATCATGCTATATTGAAATATTTTTAATATTAATATCAAAATTATAAGCTTGGATGACTATATTTCGTGTTATATGTATATGAATGCCAGAGCTTGACTAATAATCTACTTATGTCTCACATATTTTCCAGCCAATTTTCAGGTAGTTAAAGTTTATTTCATAGTTAGAATATTTACAAACATTACTCCCAATGACATTTTAACTATTGATTTTAAAATGGCATTAGAAATAATAATATATAAAATCTCTATCTCACAATAAAGCTAAGTAAACTAAGATTGAAATCTCTATAATAATCTCAGATCATTAAAAAACATATAATAAACCAAAGACAAAAAGTTGAGATTCTAATAAATCAACAAAGAACAAAGTCAATAGTAATAAATTTTTTCGAAGAACAATCTCTTAAGGCTACTTTACACGTTTGGCTACTTTTGCACCTCTTCAGTTGTTCTCTAGCATAAAGACATGTGCCTCGATCCTCCTAATTGTATCAGCAAGTGGATCTTGTTGAGACAGATGACCTAGAACTTTCATGTCTTTCTGTCCACTTTTCTTACCCCCTCTCACTCTCCGCCTCTCTTTCTCTATCTAACTTATCTGGTCGTTGTCTTATTTCAACTGATGAGTTATATGTATTTTATATATATAAATATTTAATTCTTAATTTAGCTGTTACCTAGTCTAGTGAATCGTACTTTTAGGACATATTTCGTTATTTCGTTGCCTACTTTTCGTTATTTAGAATGATATATTTGTAAACTTCATTATTAAGTTATTATTAAATATGTCAAATTGTCAGTATTTAGACAATATAAAAAATAGATTGGGTGATGAAAAACTTGATTAGAATTTATCAAAGTAAAGCTTTAGGTATTTGAGTGCCCGATATTGAAGATTTTTAAGCAGATAAACAAACGAACAGATATGCAAAGAGACATAAACAGCTCAGCTTGGCTACTCAAGCTGATCAAGAATATACCTGCATAACATATATATATATATATACTGATACTCAAACTAGTTATATATTTATATACATATAAAGGACTCGGTCTCGATCTCTTCAGTAAATATTTGCATACAATTATTTGAACTTGATTGTACAATTTTCAATGGGTATTGTAGTCGAGCACACCCGACTGCACATTCTGATTTGTTATAATTCATTAATTTTTATTGCACCCTAAGTATTTTATTTGCTTAAATTAGCTTCGGCAAATAGAGTTTGATTAAACAAATTGAGCTGCACTGTTTGACTTTGTAAATCAGTTCTCTGTACTGTATATTACACGCAACCCACAACAGTTTTCGGATTGTGTCTGAAATCCAATCAAATTTAACTTTAACGTTAAATGCAAAGCGAATCAAAGGTATGATCATGATCGAACAACTTTAAAACTTTCTAAATGCTCAAGTGTGACCACATATTGTTCTCAATGAAGTATTTATTGGGTATACATATGTATGTATATATGTGTGTATATATATGTGCACACTTATGTATTTCTGCAAATATGTGTATGGCATTTATGTATTAATGCAATGAGATACCAGAATTAGTAAAGTGCTCAAGTAGGGACTGTCCCACTGGGATATAGTTTAAATACCAGTTTCAATGATTCCAGGCTTCTTGATATACACACTCATACGCATTCATACACACACACACATACACACACACACTTAAGTGCATGCGTCGTTTGCTTTGCACTTTATGCAGCAGCTGCGTTGCTTCATTCCAAATTCCAGTCGTCCCCACGCACAATACCTAAAAGCAAATTTAAATAACTTTTTTTCTAATCCTACGATCTTTATGAAATTTTGACAATATAATTCTAACATCAAAGCACAAGACTACAACTTAACATCGATTTTTATCGACATTAAGCACGAATAGGATGACATATCGATAAAAAATGTAAAAGCAAACGCTGCTTAAGGTATATCCCTGAGCGCAACGGACGAATCGGCGGACAAGACTAGACGGACTCAACTGTTCAGTTTGATCAAAAGTAAATATATTTATTCTGTTAATGTGTTTAGCAATGAGTTTATTCAACTAATAAAGGGCCTCAAAAACGCACAAGTAATGCCTCGAATTCATACAATGTTAGTTGCTTAATAAAGAATCCATAAGAACATTGAACGAATATATAATAAGAACGAATATATAATATGATTCAAGAGCATAAAATTCCAACTATGAAGCGTGCCTACAGTCTTTGTTAGCTCTTAAATATATTCAAATTTTTATACCTCGATCTGTTCTGCTTCTCTATCTGAAGACTTAAGCTTCATTTTACTTATTATATTTATGTGATATGCAGGCGTAGTTTGTTTTATTGTCTTCTTGAAGAAATTGGTCATATTTAATATATAATTCTTGAAGATATCCATAAGTAAAGTTGAGTTCAACAATGTCTTGTCCCCTTCCTTCACTCCCTCACACTCTCTCTCTCTGTTTCTCTCTCTCTCTCTCTGTCTCTCTCAAACTGTCTCCCTCTCTTTCTCTCTCTCTCTCTGTCTCTCTCTCAGTCTCTTTCTCTCACTCTCTCTCTCTCTCTCTCTGTCGCACTTTCTATCTCTCTCTCTCTCTTTCTGTGTAAGTTTCTAAGTGTCTCTTTTTCTAAGCTATCCTCGCTTGGATCATATTTTTGTAATACCCGTTAACGATGAAATATAATAGCTTTATTGTTTCACCGTCCGTACGTCCATACCGTAACTCTATACGGAGTCTAAAAGAGGGCTTAGATTCCTGGAATACTCTTAATGATTGCTCATCAAGAATTAATATATTTTCATTATTATATTAAATATCAATTTTTGGGGCTCTCTCAAGAGATATTTGACACAGCTCTTAAGTTGGTACTCTCTTAATTAATTGATTTGTCACAAATCATTTTATTTATATGTAATTCTGTTTTAATCATATTTCTACTATCCCAATTGAGGATAGCTCATTGTTGACCTTCATTATGAATATACTTAAGAATTATATTTATTTAGTCTGTTCCCGCTCTCAAAAACTTATTCAAAAACCAGAATGCTTTAAATATCTTTTTATATTTCAGACATTATGTATAGGTATATTTTCCTTATAGGTACTTTGAATGCGATATGCAACGGCTTGGAAAATGGCTTGGCCAGAACTCCTCCAATGGGTTGGTTGTCCTGGGAGCGGTTTCGATGCAATACCGACTGTGCAAATGATCCCGACAACTGCATTAGGTATGTGTGAGCTCAAATATATATCGGAATGAATACATTAAGAATAAAGTTAAGTCAGTGAAATACAAGTGGTTGAACAACTGCTTTAATGAACGTTGTATATTGCATAGGTGCTGACTAGTAGAACTTTGACAAAATTCTGAATACTTTATCATTTTTTGTTTGCTTCATTGAAACTATCGATGACGGAATTTAAATTGTTTTCTTTGGTATTTAAAAAGTCTTTTCATTGCTATTTTTAACAACTTAAGAGCAACACACAGCATTGCCAAGGGATCACCTCAGCTTGAATATTTTGTTGACAAATGTGTCAAATAAATAGCATAACATTTTCTAATGTTTCGTCCAGTAACCTTATGAAGGACTGAGCTTAAATTTCTTGAGACTTCTGCCAATTATTATTGAGCAAGTGCTTGGCTCATAAGGAACAAAGAGAGAACAACACAGACAACAATGCAGCCACGAATCTAACTAAATACCTCAAGAATATGATCAATGCCTTCATGAACTCCTCTGCAGATTGGCCACAAATTACATATAAACTATATATAGTACGGCTTTAGAGCTATGATTACCAGATCAATGCTGACGTTCTGTATAGATAGCCTCGAAATTGTATGTTCAACCCTTCGTAGGGTCATAATTCTGGATAAGTAAAAGATGGCCAACTAGAAGCAAGAGCAATAGAAAATATTTTTTTTAATTTCTTTTATTTTGAGGCTAAATGCATCCTTAAATTTCATGCTTCAACTGACTCTTATTGAGTATTTACTGCATTTAATTCATTTTTTAAGAACCTGCTCAGATATAATAATGGCAAATAGTATCACTGAAGTTTGGCCAATATATATTAGATAATTTCCTTATTTTCGATTTATTTAGTAATTTGTTTTTAATTTAAAATTGTTGCAAGTTTCAAATAAACGATTTCTACACAAATTCTTTTAGTGAGCGACTATTTCAAATAATGGCTGACCTGCTTGTTACGGAAGGCTATGCTTCAGTGGGATATGAGTATGTAAATATTGATGACTGCTGGCTGGAAAGGCACCGCGGTACCGATGGCAAGCTTCTAGCTGATCACAAGCGATTCCCTAGCGGTATTAAAGCCCTATCAGATTACGTACGTATTCACTTCATATTTGCACTGTCAACTTTATACTCAACTATTACTAACTAAGCGGACTTATAGAACTTTTGTATTTTTTACACATTCCAAACATATGTGTAATGTTGCGTTTAAAAGCTAAGAGTTTTAGTTAGATTTCTTGATTTTTAAATAAATAATATAATATAATATAAATAAATTTTTAATAAATAATAATTCTATAAATAATACTGTAATAGAAAAATGCTCAATTACAAAGATCAGAGACTTAGATCACTATATCAATTATCATAATCTATAAGAGTCTATATCAAGATCAAAATCTCATTCACTTCTATCATACGTCACAATCTCTTAGGTCATAGATCAATATATCACAGTTTCATAGGTACATTTGCCATCAAAAAAAGACTCAAGATCTTTATCTACATAAAATGAATATATAATATATATATTATGAACAATCGGTACACAATATATATATACATATAAATATATGAAAAAAAAAAGAAAAATACAGATAATATAACCAAGAATAAAGTTGCTTAGATTTTAAATATTCTAAATGCCATTTTAGCTAATATTGGATAAAATTACATAAAACGAAATTTTATTTAATATAATTTCTGTTGAGCGAATGGAAAATTAATAGAAATCAGAATATGCTTGACATGCTCACAAAACCTTAGCACTGCTCTGGGATGCTAATGAAAATCAAAAATATCAAGTTAATTAATAAAGCGCGATAAGCAGAACATACGGACGGACAGCTAATTTACGGACAAATTAAGCACTCCACGTTCAAGAGGCGTACAAGTAACTCCCTATAGGCAGAGTAGGTGAAAGCATACTCAAACAGGAAAAGTCCGAGGTGACCATCGAGGGCCAATGCTTGCGAATATTAAAAATAAATAAAATAAGAAACAATTTAAAAATATTAAACGAATAAACGAAATAGTTTGAACTAAGACTAAGTCTAAAGTATAAATATGCATATAGTAAACAAAGTATGTATTCTTCATTAGGTCAATGAGCTTAATTAAGCTAGCCAAGTGCGTATCCTTAGTGCGTCCATCTATTTCTTATTAATCTTTTCTGATATGTTTCGATTTGTAACACTTATTTAGACTATGATTAGGAGGCACCGACAGTCAACTGTGTTAAGTACTTAGGCACACGTTATCTTACCCTACCCAACCCGAAACCTTATCTACTTGAACTCAACACAATAATTAAAATTGAATTGTTCATTTCAGATTCATTCAAGAGGCTTGAAATTCGGCATTTATGAAGACTACGGAAACTTCACATGCGCTGGATATCCCGGCATTATTGGCTATGAGGAAATTGATGCGCTTCAGTTTGCCGAATGGGATGTGGACTATGTTAAACTGGATGGCTGCTATGCCTTACCCTATGACATGGATCGAGGGTATACGCAGTTTGGCCGATTCCTAAATAGCACTGGAAAGGCAATGGTCTACTCCTGCAGCTGGCCGGTTTATCAAATCTATGCGGGCATCCAGCCTAATTTCTCAGCTATTCAGACGCATTGTAATCTTTGGCGAAATTTCGACGACATTCAAGATTCCTGGGCATCGGTTGAGAATATTATTGACTATTACGGTAACAATCAGGATTTAATTGCACCCAACGCAGGACCCGGACACTGGAATGATCCTGATATGGTAATTAGCAAGTTCTATATTCCCACTTTAATAGAGGGATACAAGAACTTATATCTACGTGTTCTTTATTTACAGTTAATCATTGGAAACTTTGGTCTAAGCTATGAACAGGCAAAAACGCAATTTGCTATTTGGTCAATTTTAGCCGCTCCCCTTTTAATGTCGGTTGACCTAAGGACAATACGGCCCGAATTCAAAGAAATTTTACTCAATCGCAAGATTATATCTGTGGATCAAGATCCGTTGGGCATACAAGGCCGAAGAATCTATAAGCATAAGGGAATCGAAATTTGGTCTAAGCCGATAAGTCCAGTATATCAGAATTTCTACTCCTATGCGCTCGCCTTCATAAACAGGCGAACAGATGGTACACCCTCTGATATCTCTGTCACATTGCGAGAATTGGGTCTTATCAATAATTATGGATATAGAGTCGAGGTAAGTCGACAAATTTCGAAACACTTCACAATAATTTATATATATATTTTTGTTTAATTTTAGGATCTCTATGAGAATATTAACTATGGAATACTGTTTCCGAAAACAAAAATCAAGGTTAAGGTAAATCCATCGGGAGTTGTTATGTTGAAAGGCGAAACTCAAAATATAAACAAATTTTAACTTGTTTTTATTTTCCATTCGAGCTAATGTCAATTTTATAATCTAATAAAAAAAACCCCGAAGATCGTTGCATTCGGATGCCACCGACTGCATAATACTCGTTCCCATTCCAAAATCAGCTTAACTCGCTAATATATAAATAATATCGATATTTGCGGATTTGCCACGCCCCAATGCGAGCCATATAATATACATAGCTCTATCAGTAGATGAAATTAACAGTGATACATCTAAAGTTGGTAATGCTCCATTATTGTGGAAGCCACAGTCTTTCTGGATTTGCCAAACCCAAGAGCCGTATACATCACTCTTCGCCAATCTATATTGTTTCTTGACTAATTTTGAAAGTCTTCCTATAAAAACGGTGGAAGCTGCTGTCTTACCTTATGTTCAGCTACCCAAATGGACGAAGCTATATGCACTAAATATTTTATCTAGGGTTGGAATACACAAGAATATATAGATAGATTTTAAATACAAAGTCTTCAAGTTTAAATATTTCCGAAAACAATCGCTTTTATGTGTTAAAAGGTATAGAGTTCCCGGATAGCCACACACAGAAGGGACTTTCTTAGACATAATATATGAATAAGACATGTCAGAAACTATAATAAAATATTTGGTTTTAATTAAAGCGAGATACATCAAATTCAAACTACATGGTGTGGCATCAGTCAAGATTCTTTAAATACCCAAAATGCGAAATCTACATAAAAATCATTTCAAAATGATGTCACCTTACTTTAGAGATCAGAAATAAACATAAAATGGAATTTTCATTTTGACTAAATACTCATATATTTCTCGTAAATCCTATATTAACCTTCACCAATCTACTCTAGCAGAACAGGCTATAAATTCTCTACTCTTTAATACATAATATTAGGATTTCTAGAAATGTATATTAATAATTATTGTGAATAAATGAATATAAAAATAAAATTATTTGAAAAACCAAAAGAAAAATGCTTTACTAATTTTAATATATTAAACTATTTCACAGATATGCAATCTATAAATGGGTAGTGCCTACTTTTGGGCAGACCTTTAAAGTTGATCAAGTCAAATTAAAGCCTTGGGATATTTTAAGGGTTTTGCATGGGATAAATAACTGGAATTCATTGTAACTATTCTTATTACAGAGAATGTAACATGAATATATATTATAAAAACAAATATTGAAATATTTTATAGTTTCGATTTTTATTTGATAGTCATTAATCAAACAATTAGATTTATATATAGAAATTATTCCTTATGGAAATGGGATGTGATTGAAAAGTCTAACCGTAGAAAAACAATGGTAAGTAGAAATATAATGTAAATAAATGCAATAACTAGTAAAGGCTCTTGAAGCAGCGACACCTTTGAGAAATTGTACTTCAGAGTAAACTCTGCAATATGATTTTCCACCAGATTACGTTGCGAAAAAGACACAACTGGACGTCCCACAGTATCCAAATAGGTGTGAATCAATGCGTTTTGATGCCGCTTAATACCATACGGCGTTTCAAGCTTAATATTGGACGAGCCCTCTGGTAATATAATAGTTATGACAGCTTCATCGATGCACATATTATCATGTATATGATCGATTAGATGCATCTTTAAGATATAATCGTTGTCGGAGCTATATAGATATTCATAAGAGGGCACATTATAGCCGAGCACGTATTGCGTTTTCCATCCACCAAACAGAGGAAATCGGGGACGTAAGTCGAGATCAACAGATTCACGCATTAGATTCATATTTGATGTGGAGATATTACCGTTGGTATCGCGATAATAGACTCCAGTTGCCGATGCTGGTAAATAGGTTTTATATGACTTAACAGCCGATTGTCCAGAACGACCATCTTTTTGGAAATCATAACGCGAGAAAGATCCTTTCAATTTTGCACCAGTATGCGTCATTTGAATTTCCTCTTTCACCGCAATATTGCCCCAATGGGAAACTTCTATCGTGCGTTCCAAAGTGTTCACAGTCAAAAATGGAGATTGATTTTCATAGTGAACGAACAGCTCATCATCGGTTAATTCTGTTAAATTTCAATTTCCAGTTAATCTAAGCACAGTAATCGAATATTTAGATGTACTTACTTGCAATATTTTCGTAAGGCCCAAAAGTCATTTTATTTGACATAACTGAAAATGGTCTAAACTGTGTGTGTGCAATTATATTAGACGAACTGAGTTGAATATTTATTCTTTGTGATTGGGTTAAATAGTTGGAATATAAATATAATCCGCCAACATATTTGACTAGCTGTTTATCGTTCTGCTTGATTTCCGATGGATAGGGGAGTATATTTTTGGTTGAAACTGTCTCAATGAGTAAAGTTTGCTGCGGGGCACTTGAAGCAAATGTTATCTTGTATTTTACTTGGCTTTTCTCATTTTCCTTTTTTTCTTCAAATGCAAGCTTTTTATTAAATCCATCTTTGACTGATATAAAAGATAGATTTGGCTCTCTTACAATGAATTCATACTCTTTCAGAGGTTTGCCGGCTGTCTCCTCAACTTGTATTTTATATGATGTTTTTACCAATTGGGAAGCTATATCCAAATTTCTTTCCACGTTTTTATTGATAATGTCCGCGGTTATTGGATTTATGATTAAACATATTGTTGTAACATAAAATAATATCCAATTCGTCTCCATTTTTAACCCACGATAATTCTGACACGTAATGCTAAACATGTATAGGATTATTTAGTATATTTTAAAATACCTAATTTTTTGAGTTCAATGAACAGTATTCAAATGCCGGCTTTTGTTCTTTAGTTCACTTTTATGACTACTTATCACAAAGTATTTGCGTCAAGCTAGCGTCGATTACTTTACATTGAATATTGGAAACTTATTCAATAACAGGAGTACATATCTAAATTATTTATATATATTTAAATAATGTATCCCATTGCTTCATTATTAAATTCGAATAATTAATTAAAAAATAAATAAATTCCATAATATAATATTAACAAAAAAACAATATTATGCTTTATAATTAAGTATTTTTGACTTATTTGTATAAGAAAAAGGAGCAATTTTATTTACAATCTAAAGCAAATATTTGCCATAAATGTTGCGAAGCCTATCAAATCAAGTTAAGCCAAGCTTGATCATAAAATGTGATCAGTTTAATATATTCATGTGTAACACCGATACGCTTATTACTATATATTGTCTCTAAAACCTTTTCAAGCTAGTTAATGCAAGTTAAACCGTGAATTAGATATACGGATCAATCACGTTTAGCAATTACCTAAGCAATTGAGGTTAAGTTTGGATTTGCAGGTATGTCTACCATATCAAATATTAAAAACCCTTTAATTTTAATCCTTGAACTTTAAATGGAGTATAAATTTATTATACCGCAAGCAGTAAAAAAAAACTAGTAAATTAAAAAAAAAAAACTAGTAAACCCACTAAGTTATATTTTAACCCGTTAACCTGCAATTTAAATACGTAAAAAGGCGAACCACAGATTGTCAGAGGTGAGCGTAATAAGCAAACAACGGCGTATTTACGAATCGAATATATCAGAATTCAACATTATTGTACTACGGTGCTGGCTATATGCTAGATAGGGTTAACTCTAATACCTTAGTAGCGAAAGTGATACAATCTCCATAATGTTCGAAAAAATGTAGTAGTTGACACATATCGCACAGCAAATGAATGCGCAAATGTAGCATGTCGTTAACCGCTTCCTTGGTATGAATTTGAGTACCTTTGTAATGCTTAAATATTTCGTTAATTAAACACAACTTTAAATTCTTTTTTATGAAAAGCGTTTTTATTTATACTTATATTAGGTTTTAGATATTACAAATTTTTGATGAAGCAGACGATGAATCAGATTGATCAAAATCAATTTTTGCATATGAGCTGTTGTTCTCAAAGCAAATTGGAATTGGCGGAGATTCACATGAGACTTTTTTAAGGCAATTTGATGCCAATTGTCCGCTACTCTGTGGAAGGTCCAAACTTGCATAATAAAGTTCATATTCGCACACGCCTGAAGATAGTTTAGTCTCATTCTTATTTAGAACACTATCCGATAATGCCTCCTCATTTAAAGTATTGGTATCTTTTTCATTTAACAAATTACATTTAGGGTTTGTATTTAAAATTTGCTCTTTTCTATCCACCTTATTTACACCTTCTAGCAGAAATTGTCGACCACATTGTGGTTTATAGGATGGCCTTTGATTTTTATTCTTTGAAATTAGAGAACTATCACTTTTGATTTGAAGAATTTGGTAGCCGACATCTTTTGTATCAGCTGCATTTGATTTACTTATATTTTTCGTGTAGTCTTCGTTACTAATCGAATGTATCAACTTTCTTCCAGCTGTAGTTGCATTACTTATATCTAAGGCAAAATTTAATAATGTATTTTCCATTTTCTTTTTTACCATTTTGGTATGCAAATCACTTTCGGGGTGGGATTTCTCAATATTTTCAGATTTATTTAAATTGAAGTTTGTTTTATATTGAGACTCTGGCAAATCTGCACTCTTTTCTGACTCTTCAGAGCAAATGTTATCATTTTTAGCTTCATCCTCTTTTGTCTGCAATTTTAAGACGCATTGACTTTGCACCCTCAACTTTTCAATCTGGTCTTCATCAATGCTTATTTGTTTAAAGGAAGTGTTTACCATACTAACTGGTTTCATTTCTAAATAGCCACTATCTGAGGTTTCTACTGATTTAGGTATTCTAAATTTATTTATCAAGTCATTTTGCCTGAGCATTTCAGTAAGCCTGATATTTCCATTTAAACTTGGATTTGCGATAGGAGTACTTTTATGAAATTGGGATTCAGTTTGCACAATTTTAGGTACTTGACAATTGTTTAACGATAATTGTTGTTGTGAAGTAGTGGATGTTGCGGTGCCATTGGAAAAATCGATTTCCATTAAATCACTCATGCGTACTGGACTAATATAATTTCTTACATTTAAAAGAGGTGCACTCGTAGACTTCATTTCCTTTGAAGAATTGTATCCAAACCTTTCACTGCATGTTTGCCCATCTACGTTACATATGCTTCCTTTATGAACGTGTCCCTTTTTTAATTTCGAGACAACACCTCGCTGAATTTCACAACGTGGTATATTTGACTTTGATCCAACCGAATACGCTCGAACCCGCGGTGATGTATTGTCTACTTCATTTATATTTCCAAGAAGCTTATTCCGTTTTAAGTGCTCTACTTTACTTCCAATTGAATAAGCTCGACTGGGACGATCACACCTAAAATAAAAGTTTTAGATCATTAATATTCTATTCAATATATAAATAACTATAAGAACGACAAGACAGGCATGCGAAGTTTCTAGTAGAGTTTTAAATCTTTGAGTTATACTTTATACTTTTTATAATTAAATGAAAACTTACTGGTTATCAATATCGCCATCTTGTACTAATAGTTCAGATAAGTGGTCGGCAAAATCCATTTTCGAGTCTTTGTCGATAACATTTTGTAAATTGTTTAATCCTGTGAAATTAAAAATAGTTGTTTATTTGATTATAAACATGTTTTTTTTTAACATTACCTTGGATTTGGCCAGTAACACTTGTTCGAGACACTCTGTTACTATCTGAAAAATCATCATCAATATTTTCTTCGGGAATCATTGCCTTAGAGGTTATTGAGCTGAAAGAATGAAAAACACAAGTTTTTTAGTTTGATTTGCTCTTCTGACAACATAGGGAAAATGAACTGAAAAATAACATACATTCTAGTATAGTCATTATATTCAAGGATATAAAAAAAATGTAAAAATGTTTTGTTTTGCATCAATGAAATAGCAACCGATTTTACTTTCCTTTTAAGTAAATTAATAATATTAATATTAAAAATACTAATTTTGATAACTTACTTTATTCGATAAGCATCAAGCAGGGATTTGTCATACGTATCGTCAATACTTATTGACGATTCTTCGCTTTCAGAGCATTTCATTGAATGTGTTGGTGGGCTGTCACTGTGTCTTTGAATTAAATATGATCGGGATCCAGATATCGTGTTACATCGCTGCGCATGCTTCAATGCAATGTAAGTTTGATTACTGCATTCACTCAACGTCCGATATCTAGTTGGTAAGCTGTCACATCGTTCGCGCCCATAGCCTAGTAAGAAATAAATAAATATTTATACAATTACTGAGTAGTTAAAAAATAATGTAAAATGCAAGCCCATCAAAAATTAGTAAAAACAATATAGTTTCCTTGTGCAAAGATATATAGAAACATAAGGAACCTTCCTCGACCATATCAAATATTAAGTCAAACTATATCGGTCAGCCCATCAATCTATATGTTCGCCGATTTACTTATTTACATAAATTTGCACAAAAAAATAATAATTTTTTAAAGAGTTCAGAGCGCAAATAATTAGAATACATCTGTTAGCTCAAATTTTACTGAAGTGATTAAAATGTAACTTAAAAGCTTGTCTTTAGAAAACTATTAATAATGAATTTTTATAATTAAACAAATTTTTTACTCACTGTTGTGAGTAAAGTATTGTGGTGAAAAACTACTTCTTGTTTCAATAGGATGTTGACGTTTTTGTAAAACGTTAATGGGCTTGGACGCCTCATTTGCCGATGAAGATCGTTTTCTCATTGGTTCGCTGCTCAAGTCAGAACTGCCTTTTTGTACATTTAAAAAATTCATATTCGACTCCGTTTTAGCTGACATTGCGCTGAAAAATTAAAAAATATTAATATGTGAATATTGATGCAGCATCAATTTTAAACTGAGCTGTATAGTTTATGGTTTACCTTAATATTTGATCATGCATTTGCTTAGCAATTGCAGCATCCTCTGTTTCCATCCAAAGTTCACCGGACCCCAAAACACTCTGTCGCCCAAGTTCCATAAAGAAAATGTTTTGAGGGGAGGCATGACCACATCTGAAATTAATTATACAGTTTAAGTTATAAAATACGATAAGTCTCCCTTTGCCTATTACATATACTTTGCTAAAACTCTTGATACCCCTTTCTTACATTGAAACAATTACTTTCACTTTTCAATTAAGACCAAAATTTATATTCTTACGCACCTTCTTATCGTAGTTAAAAGTATTTCAACTTTTACAATTCGATCGTCTCCATTTGGCAACTTTTCCGCTCCAATGCACATAAATGTTAGTGACTTCGAAGTTAGGCAGCAATGATAGTTTCCGGTGATCCCAACACTTACAGACATGCCTTTTTTTTGGACAACAACTTGCCAAACATGTTCTAAAATTTAAATAGTATTGAAAAAAAGGAGTAAAGATAGTTTTCAAATAAGTTATCTTATAATCAGTTCTGATTTTCAGCTGATTTCCTACAATATGAATCTGAATACTGTATTCAAAAGTAGGTAATCAGTTTTAGAGTGAAGCGAACATGTCAGTGCAAATAAACAACAAAAAATACCAATGACGGATTTGAATTGAAGAACCAAGCTCGGACGAACATTAAAATGCAATGGGCGACAAGTTGGTTTCCTTAACCGGTTATTCATAAATGCTAAGCAAGCTCACAGAGAATCTCGTCCAGCAAGCCCCAACGGTATGCAGTATTCCGACTCAAAGCAACTTAAAGAATATGTCACAGGGCTATGTAAACTGAGAAACAAGCTACAAAAAGGGGTATTCCAATTATTTCAATTGATATTATCCAACTCGATAGGTTTTGTCCCAAAACTCGTAGTCTCATGAATTTAAAGTAGATATGTTTTATCTGGCCGATCTCGGATCAAGGTCAACAACAACCTATTTATATGACCGATTGACTCTTAATTTGAATAATATGAGGCACGTCTATTAGATGGATGAAGCTTTGAGTCAACTGCAACAAAGAAGAGTTTCAATCCTTAAGCAAATAGATAAGGTAGTTACCTTCGACAGATTGTTGCAAAAAACTATTAAAACTTATTTTGTAAAAAATTTACATTCGGCTTTGGCTTTACTACAAACAAAACTGAGAGGCGAGCATAACAGAAATCGATCAAGTATATAAATGGAAAATGAAAATACAAATTAAAGTTGATCTAAGTTATAAACTTACCATAAGATGTATAAACGTTTTCTGTTCCGTTTAAATTTTCTCGTTGGATAGATAACAAGTTTTGTAACCATTTTTGTAAGTCATCTTCGGAATTCAAGACGATCCCAAAGCCGCCTTCTTTTGATGATAAGGCTAAGACATACTTATGTTTCGTGTCGATTCGACGATTTATATTAAAGCAATTTTTCACATATATAGTGCGTTTTGGTACAGCATTTTGAATAAATTTCTTTTCAGTATCATAATATTCCAATCTTGCTTCCTTATTTGTTGTTTCTTTGTATAAAACAAAATATTTCTTTTTCATTGTTTTCAATTTTTTTTGATATTCCTTTAGTACTATCCCGTTGTCTGACATGGAAGCCATCATAAATCTACCCGTCTTCCAAACCTGTAATGATTGAATATAAAACCTTAATTAATTAACATTATTATATCTGTGAATATTAGTGAATAATCTATATACCGAATGATATGGCATAAGTTCCTAAAGACTGGAACATGAACTTTACAAATTTAAGATTGATATTGATCACCTTTTCTTTATAAATGCAATATCATTTGTGCCAGACAAGTCTCTTGGAATTTCGCATCCGGATTTCTTTAGACTCTCGATCTTTTAATATTTTCCCACAGGTGGTTTTTTACACAAATCTCTATCGGTATTCTCTGACAGATGTTTAAGTTCGTGTGATTGTGAAGACACTGTATCTTGATCAAATTCTAGTTAATCGTTTACTTAATACTAATAAAAATCGAGCTTCTCAAGTGGTCTTTGAAGCTTAACTGGGATATAATTAAATTTACACACAAATCTCTGTTGAGTAAACACAGATTTTAACTATTTTATAATACCGGATTTTTATAGGAATCTTGTGCTTAAATATTACACATAGGTTCTATGTTCATACCCATCATTTCGCGAAGATAGTACACATAAAATCGACGTTTTTTAATAAGAACATTTGCCGCCGTGGGAAGAGCAAAACTAATAGCATAAAGGCATAAAGTGCGCAGTAGGCGGCATGAATATTTGCTTTTATACACTCGAATGCATGATAGGACAACTCCTAGTGAAGGGTATCTCCTAGTCGGTTGATTCTGCCTTGAGCATTCTTATTTATTTTTATTGATAACTTATGCAATATTTAACTCGTTTAATAAATTTGTGGACACTCCAAAATAGTTTAGAGGTTTATACGTTTCTTGTTTACCTATTGCGTGTTAAGTATTTCGTTATCAATGACATAAGTAGTTGCTGTACGGAAACAATTTGTACGCACTGTGTTTATTCCTACTGGCAAGACACTCATACTAAATGATCGAAAGTCCAGCTCAAAACAATCTACCATAATTAATTCAAAAGAAAAACATTACAAGTACAAAATCAATTTTGAAATTTTTAGACCTGGATACATTATAAGCCGCAAATAACAATAGTCGTACTAAACAAGTTGTACATACATTTTAGATTGTGTTAACATTACTACGCATATGGGGATGTATTTGTTTCATAGTTAGCATTTACAATATTGTCTGTGTTAGTCTACATATATACATACATACATATACATTAAATAAATATATATATATATATATATATAAGTATGAAAGTAGGTGAATGTTTTTAAATGCTCAGCTGTAAATATATAGGAAGAATTATCTATCAATTATCTAATCGATTCATGTTATTGGCATAATTGTTATTAATGTTTGCGTTCCATTTTTCACAAAAAGTTAAGGACAAGAGGCATGTATTAAATCACAGTAATGTTTTTTTAGATACGTGTAGATTTGACGATGTAACTTGTTGTTGTTTTAAGAATTGGCAGTATGAGAAAAACATTGCTCTTTTATAGACGAGTTTAAAGATTTTAAATACAATTGTACATATATGTATGTATGCATATGGTACGGATGAATATATACATCATACATTGAGACGTATATCAACGTTAAAGAAACACTTTTTCCACTTTTTAATCATTCCGATAAATGAAATTAATGTCTATGTATTTTCGATATATATAAATGCAGAATACATACTCCGAATACAATAGGCATATATTTATGTATAAATTTATAATGTAATGATTCCCGAGATATAGTGGTGGCACTCGAAAATATCGAAACTATCGAAGAACGTATAATAAACCACGTTGTGTCACTGTTAGAGTTGTGCAAATTTGTTTTGTAAAAAATTAATTTTTAAAGTAACTTCCAAACTCTTTCGACTTTAGGCCTAATTTACCGAAATTAGAGTATATATTTGATAACTAGCTAGTTTGTCATAACTTTATATGAGAACATTAGTGTTTTAAAATATGAGAAGTTCAGAGTATATTATATTTGTACATAAATGCAGCAATTAACGGCGAGGAAATGGGAGACAGGTTTTCCCAACACTTTTACAAGGGCAACAGTGCTGCCTGAGACCTTTCATGATTGATGACATGTACCACATTGGCAAGATCCAATAAAATAAATACATCTTGATAGATTATTGAGAAAAGCGTTGTTCTTGACTGAATCAGCCCTTCTAAAGCCGTTCCCCAGCCCTTCAAAGTTTCATGACCGAGTTGGTGTAACTGTTAGGCCAATATGTTTTATTGTAAATGGTTCGAATTTTATACCAGACAAGACGAAAGGCCCATTCAAATTTAATCAAAGCTTGAGACAAATAAACTTTCCGATCTTATACAGTTGCTCCACCTGCGAGGGCTGATATTGGCATAGTGTCCATTCTGATTCTTAATTTAAACTTCGGCTTTGTGAAAGCTTAACATTGTGGGAAATTAGAAGGCGATTCTGCTTATATCTTACAATCATATAAAAAAAATTTTTTAATTTCTTAAATTATTCAGTTTTTATGATTTATGATATCAATATGCCATATTAAAGAAATAATTTTTGAAAATGTCACATTCGAATTCATATACTCAAAATATTTATTTCTTATCTGTTCTTTTAATCTTTTATCTTTTTTTTTTTTATCTTTTTATCTTTTAATCACATTGCGAGTGTTCCGATTCCATTTTCAATTTAATGTGTGAAGGATAAAATATACAATTTTCTTGCTCAGCACAAAACAAATGCGATTGTATGACTATCTGTTTTACACGAACGAATATAAACGATAATATCAGACTAACAAAAATCAACTTTCACCGTGAATCGCCAAAATAAATTGCACGGTTTCAACAGCCTCAACCAACAGGATTTGAGACGTATGTTCCGTAATAATTTAAAAACAAAAAAATTGAGAACGAAATATTAAAAATTTTCCACTTTCAGTGAACTAAATAATTTTTATGTATGTAAGCTGCATACTAAGCTTAAGTGTTGTTGCTTTCCAGTGCTTAGAAAGTAACAAAGATGATTTTAATTTCATTTTATATCTGCTAAAATAAAAATAGTTTAATATTATATATCTCCAATTAAAAAGTAAGAACTTAAACAAATTATTAGAACGATACATTTACTCAGTGATATTCTATTTATTGTAGATTTGTCTAGTTAGTTAGAGTCAGAATGAATGGAGTGTTTATATCTCATAAGAACTTCAGTTTGTTTTGGATTTGCGAACTGTGCTGCACAGTCGGTTTGCTCTGTACTGTGCAGCAGGACTATTGCACGGAGCTTTCAAAGAAGTCGTTGAGCATGATTCTGGGTCAAGCTTTTAATCCTCGATATATGAGTATTGATCCACCAAAAAGTGGAAGCAACGAGAATACTCAAAATTTGGGATCGAAGCGATCTGTTTTGGATGTACCTTTCTATGCCGATAATAATGTTGTTTCATTGGGAAGTTTTCCCGCATGGGAGACAAATCACTTCTCTTACTTTGCCAAAAAGGAAGAGGACTCGTTGAAAAGAAAAACAATAAATACAAGAAATGTCTTTATGGAACAAAGCGGACATGGAAAACCTGAAGTATTCAAAACCCGACCCTGGGAATGCTCTTCAATAATAAACTGGATCGATCTGGGCTTAAATTACTTTCCACGTTACATTCGTTCCATTGAATGCATAGCAAAAAAATGCTGGTACGGACACTTTAAATGCAAGCCCAAATCATTCACCATCAAAGTGCTGCGTCGTAAGCCGGGTTCATGCATTCATATAAGCGAAAAATTAATTCTCATAACTACGGATGAATACATTAACGATTACACTCAACTCTGGATTTGGGAAGAAATCGCCGTTAATTTTTGCTGTGAATGCGTGATGTTATACTAAGATAAATTAAAATAATATTTATGGTCATTAAAATAAACACGGTTGAATTTAGTTTAACAGAAAACTTTAATAGCATTAGGAACAATTGATACTTGAATGGGTCGCGGTTCGTATTCCTCTCCATCTATAGAATAGAAAATTGGTTCTGTACCCACTGACGGATAGAGTTTGATAGTTCTACTCTTAAGTATCAAATTAGGCTCTAAAGTTTTATTTGTAATTTTGGGTATATTCTTTATAAAATTCCATCCGGGCTGCAAGGAGTCAATAAATTTACTTTCCAGTTCCGAAAAATTCTCATCATTCTGACTAAGATTAATGTTAACTTGATTGGATTTAATGCAACCATGAAGTTTCGTAGCGCAACTATCGTTCTTAATTAGTTTTTGCGCTGCGGTTCGGCTTACATTTTGTTGTTTTACGAGTTTGCTCAAAAAAAAGCCCTTTGCCTGCTGATCTTCAACTTCGGCACAGCAATTACTGCAGCCACGGCACGGGGGAGTGTAAACATAATTGGTTTCTGCATCCCAATTAGATTTGCCAGAAAATGATCGAAAAAATGCAGCAAAGTGATGTCTTAGCGGACCCACATACCAATATTTATCCTTCATATTGTCTATATCTTTCAAGAGACCCCACGAGAAACCATTTATCCCAAAAATTGGCTTTAAATTGTTACTGTTGCTGTTGCCGTCGTTATCAGTGTTATCTTCATCGAGAACATCATACTGAATGACATCGGCATATCTATATTGGTTTTTCAGCAAAGGCAACAGTGCCTTACACAATGCCTTCACAAAATCCAATTCACGATTGCTCCCAATGTCAAAGAAATTAAAGCTAGATTGTTTTTCGCGTCCTAGTGGAAGGAGCGAAACGGGGCAAATTTCGCCGTGACGACGCAAGAGGCCGGTAACTACCTCAGACTTTGTACCATCTCCGCCGGCTACAACTATAACGTCTGGTAAAGTATTCATTTCCTCCACATATGTTTTGGCGTGTCCTATGTGATTCGTACGTAGTATTTCAACAGAAAAGCCAGCTAAATGCAAAAGAGGTTCACAGTATTTTTTGAACTGAAAGCAAATGGATATTATCAAAGAATGTCACATTTTCATGTATTAAGCTATACCAAATTTTCGGCCTTTTTCTTTTTGGCAATCGGGTTCATAATCACAAGTACATTTTTTGGAAGTACACTTGTATTTTGGTGACTATGCAAAACTTCACTTGACAATTGGCTCATATAAAGCTTGATGCTGAAACGACATATAATTTATATAAACTTCAGATACTTAATTATTCACTTACTCTATGTTTGTTTTTACAGTGGATATTCCATATCCAGCTACACATGATAAGAGGAGGCTCTTCTTCCAATTATTTCTAATTAACTTTAACGTGTTCATCCTCGAAGTATTCTTATGTAAACCAGAGTTCCATATAAACTATAAACAAACTCATATAAATTTACTGTTCTATGTAGTTATGTTGTTGAATACCACATGATTGTTCACAATGTAGCATCGAACCTAAAATAAGTGGAATGAAACGTGGGGACGGCTCTCCAAATAACGATAACGATGTATCGTAAATATTTAAATTGTTTGTATCTGTTTTTATATCGAACTCGTAAAACAGCGCAATCAAAAATACTTTCAAAGTCTATATCCTAAAATATAACTATTATCCAAAAAAATGCCTAAATACATTTTTGACATGGCTTTCCTTTTAGTGCTAAGCTTTTTTTAATCGTAACAAGTTAGCATTCGGTTGATATTGAAAAATACTTCAAAGTACTTTTTACAATTAACGAGATGGGTGAATATAGCACATCTCTATAGGCTAACTTATTTAGGATAGTAATTCAGAAGCTGGGAAAATGGAAGCGGTACTATAAATATTAAATTAATATATATATTAAATATAATTATAATTTAAGACTTATCTATAAATATATAATTATAAGATATAAATAAGTAGTTATATTATTTTCAAATAATTCATTAATGTTTTCCTTTGTTTACATTTCAGCTTAAAAATTCTCCAACTATGAAGGTGATTGCGGACCTTGATGTTAAGACGACAGAACGCTTTGTGTCCTTTTTGCTACAATTTGCATCTTTTAAGTCTCTTAAGATTCACTGCAAATTTCTCGAAATATCCTGTGATGGAATAGCGTGGCTTTGTTCATGGGTTGCCTTCATCTGGCTAATAAATTCCAAGAACCTATACCAAATGCAAGTTAACATGCTACTTGGATTACTATTAGATATTGTTGTTGTGGCTGTGTTAAAAGCACTCGTACGTAGACGACGACCAGCAGCTGTGAAGGATGCACTTGTTATTGGCCCGGACAAGTTTAGCTTTCCATCGGGACACGCATCTAGAGCTTTCTATGTTCTAATATTCTTTACCAAATTGCATACGTTGCCAATCATATTTTGGATGCCAATGACTGCGTGGGCTGTTAGCGTTGTGATCTCTAGGCTAATATTAAAAAGACACTTTATTTTGGACGTAAGTGCTGGTGCACTGATTGGCATTTGTGAAGCATTGTTTATTGGATTAATTTGGATTAGTGAGGAAACAGCCACTTCTCTGCTTGGGCTCATAACTGAAGATGAATCTGTTTAGCAAGTATTTAAAAAAAATAATGTAAAATTTTTAAAAATACTTTCGTAAATAATTGATAATAATATTACTAACATATGCCAAAGATGATTTGTTTATTCACTTTTTAAGTGATTCATCATTTTTTGTTATCGAGCTTTTTGACGACCTATTTGCTCTTATCCGAAAGTCATATTGCACAAAGCACAGGGAAGTTTAATTTAAGAGAGCATTTTGGATACCTTAAGTAGAGTAAAGGTCAATTGAGACGGTGTTATTTGTAGAATATGAACTGAGCCTTAGCAATCGTTTGCATAATTTAAAATATTAAGAATTTTGCAATAAAAAGACAAGTGTATTGCACATTAAACAGTATGATTTTTATTTGTTGTTGTTGTGATTATTATAAATATTAATAAAGTGTTTGTATTGTTGATAGGCATAAAGCTAAATAACTGTCTTATTAACAAATTATTTATGCTCTATCGGTTAATATTACTCGTATTGTGCGCCTCATAATCCATGACTTCTTCATAGATAAGCTCCTTCCACTGCTCAACAGTATGCTCTCTCTCATCGACGCTATGATCATATGGCTCTGGAGCAGGCTATATAAAAAGAAACAAATATACAATAATATATGTATAAATGTGTTAAGTATATGCATTTAGTATATTATTATAATGACTGAACTACGACTACTGAAACCGGTTTCCAAAGAAACCGCGAAACCGGATAAAACTGTTATTTTTAGAGCTCCAATGTATAAATACTGTATATGTGTTTATATACTGTTAATGACGGTTAAAAATAAATACTTATATAACAAGTGGTTCAAGAATGGCATCCTAAAAGACTAGTATTTCTAACTTTATATGGCTGTACTTATAATATAATTGATTTTAGATTCGGTTTAGACCCCAATAGAGAATGCGTATTTCTATTTTACGAAATTAACTATTATTGCATCTTTATCGTTTTCTTAATAAAAAACAGAACACCAGAACACTAAAAAGGCAACAGTGTGGTGTACTGAATTCTATATACTATATAAAGTTTATATTCTGTGGTATAGATTTAAATATAAAATTTATATTAAAGTTATTTTTTCTTTTTAGAAGAAATCAAATACTTACAGCATCAACCTCTTCGGCGTCATACCATACATTAATGTATTCATGCTGTAAAGCTCTATCCACTGATATCCTCTGTTCAGGGTCGATTACTAGCATCTTGCTAAGTAGATCCCTCGCCTCAGAAGCCTTTCTTCGGCTATTTTGACTATTATCATTAGGAAACAGACCATCAGGAAAAAGCCTATCAAATGAATATCCAGTATATCTTGGACGATTCTCAACGTAATTGCGAACAGTTGGCTGCAGACGCTGCATAAATGATGGGGACGGTGTGCCCAATTGCTCTATAATTCAAAATTCAAAAGTTATATTCAAAATGTTCGCTCATTTGTATTTCTTCTTCTTGTTTACCAATTATTTTATTCCACTGATCAATGTGATCAGTTCCAGGAAAAAGTACTCCACCTCTAATCATCTCACCCATAATGCATCCCACTGACCAAATATCTACGTTTTCGGTATATCCCATACCCAAAATGACTTCCGGAGCTCTATAATATCTAGTTACGACATATGGAGTCATCATAAATGTGGTACCAGCTGTGCGTGCAAGTCCAAAATCCAATATCTTTAGAGTACAGTCGGCCTTAACAACTATATTGGAAGGTTTTAAATCCTGTGAAAAACATAATGAGTTCAGTTTGAGAATTATGGAAATAAGCACATAAAACCATATCCGAGCAAATGTTCTTCAACTGCCCGATGTTATTTAACTTCCACCTTATATCAAGGATTTGCATGATCTACTATAAGAGCGCCTACACGGAACAGGAAAACAGAGAATACAATAAACAATACTTAACTCTATGTATAATTCCAGCGGAATGCAAATGCTTTATGCCACAGAGCATTTGGTAAAGCAAATAGGACATTCTGTCATGGTCTAAATCCATTTGAATAACCTGACATAAATTAGCATCCATTAGTTCCATCACAAGATAAACATCCTGAAACTCCTCCAAATTGCGTTGAGGTGTGAACGCATTTAGCAAACCAATGATCTAAACAAAAGCATAAATATGTTTTAACATTTCATTCGAAATAATAAAATACCACTTACATTTTTATGGTTCACTAATTTCATTAGCTTAAATTCTCTGTAAGCTCGTTTAGCGTGCGTCACATTTTGGAATGGGCGAGACAGTTTCTTTATAGCGACATTTTGATCGGTAATCGTGTCATAGGCAGCACTGTAAAAATCATAGCATTTCTTTGTTGTGTACTCATGTAGGGGTTCAAAATACAAATAAATATCATATCCACTTCCATTTCAAATTTAATTCATTTTATTAAAGCAACCAAAATTTGTTTCAGATTCCATAGTTTTATTGTACTATTGTAAAATAGGTAAAAATTGATCTAGTTTACCTTATTTTTTAAATGAACATTTTATAGTTTGAAAAATTCTCATTTACCATATTTCACTTACCATACAATGCCTTGGGCACCAGATCCAATAGGCCTTAATTTAATATACCGACTAAGAATTGTAAAATTGGTATCGCCCACTTCAACGGTATAATGATGAGCGGCCATAGTCAACACGTTATATTAATATTGGTGTTAAATACAGCTACTGACCATTTCGACCTGAAATATATATGATAAACATGTAGTTTAATAATATAAAATACTAATGAAATGAAAATTACAAATATATTGAAATTAATATGTCGTTTAGTATATTAATATAAGGGATTTTTGTAAACAATTTTTAGCTTTTCTGGGAAATTTACGTTTGGATAGGTAAATGTTTTAAGAATTGGATCATAGCTGTCAAATCCAGGAATTAATTTTTTATAAATTTCCAATCAGGCATTTTAATAATCTATTTTTGTTTAATAAAAACCAAAATGCTATCTCCATATAACAAATCAAATCAATTATAGTTGAAACCAGAATCCAATTGATTAATAGTTGTTTTAGGCTTATATATTGTAATCTCTATCTCTATTTACAAGCTTCTTTCAGCATTTTATGTTCGTAATTTGATTGAATTAGAAAATAATTATTGTCGGAATATTGCAGCTGCTTACGTTTTGATAGGTTCGCAATTTATATACACACATATATTGGCGAACTGCATAACACTCTGAACCGCTTGTTCGCAGTAGCTCAACAGCAGTCTAATACCCTTATATAAATCGTTAATTACCTATCTACACCTAGCTATAACTATTAATGCTATACACATTCAAATTCACCTTTATAACGGCACTTTCATTTCTTAATTCACGTATTTCAATAATAGCTTGATAAATATAAGAACAACTTTCTTATTTACCAAGATATTTAATGTTTGAACTTTCTCAGTGTAATGTAGAGAAGTAAATCCGCTAAGTTTCATAGAAAGTTTGGTTATTTAAATCTCTAACTTTGTATTACATATTTTGTATGCTCGTACACAAAGGAAGCAGAGTATACTAGTCGTTGACAATTCTCAGATAAAGACTTGATGAAGCCAATATGTAAATATTTTTACTGGGACCGCAGCAAATTGAGATATATTCTATACGTTTACGCTGTTTTAGTGTAGAGTATAGTAGAGTACATTCATTCTTGTATTTACCCCAATAAATGAAAATAAAGAAATGCTAAAATCGGAAGAACTATAATATATGGATATTCCATACTTCAAAAGCTAAGATTCTGGAAAATGACCGGTTTCTCAAATGGATTTATTTGAATTTCTAACGTTATTATTACGACCATATTACAACTAAAATAACCCTGAATATATATATCAAGTTTCCTATTGATTTTAAATAAATTCAGCATATGATAAGAGTATTACTAAGTCGACTGGCATCATATTGCAACATTTTTATTTGTTTACAAATCGATCATTTCTACGAATCCATTTTATCTTACTCTTTCTCACTGATAATATAATCAATAAAAGACATATACAAATGCAAAATAAAACCAATAGTCAATATAACAAAAGATGTTTTGAATGTTCCGGTAATTGAAAACAGCTTTTCCTTTTCATTTACATTTTATTTATCAACAAAGAAAGGGCAAATCCTGTTTAGTTGTATATTTTACAATTATGTATAAAGCTTATGCATTTTTCACTGAGAACGAAGCACAAATTTTACAGCCAGGCCTAGTCGGCGCTTCTGCAAAAATCCATATTTCTTAGTCATAGATATTGTTTTTTTTTCTTTCGGCAAGTCTTAGAATCTTATCTAAGAAGAATTTGGATTGCTTTTATTATAATTACACTGTGCAATGAGTTCTCACATTTTTTAGGCATTGTTTTTAACGTTTTATTTAACTTACTTTTAGTAGAATCGTAAGAATATACACTTTTATTTATGTTCACAATGGTAAAATCGATATTTATATACATACGTAGGTATTTATGTTCACAATGGTAAAATCGATATTTATGTACATATGTACATACACAAAATCAAACTACACGCAAAAAATATTTACATGCAGACTTAAATGAATAATAAGCGTTGTTTTTCTGTGCGGCTGCACGTTTTTTTTATCATATGTACATATGTAAACAATTTAATAGCAAGCTTTTCACTTTTACCCAGTTTTATAACAGTGAAAAAATATATAAATGTAACCACTATAAAAATCTGTTTTATACACGACAATTTGATGTACACACACAAATGTAATTATGTGACCAATTCGTTTGTGAATTGGATGTAAATCAATATTATCAATCAGAAAAACATTTGTAATTTATACAAATGATCAATATTGTGTATGGCATTACACATGCATAATTATATTTACCTTAAATATATATGGCAATTAATTTATATATAGCAAATTCGTTATCACTAAATTGACAAGTCGCGCGCTTAAGTTAACTTGTTAATTTATTTATTATTGTATTTTATAAAATCGCAGATAGACAATATGTATATCATGAAAAATGATTTTAATTTGTTTCATACTATACTGAAGTAAGACCCTATTGCACTATCTCAAAAAATACTTTATTTAATTTAAATACTGTAAGAGTTAAATACTGTAGGAGCGTAGTATTTTTTATATATTACAGGTTGTAATTGATGTGCAAAATGAACCCTTAAGGGTGTTATACTTATAAACTTGACGATTAACAATTATATATTTAATATAATAAAATAATCAATATCTGTTTGGTATTTTAAATAATATAGTAATATCGATAGTTCGATAGCTTTGGTTTAGTATTTAGTAAATTATTTACACTGGCGCCAAAAGTTAAGCTCTAAATAATTATAATTTTATTTTTTTAAAGGTTTTTATGAAATTAGAATTAACTTCATTGTAAGCTAATTTACGAATCACTTGCACACAATTAAACAGTGAATATCGTAGATTTCATCATTAAAATACTTAGTACATAGGTATATCCGATTAGATGTAAACATAGAACTAAAGGTTTCTAATATGGATAGCCAGTTCTTTGAAATGCATACATTGAAGGATATATTCTACATCAGGACCATAAGCTGATCTAATCTAATGGTGCTCTGTTTTTTCATAAAACGAAAACAGCAGACATATAAAAAAGTAGTATTGTACGTAAGTGCAGCAGTATTATTATATTTAAAAAAAAAGTAAGCAGGATTCTTATAACAGTCGAAATTAGTATTTTAAAGCATACTCATCAAATGATGTTCATATAATCCCGAAAAAGGTAATTTTATAATCATGTACGCACATTTATGCAACTGTTCGAATTTTAAATGCCGAATATTCAAAAGCTTTGATCTTCCTAGTGCAAACAAATTGTTAGATATTTGCGTCTATTTAGCGCGACTGGATTTAATATAGATGAATATCTTAAAATGTATACTTTTAAATACTGTTACCTCGACTATAATATAGATATTAGTCAAGTAAATTAATAAACCTATTTAAATTTTAATTTTTAATTTATTATTTAATATTTTTGATAAGTTCTCTGAATACATATATATATTTACAAATATCAATTTTTTTAATTACGTCCCTAAATATGTGCAATTATCATTAACAATATCAATGCGTTAAAACTTAAGCCTACAAACATGTTTCCTCGTTGGACTGCCGCTGGATGATCCCCTATATAAAAGAGTATTAAGTTTTAATTCGAAAAGTATTATATTCACAGAATAATTTTACCATTTAAGATGTGAACGTAAACGGATTTAGAGTTGGCATTAGATGGCAGACACGAATACTTTCCGGAGTCCGAAATTTGAGCTCGCTGTATTAGCAAATAGGATGTGGTTATGTCACCTTTTTCGGTTATTACAGATACTCCTCCTCTTGGCGAATCATAGTTAATTTCCTAAAAAAAGGAGATATATTAAATCAAAAATATTTAACACCTGAATGAGCATAAGGCGAACTGTTTCTTATCTATATATACCACATTACCAAACTAACAGGGAACCAAACATAGAACTCGTGTAGAATTGCTATTTCTAGCTTACAACTAAACGTAAATATATATGCTATAAGCATTATTATCACGCGCTTACGCTTCTTTAACTATACTTTTTAATTTACACTAGATTTAACTATATTTATGGGTACTCAGCAATTTGATTGGAGTCCCAAAATTAGTAAGCTTTTTAGAATATGGGTTTTTTAGAATATGTTATTAGCAGAAGAAAAATTTTCTTTAAACTTACTTGATTATTGTGAGTCCAGTGCACCATTAGAGGTGGATCAGGAAGATGTTTGACAATACATGTTAAATTAACAGTTGATCCCAAATCTATGTATAACTCTGGTCCGCCTGGTATAGTTGTTATTGGTTCTGTAATTAAATATGGTAATGAATATATAATAGGCATAATAATCAGTGCACTCAAACAAATAATACCATCATACAAAGGGCGCGCAATTTACTTTGGAGTTCTCAAATGACTAAATGCAGAAAGACTCGGAGGGCAAATAGCTTAGATACAAATACACATATTTTAACATCAAAAATTTTTAGTCGTTTAAATGTTAAATTATGTAACGCTTTGGCAATTATAATCGCGCATTGTTCATGCTGTTTCCTCATTTATCAAGCAATTATAATAAATCTAGAAGCAATAGCAAAGAACTAGAAAGCTGTTTAAACAGTTATATAAGTTTTGTGCAGCTCTCTGTACTTCTTAAGGAAATCAACAGCGTGCGATGCGTGAGATTTAGCAGTGCAAGATCAGGTATTCACGCAACGTTACTCAGCAGCTCTCTGGTTACGATGTCCATGCCCGTCAAAGCTAGAAACCGCTAAAAAAGTGATCACATTCCAATATTTGCAGAAATTTCTACAGAATAAATTTATGTCGTTGAAAAAGGCAATTTAAAGATGTTCAAGGCGTGTGTTTCTAACTATATTCTAGTTGACCGTTTCCGCTTATAATGTTAATATGCCAATTATAAATATAGATCCTTGTATCGTAGAACGTACCCACAACAGAGAAAATCATTGTATATCCCACTGGAGGTGTTGTTGATATTTGACACTCGTAAACTCCGGAATCTCTTATTTGTGGATATTTGATCTAAAAAGTAAAATTGAGATTTTAATTAGTCAAATTTTGTTTTACAATGTTTTATTTATGTATATAATATTATTATATATTATGTTTATTATTTAATGTCATGGAGTTTTGAAGACTTGTATATTTGGCATTTAAAAAGGGAATACTGAGAGGTATCAAGATATTGTAAAATATTTTTGAGCTGTGCAGGAACTAAATTTGGTATCGCAAACTATTATAGTCTGCGAATCACGTAGACATTCTCTTACTATATAATTATTATCTATGTTAAGGAAATGGTTGAGCTATATAAATGTATTGGAACAAACGTTTCGAATTCGAGAATATATTTTTCAAATTATAATTCATTGCCGATTGCGAGATCTATGTAGCGGATAGACAGACGAACAACTGGACATGGGTAACTCGAATCCGCTTACTGTCCAGATTAAGAATATATATTACACGATTCACTTTATAACCCTTGACTAGAGTTAAAAAAACTCTTTTTTTTACAAAAAAAATAAATTTTAATTTATGTTTGGTACCTGTAATGACCAGTCGCCAGTTTGCTTATTGTATATTGCCGTAAATCTTTGGTCCGATGTATATGTACTTTCAGATACTGTTAGTAGGTGCAGATCTCTATGTCTTATCCAAGATACCTGAGATCAAAGAACTTTGGTAAAATCATTTCAAATTTATTATATTTTTATTTTTTACTAACCGTTTTATTTCCCAAATTCTTAATTCGACAGTTTAGATGTCCGGTTTTGCCAACGAGAGATGTTACGTTTTTCGTGGCTGTCGTATCGAAATAGGGCCCTCTATCAATATATTTAACTAATTGTTCCTCATTGAAATTGAAACCATGCACATCATCGCCTAGCATCAGCATTTCCGTCACATTCATTTTTGGAACAAAATGTTTGCTTTGGCATGATGTTAATCTAGAAAATACTATTAGGGATACATATTATATTAGTATTATTATGGACAGCATTATTATAGTCGTTTGTTTTATTATCTAATCTGCATAGAAAGTATGTAATATGATTAACAAACTTTTCATTCAGTATAACATATTTCCACAATTTGTACATTAATCCACTTACATATATATGCAATATATAAAATGATTCGAAGACTTCGCAGCTTAATCATTTTATGATTTATTCTAAATATATTTATTTTAGCATTTGATTTTTTAATTTTGACACTCAGGATTAAATGTATGTAGGTCCTGAAGCCCGTTTACATTCTTTTTCGACTTTAGACATGCGCATTAGCGAATAATCGCAAAAGAATGTTTACATACAACGTTTTGAGTAAATATTTTAAAATCCCAAATATTATCAAATCATAAAAACGACTCCAATTATGCCTAACTTATAAGCGAACTATTATTGAAAGCTTATTAACATTTAAATAATTATTTGATAGTCAAATTCAGTTATTAATTTGAGCTTTACCTTACATTCAGTAAATAATTAATTTTAAAATTTATTATAAATTCCATCTATCGTATTATCTAAATAGTTATCGTATCTATATATTATCTTTAAATAGAAAAAAAGTCATCAAAATTTATTATTTAGCGATATCTACGCATGAGACTTCACGATACTCAAAAGCTCACCGTACTACCTTGAAATATTTAAAGATAAGACATTTGTAGTAGATAAATAAATGCGTAGAAATATTATTTTAGCTATTGTTAAATTATGATATTGAATCATTTGTTCGTATAAAAATAGAAATCAAGAGTTTTTCATGGAGTTGATTGCAATCAAAACCCTGGAGGAATATTTTCGATCGTTCCCGATGTGAAAATAATATATAGGTTTCATGCAATACATATTGTGCTGCCCGTCCGCCTGAATGATTAATCAGAAAGCCTTGATACAATTCGTTTATAGTACGTTATTTTTAAATACTAATATACACGTGGAAAATAGGGAAATATTATAACACAAACTCACCGCACTTTTGAAGCTAGGGACTTGGAATTTAGTATACATACACATGTTGACAACTTGCGTCTAAAAATATATATGTAGCGTCCATGTCGTTTATATAGTCTTGATATTTGCCCCCATCGCTTTCACTATTCCCTTGTAATTTCCTCAGAGGGTTCTGATATGCTGTCACCCAACACATTTGGCGTTAAATACTTTAAACATTTTGTTGATTTTGTTTTGTATACCTTGAACCCATTAAAAAAGTGAACTCAAGGTATACTGGTTTTGTTAAAATGTATTTAACGGTCTGAAAGAGGTCTGACAGTCCAGGTGTCGATTTAGCTTTGTCCGTCTGTGTGTACGACCTTCCGTCTATCCGTATATATAATGGACACTTCAATCACAGAACCTATCAGAGCTACAGACTGTAATTTTTATGTAGATCTCTATATATCGATTAGAACCATTATCGAAATCGAGCAGACCCTATAAACTATATATATTTTTGATCAGGACGACAAGCCGAGTCGATTGAGCCCTGACCGTCTGTCTGTCCGTATGTGTCAACGCGTGGATCTCAGCATCTATAAGAGCTAGAGAAATTTGGTTTTGTAGGTCCGTGTATAGCACGCGCAGGTCAAGTTTGTTTCAAATATTCGATAACTATTCGCATTTAATTGTTATTGAATAAAAACATGATTGAAATGCAGTTAATAAATTATATCTCGGACGTCTTAAGAGCTAGAGTCTCCAAATTTTGTATTTAGTTTTATGTATATTCTATGCAATTTTTATTTTTATTAGATTTTGGATACCAACTCCAAATTTCCCCAAATTCTTCAAATTGAAGTTCAGTTGGAACTAGGGCCATTATGTGAAAGCGATTGCATCTCAACCAAGCCAATAGGATATGTAGATCATATGCAGAAAATTTCATAAAATCCATTAAGTAAAACAGAAGTTATTAAACAAAACGTTTGGCCAATTTGCAAAAGCACATGTCAACAGCGCCAAGCATTTTTCCTATACGTGTGCACACATACATTCAAATGCGTGTATTCTTTTCTATTCGATGAATCGAAATTGCGATTGAATTGTGCTGAATTATTAGCTGCTACTTGACTTCAAATTTGCAACTGCTCGAGTAGGCAGTGCAGTGGCTGCGTTGGTAGAGGCGGCGCTCGTTAACGTTTAGTCTTGGTTTTAATCGTCGTGGCGATGGCACATTTTTTATTGTTTTATTTTTTTTTTTAATTATGAAGGGGCGGTGTTGGTAGAATTGGTGCACGTTCCGCAAACAATCCGGGTTCGAATCCAGGTCTCGTAATGTCGTTTTTTATTCGATACAAACTACGGAAAATATTAAAAAACTCAAAGAGGACTGAGGGTATCTCCTAGTCGGGCACCCCGACTAAAGCTTCTTACTTGTTTTTAGATTGGTGTGGGTTCCTCCTGTAGTTGAACACCATCTAATGACGTCTTCCCCTACGACAGTCAAGCTTTATGGATTCGTAGAGCGATGAAGTCATTTATGTTATCGTCCACGGTCAGATATATCTCCAATGACAATTTGACACCCATTGTGTCCTATGGTTCAAAATTTTACAGTAAAGTTACTATAGTTAAAATTTGATCATTTACTGTGGTGGGTGAATCATATATACTACATATTCCATAGTTTTTGAGAAATACTCGCTATTTCAGACGGATCATCTTCTTCACAGATCAATTATGTTGTTCGCTTATCGGAACGCGGCAAATTCGATAAGTTTTTAATAAATCGATCATGAACAGGTACTATGGAGTCAGTAGCGGCAGACTTCAAGTTGTAATCAGTTTTTATTTTTCAGCGAACTGTATATTGTAATTGTAAGCTGAGCCCTATGAACCTACATATGAGCGATTCGCTAATAATGTACTTTACTATTTTGGTAAACATAATCCTCTTGGACCCAGAGGTGAATACAATATTCGCACGTGTGTAGGTTCAAACAAATATTTATACTACCTTTATCTTTGGTGTTAGCCTTTTTTTCTCAGTATCAATGGGTTAAAAGTATTTAACTATGACAATCTATATTTGTCGGCAAATCTCAGTTCGATGTGTCCATGTATATGATAGCAAGTTGTATTGTTATCGTTGCTTTACCACTAACTATTCAGTGCGTGAACAGGTTCGAATGGAAATTAATATTCAACAAAACAAATGACAATATATATAGTTAATGATATTTCATTTGTTGCAATTATCATACAAATATATACCACTATGCGAAGTCTTAGAGTCAATCGAATTGTATGGCCAATTTTGTTCCATTTCCATCGTTTCAATTGTTACGCCCCTCTCTGTTCTAGCGTACATACACAAAGTGAAAAGTAACTTCTATTGATGGTGTGTAAATTGTAATTTCTTTGTGAGTCCTCAAATGTAAACCGTAACCATAGTCGATTGTATTTATAATTCGCAGCTACGATACTTTTTTATATTTAATTAACTTTTCCATTTGACGCTTGGTTTGTAACAATAAACTAAATGTTAAGCAACACGCATATCTATTAAAATTTGTTAATACAATAATTACAAAAACGCCAATAAAAATCGAACATGTAAATATAAATCATGTGTAGTAATTTCGTATTTTTCAAGAATTACAACAAAATATTGTATAGTGTAAATTACTTTTGTGCAAATATTATATGATTCACGTATATACGGAACGTGTGTACATGTGGCTCAAGTGTTTCTTATATATATTGTTCATGTCTTCTTTCAATGTATTGTGCGCGCATAAGCTTTTCGCTCCGCCGTTTGCTATCATGAAAATTTGTCAGCAAATGGCGAAAAGTCATGAATGACAATTTAGTGATGCAGTGTTAAAACATTCAGCTCAAAAGGAAATGGGCATTGAAGTGATGTTTCAATCATCTTCCTTTTATTTTACATATTTTACCTTGCTCTTACAACTTTGCACTTGCGCCATGCGCCATCTGCCGTTTTGACTTTTTTGCGCTCTTGTGAAAGGCGATCCGCAAGAGATTTGTACCACATATACGAGCTATACGTTACAGAACCTCTGAATGGATACACGCTGTATCCATACAAGATTACTGATTTTCTGAAAACTAATACTTGGTTGAAGGTTTCAATCATTAAATTTAGTGCGTTTGAAGCGGGTTAAACCATTCAGTCCTCAATGAAGACAATATCGATATTTGACATTTGCGGATGGGAATTTGGCTTGGCTTTCATATTTTGAACACGATGTTTTTATTCGAGGGTAGTTTCCTTTCACAATTTATCTCTAGTGTAATGTCGTCATTGAGTCAACCGTTTATCGTTTGAGTCTATCGACATGTAACTTTGGATAGGTCTGTTGCTTTGTTTGTCGTTGAGGCACATATGGGAAAATTGGTCAAAACAAGTGCCTCAATTGATCAAAAATCTGTAGAAACTAAATTTTTTTAAATATTTTTAGAAATTCAATATTTTTGTAAATATCTTGAAGTATTAAATATATGTATCTGCAACAAAATCGAGGTACCTAACGTGCTGTAAAACCGCTCACAAGAATTTCTCTATTCGATTACGGAAAACTGCGAAAAAACAGCGTTACAAATGTCTAACGTATCAACCGAAAAAACTATTATTAATTGATTTGTCCTTTTTGAGATACCATTCAATCATTATCCCATTGACATAACTTGGTCTAAAGATCCTTTGGAGGCTGACCCATCTTTAAAAAAAGGTGGGATCCGTCGATGTTTTCTTTCCTTCTTGTCTCTCTCAATATCGACCGCTTGACCAGAGTCGAAAGAAAACTGTATAAAACCGCAATATCATGCTTATATGTAAGGTTTGTAATATGGTCAGGCATTACCATACATAATCTGCTGACTTTATATATTATATGTGATCTGTTCCCAGTTTTGCTTCAATAATGTCGTCATAGGTAAATGGGCGGTTTGTCATATTATTAAATCACCAGCTGTGTCAAAAAGTGCTGTATTCTTTTTTAAATCGATTAATCTGCTTTGTGGACATATATTTGATCTGTCAAAGGCAGTCTAGTTCTGTATCCTATTACTTTTTTTTACTCTGCTTAATACTAAACATCTCCCTTTACCTCTCTTGAGTTCCCTGCCCAAATGCTGAATTTCACATTCATGTAGTTTTATCCCGCTTAGCCGTCGTATATGCCCGCATTGGCTTCGTATATACCGATGTTCATTTGTAGTGAATTTTTCTAATCCTCTTCCTCCCCCTTCGGTTATCGTCCCTTAAGAAATTTTCGTAGCTAGGTTCCATATTCTAATGCCTGATTCGTTGTGAAGATATGTCATCATCCCGCGGCTGTGTTAACCTAACATATAAAGGGAAAGGGATCTTACTTTAAATGGAAAAGGCTACCAATTAATATTTTTAATAAATTTGGTCTCGTTAACACGGAACTTTAAATTCATAAATTCTAACTGTAGGAAAGTAAAAAAACGCTAATGGTATTTAAGTAGCGCCATAAGCGAACCTAAGAGTTCATTATAGAATTAAAGTTGAAAATATATGGACGCACCAGGGCTGCTGAAATATTTAGGCTCTACCATGCGTTCTGCTAAAAATTATACAAACATAACTGGGCTATCAATAATAAATATAACATTAAGCATTTCTGCCTAAAACACTTTTTACAATAAACTTATAATAATTAAAACTTATTTCAATTCCATTTTAGTCACAATGGATGAATCCGATAAAACGCAGCAAAACATGATATCGAATCTTCCGCTACTGTTCGCAAATGGATATCCAACTTCGTTAGATAAAATAACTGAATCTCAGCTAGAAAATTTTATACCTTTCATGGTGCAATGCTCTTTGGGACATATAAACCTACCAAAAAGAATAGACTGCAGCGAACCCGAGTGGTGGCCGGAAAACGCATCCTTTGGCATTCCGTTAAAGAAGCCGAAACACTTTGTTGGAGTAAGTGACACATTATTGCACGTTTGTAATTTATTTTCTAAATTTTACTTTTCGTTTCAGAGCTGGATAAAAAAAATGAAAGAGATTGTAGTTATATGTTACAAATTTCACAAAAGTCTGTTTCTATTACGGTTTTGTAATGACTTAGCTGCTTATGAGCATGCAAGCTTGAGATTTATCAACAACTATAATTCCACTACGTCGCTATACGACAGACGAAATAATAAATTACTGGTTACATTTCGTAATGAGAATATGGTAAGCAGAACTAAAATAAAAGTGATATTTTGACGAGGCAATAAGTATTAAACTTGACGAAGAGTGCTCTGATTATGAGATGCCATTAATCTCACATCCCGCTTCTAAATTATTCCCTAATGAAGATCTATTGCTTGAATTTATATACCAATTTATTATTACAATTACAGTCTTATGATCGACTGCAAAAAAATAGGAAATGTTTGTTATTACACACAAACAAGACCGACCTGCAAGGAGATGACTATATGATGGTCGAGCCGCCACCGTTCGACATTTATCTGTGTGATAACTGTGATGCTGAATTATATTCCAAGGAAGCTATCTTGGTAAGTGAAGGCTATATTCGTCTTGCTCAATATTGCTCTAGCTTCAATGTTTTTTTATTTGCGCAGGAACATGAAAAAATGTGTATTATGGAGGATGATGTGATTTTATGCGATTCTCCGGAACCGGAAAACAAAATTGAAATTAAAAGTGAAAACACAGAGTTAAGAAACGCTTTCCTTCTCAACTTTTGTCTTCAGTCAAAAGCAACAAATTGCAATTATTCTAAGAAAATACAAGGAACTAACACAAATAATGAAGAATTGGTCACGATGACTTCAAACAGAAAAAGACGCATATCATCGCGAAGGAATCGAGCTGTTCCTTCGCTTAACAGATGTTCGTTTATCCCAATATCATCTCCCGCTGGACAGAAACTGTTGTCTTCAATAAAGCAGACAATATCAATGGAATATGTTTTTGAAAGACAGGAACGCCTAGATCGCTTTTGTTATACGCCCTTAATTAAACCAAATTGCAATCATAAAATTTTTGAAAAGAAAAATTGTACAAATAACATACATATAACTTTCAAAAAATTGCAATATTTTAGTTCACATATCTATACTTTTCCGCGCCGACAGTTTTTGCAACGTAGATACATTACTCAGAACTTTTTGTTTCTTAATTCTCCATTGATAAAAAAATGCCGTCCAATTTCGGTCAGATTAAAAAAAATGACTGACAATAGCGGAGAGCAATTTCCTATAAATAATACTAAGCTAAATATTAGATTAACACGCGATACTTCACTTAATTCCCAATGGAGAATTTCACCATCCAGCGAGGTAATCGTCGACACAATTGATTTGTGTTCGTCAGATGATGATGATCAGTCAATTTCCTCGACAAAAATACCAAAAGCAGATAAGTTTGCGGTAATGTCCTTAGCGCATAACAATGAAATCGCTGTCATCCAAAAGAATCATTCAAGTGAAAGTGAACGCAATTCTCTACCTGAATATTTACAAACAACAGATGACAACTCTCTAAAACCCCTTAAGCAATCTGTTTATATTTATTCCAATTACAAGACTAACTCGGAGCTTAACACATTCAGTCTTGAGCCAAAAGCCAATAGTTCAGCAAAACCGTTAGTTCCATCAAACACATTATCACATTCACATAATCAAGAAAATTGTAATTTATCAAAGAGGTTAGTGACTGCTGCTTCAGAGTGGCGTACCAGTTCAGAAAAGGGGGAAATTAATCAATCAGAGACCATTGCTTTTGAAAATATTGCAGGCTTGAACACCTTTACCACGTCTGCTAGAATTGTTTCCATTGATTTAACAACGTAAAATTTACCGCTAAGTTAATATAAGTAAAATACTATTGTTATTTCGTACAATAAAGTTTGTAAATATCTAAGATTTTCCAACTTACAATGGTTTTTTACTTCGTTTGCATTAGTTAGTGTAAGGTAAACTTTCAGCATTCATATAGTGTAATTGTCGGATCAAGAAGAAATAACTTACCTGAATATGTGTTTGGTTTTCCGGATAACAATGAATGAATAGTTAAGGCTTTGATTGCATGGGCCAAACTTGTCACCTTAAACGAAAACAGTCTCCTTTAGGACTATCTATGCTACTGTTATTTCCTTCCACGACAGACCAACGTAAACCGAGCAAGGAAAACCCAAAAAAATTCCAAAAATTTGTGAGAGGAGTCGAACTGCGTGACTGTTACTGGATATATGTCTGCATTAGACAAAGGATCCTTCAGGATTCCTCTCTACATTGTCCATGAAAAAAGTACTATCTACAAGGAATGAATGACCACAACCCATAACCCTCGAAAGGCTGATTACAATATGCGTCTTATTGAACGGAAGAAAGAAAACAATTAATATGATCGAATATGAAGTCATCACTTTTAGAAGTTCAGTTGATTATTGCCTTCGGAAGACTCAGCTTGAAATAAAATTGTACTGTAGGATCAAATTTTAACACTATTTACTTTTATTATATAAATTAAACTCTTTTCACATTCATAGATAAAAACATAAACAGTTCATTTAAAAATAAGCTAATTTTTGTATATACCAACTTACTACAAAGACTCCGATGCACTTGTAACACTTAAGGTCCGTTTCGCAAGAGTATGCGGCTTAAGTGGCTGTGTGAATAAAGTAACTGAGAAACGAGTTTTAATTTGCCTAATTTATTACTTACTTGATTCGATAATCCTGTTTCCCCAAAAAGGAGATCATCACGTCTGGCTGTTCGCCTACGCACTTTTGGACTTTTGTCGAAAGAGCTAACATTTAAAAATAAATACAAAATAACAAAAGTGAATATCCATTACGAACGTTTTTCAATAATCCGTGACCTCGCATACTGTTTCGAATAATTGGTTGATTGTTGAGTAAACTTCGTTTTTATTTAATGGAACCGTAAGGACTTCATTTTTTCTTTTATCATGTAAAGAAAGTTATAAAATGCTCTCTTTTTTTAAACAAATAATTTGAAATCATTTGAAAAGTTCTTTAAGAAAATCATTTCGAAACGCTATTTTCTATTTGTGTAACAGTTAAAAGGTTTACTACCTAAAACATAGTTTTGAAACATAGGGACGGTTAACTATTAACTATTCTATATTTTTTACGTGCTTTATAGGAATGAATCTACTCGCCTAATGCATCATTTCAGCTTCCATTCAGATTTTCATGTTGGTAAGCCTATAGGTCAAATTTGGTAACATTAAATCATGAGAGTGTAAAAGAGATCTTAATAAGTTTAGTATTGAGTTCATGGCAACTGGAAAAAAACTATCGATCTTTATAGATAATATGTTATGAACGATCCCTGTATATTATAACTAATATGAAACCAACATTCGCGAAATTTCCTTCCTATCTAAAAGAAAGACATCTAAAATAAAATATCTACATTAAAACTGTAAACTTCGCCAAATTAATTCTAAAACACTTAAAAAGTTATTAAAAACTCGATCTTACGTTTCAATGGATGTACTGGGAGGCGAACATCTACTTTTGGGTAGATGTTCTATGGTAAAAGCGAGATTATCTTGGGCTGGTGTGCGGGGAATGTCGTAAGTTCCATTGCTGATCAAAGAATGTTGCGATGAGCATCGGTTTAAATCGCTTAAGTGAAGCTTGTCATCCATATTCATTGATTCAAATAGATCCGAAATTTGCACATTTGTATTGTTTGACAAAAAATATTGCAACAATTGTTGTTGAATACTACTCTCATGTTGGGCCTCTTTGAGTAACGCTTCATGCTCTTGCAAACGGCTTTCGATCATCGATGAATTACACGTTATAAATATTGCATTGTCAGACAACTTTTGCAGTAAGTATTTTGCCTCGTCAATTGAGTTAATTGTTTCTAGGATGCCTTGAATTTTATTTGCATCACTGTTTGCAGGGTCTTTAACATCTTCAAACTCCATGATAGCCTTTTGTATGTGCTCAATATTTTCTTGTATATAGCCAATATTCGTTTTTAAATTATCTTCTTCGTTTGAGTACTCAGATCCCTTATCAGTATGCTGGGGATCTTGTATTACTTTTAGCTCACGGCAAAGTTGTTCCCTTTCATTAACAAGTCGTTCAAGTTCAGTTTCCAATTGACTAATCAACTGTTTATTTCTGGCAGAGTGAACTACACTACGCGATAGAGTTTCCCAGCGATGATGTAATGATCGTGCCTGTTCCACTTTTGACGCTGATTGTCTGTTCGCTCTTTGATATACATTACCACTCCGTTGGCTTCGTCGAAGTGCCGATACCTCCTCTGTTTTCCGTTTTAAAATTTGCTCCTTTGCATTCATTTTCGCTTGCAAAGTCATAACTGCATTTTTCTGTCGTCTCTGCTCTTTGCGTAACTGTGCGATTTCTTGAGTTTTCCTAGAGTTTTCCTCTCGATGTCGGCTTGTTTGCTCCGATATTTTTTTCATTAACCTTACCTGAAACAATCAAATTATATACGTTTATCTTAAAAATTGAACAATTAAGTTACAGATATTAAAGAATAGCTAGAAAAGAGATATAAAATCATTTGATCTGGGAGATTAGAAAATAATTTCCATTAATATACTTAAAGCTAAGATTTAAAAATTTGTGGGAAACCCACATATATGTATATGCCAATAATACTCACTTTACTACATTTTAGATCATTAAGTTCCATTCGCAAATTTTGCAGCTTTATTTCTTGTGTCTTAATTTCCTTTTGCTGTCGAATATGTTCCCTTTGAGTCTGTTGCAATTTTTTCAGTTCCCGATTCATGTCATTAAGTTTCCGTTCATATTCCATTTTAACTGCTTTTAAATTGTCTTTTGGTTGACTAATCGTAGTAGATGTAGCTGAAGCTAAAAAGATAATAAAAAGTCAATACATTTATATGGAAATAAATGTTCAAGAATTTCAACTTTTTTATGGCAATAATTATGAATGATTTCAGTATTTGAAGGCTTTCTAATTCGATCTATTGATTGACATTAGTTTTACTTGCATTGTAATGCAAGAGAGCTCCGCAGGTAGAATGGGTAACCGAACATGACATATTTTTACATAATATTAACTTGTCATTTGCGACAATAATATAGCAATTATCACTCACCCATATTCGCCAACACCTCATCTCTTTCCTTTTGTGTACTAAAGATTTTAGATGTCAGGACGTTAAGTTTTTCTTCATAGTGTTGCCGCATAACTTGCATCCGCTCTTGAGACAATTCTAACTGTTCAATTAGTTTTGTTTTTATTTCTATATCTGAGTTAATTTCATTTAGATTTTCTTCCATCTCTTTCTCTGCAATAAACGATAAGCAAGCATAGATAAAAGTAATATTTATTTATAACCTTAATTATTTTTACCATTAGAATCACTTTCGCTATCTGAAAATTCCAGCTCAACTAGTTGACTATTTTCATTTGTTATTCCAGGTAATGAACGTGACATTAGGAGTTCCCTTTCTTTCTCTAGGCCTTTTTTAGCTATGTCGATGATTACATTGGGATCTGCGAAAACATTGAAGCATTTAATATTATTTATTTGTATTTCTGTTCTATATTCAATTTCTTACCTTCATATGCCATTTTATTAGCTCGCGGCGAATTCCCTGAAGAGTTAAATTTCTTCAACTGCTGACACATGTCTTCAGATTCTATAACTTTTGCTTGTAATTTTTCGATCTCGATCAAATAATTTCCTACCACGTTGGTAACTGATATATCCGAATTATTGTCTTTTGCCCATTCATGAATTTGCTTTTCCAGTTTGAGCTGGGCATTTCGATCAATTAATATGTTGATTGTCTCTTGCATTGATTTCAGGCGCTGCTGTAAACGTTTGTTATCATCCAACAACATGGAGTTTTCATAATATGTATCTGAAATTAAGGTATTTCCTTGAGAATCCAAGACACGTTTGCCCTGTAAACAATTTAGAAAGAAAGTATTCAGAAATGATATCTTGAGCTGATAAATGAATTGTTATTTTCATATTTTACCTGCTTATATTCTAAAAGTTCTAATTGCAAAGCAGCGACTTCTCTTCGAAGCAACGAAATTGTTCGAGAACTTTGATCTTGATTGATTTGAACTTTGTTTTTGATATTTCGAGCTCTATTTGCATACTTTAATGTATTTAATGTTTCCATAAAGTCGCGATCACTCGGAGAGATGCATGCAATCATCAAGGTTTGGCTATTGCCTCCTAGAGAATCTTGAAGAAGACGCGTTAGCTTCGAGTCTCGATAGGGCACATGTGAGACTTTCTTCGATTTATCGCCCAACGCTGAAATGCAATTTCCAAGTGCCAGAAGGCCACAATTTATTGATATACCCTCGCGAGCACGATCTCCAGTTGCTAGGGTCCGTTTCAAACGTTCCGAACCAGCTAAATCAACAAAATGGAATTTAGATGTCAAAGTCTCGAAGTCGCTATCGCTAAAATTAATTTTCGGCTCGATCATTTGTTGCCGGCGAACAAATAACGTAAACACTGCATGCGATCGTGATGATAAATCATTCATTTTAGTTGAAGCTGTCGTTCGCGCTAAGGCGCCTTGCTGTAGCAATCTGAAATAATGCAAAATAATAAATAAATTATAAATGCATTTATATTTAACTGATGTTCAAATATGTTTATAAGCTTAAAATGAATACTGAAAGAAGTTGTCTAACTACAATTTAATTGATTACATTTTTTTATATCATTAAAGTAAAATCGTTTAACTGGAATTAATCAACTCTCCTAGCAATTAAATTTCATACTAAGAAAAGAAAATTAATAATTTCTCCTCCAGAAAAGCGGATATAAGATATAAAGATTTTTATAATTTTTTTACCTATGTTTCAGAAATGCTCACCTGTAGCTTTGCAGATTAGTTAATAAAGCCGGGCTTAGCTTAAAATTACAAATTTTTGTAAAATGAAATATTGTAAGAACTTATTACATTCTTTGGCTTGCAATGATTGAAATAGTTTATTTTACTAAGCAATCGATTTCTTACGTTATACATTAAAAAAATAGTTATATACTCACTTTAAGGCATCTTGGGACTCATTGATTGGCTTAATAGTAGCACCTGCCACAGTTATTTGCCCATTTCCACTTTCATGTATTTTAAAAGATGAATTTTTGTTAAATGGATCCAGTAAATCGATAATGTCTTCGTTATACAACTCTATAAACTGAACAGCCACACTAAATTGCGAATTCGTGGCAGAGGCATCACTGCCTTCGGAATGCTGCAATTTATCGATGCCAGCGAATATATGTCGTATGGCGCGAGGTATTATGCCAATTTGATAGTCGCCAGAAGTGTGATCAAATCCAGTTCCCATTGTGTAGGTTTTCCCAGAGCCCGTTTGACCGTATGCAAGTACTGTAGCATTATAGCCATGTAAAGTTCCTTCAACCAAGCGTTCAACGCATTCCGCATATATATCACTCTACGAATGTGTGAAATGTATAAATAAAATATATTTCTTGTGCTGGCAACTTACCTGATTAGAGTCCACATTATATACATAATCAAATGTAAACGCCTTATCTGATCCTAGAACAATTTGTTGCTCCCCAGGAGTAACCGTGGTACATATTCGACACATGTCAATTATCTCTCTTGAATTTTGAGGACGAATTCTAAAAATATGGAAAATTACCGTTTGGTTTCATTAGGTTATCAACAGTCTCATAGTCTCTCATCTGTCTATTTGTTTATTATAAATCTTAGAGACAGTTGCAGTCAGGATCATTATATATAATAGTGTCTTATTTAACACAATCACTCACCGTACTGCCACTCGAACTAGGCAATCCTTGTCAATATCTCCATCCGCAGCCATGTTGAATTATTACGCTAAGAAATTAATAACTTTATTAAAAATATTGATAATGTCAAATGGTACAATCGTAAGCAACCAACTGCTATACAAACTTCTAACTTCACACACGTGAAACAAAATTTGGCTAGAATTCTGAGCTACTCTTAGGTTATCATAAATAAGGTCTTAATATCTGATTATGTGAATATATGATCTGAAGGAACTATCTGCATGTTGGCATGTTGACAAAAATATTTGTTTTAGCTCTCAACATCTTCCACTAGGTCCTGCAGTTGTCTCTGAGAATCTATAGAAAACAGATCACTGTCGTGTGGCTAGATCGTAATCACCTAGGCACACTCAACTGCAACTTCCTTAAGAAACACCATGTTGTTGCACGCTCCCTAAGGAACACTGCAAATTATTTTTCATAGAAAACTTAAGTGGAATAGCCATAGCGATGCTTGAACAATTTTACGATGTTGCCTTTACTCAACAATCCTTTATATGAAATACTCTATATCCTCCCATCCATCCATTAGAATTAAAAAACTAGCTGTAAACAACAGTTAATTGTTGATCTTGATTATTCATGAGTGCATAATCAACTTTTGAATATTAAATGTATATGTACATATGTATGTGCTGCTATATATATACATTTTTGTATGTGATAATCCATCTTAAGGTTTCATATGAGTAAAATTAGTACAAATAATTATAAATATTATAAAATTGTCATATGTCGATAGACACAATCACAATGTGTACATACATACGAAATGAAATACTGATCTACAGCATCCAGAGCATCAATATCATTGATGAACAATAATTGCTTTATAAACAATAATTACTATAATAACCTTAATTAGTCGAAAAGTTTTTGAAAATACAGATTAGGCTTAATATTAGTTACTAATTCTGTAGCTTGTATTTTTCAACTGGAAAAAAAGATGACATACATTTATTGGTATGCAGATAGGAATTATATTTTATATGTATATATACATATTTGGAATTAATTTAACAACACACACATAAAAATAAGTCATATTTAACCATATATATGTAGACACATATGTATGTTACTTACAATTAAATATACAAAACCAGTTTTCACATTTTGACACCTGATGTTTACAAATAATTTCTTAACGCTAATATCAATCGAAATAAAAATATTATTTTTTAATGCAAAATTTAACATACCAATAAAATAATATTTGCATTCGCTGCTTTAAAATTCACAAGTGTATTAAAATCTGTTTAATCAAGATCAACGGCCAATATGTTTATTTTCTTACATACGATTAAATATACATATAAATACTCAACAGCTGTGAACAGCTGATGTCATTTGGGATGAACGATATTTCAATCATCGTCTGAAATTATAATGATGTCTCCACTACACATATTTTCTTTTTAACATTGTGCATATCGTAAATGTGACTTGCTTAGCCAGAGAGAATCAGATCAACAACGACCAATTTAATATTACTAAAAATCTGTTTGTAAGTCATATATAATGTTATTCAATATTTTTATCTAATTTTGATTTCATAAAAATCAGTTCTTGACTGCAACATGTCTTTACTTTTGGTCCTAACTAGCAAAAATAATTTTTCCAGGTCTGAACACATATGTACACAGCGAATAATTAGGTGTATCAATAATTGTTAATTTGTTAAAACGAACATAAAAGAATATATCAAAATTATAGCCACATAATAGCATAACACCAACCAAATACACTATTTCGTCTACATGTGTAACCTCAACTACAAATCTTTACATTGATAGTTCAAGTATAGAGTCAAATACTCATTTTATCAAAATTATCAATAAAAAATGCGCTTATAATTATTAATGTATATATATGTTAATTTACGATACATACAATGAAATAAATTAAATAAGATGTTTCGATATATTAAAGAAAGTCGATATATATAAAAACAAACATCGAATCCGTGTTACTCAATCATCTCTAGTCCCTTTATTGATTCGTTCAATTGAATTTGTTATGATTAAAACGAGCTAGTTCTGGTAAGGAGGTGCGGCCACAAATTTGAGCAAGAAAAAGGAATGCTGAAAAAATACGATAATCTACTTAGTTAATCTATTTTAATACGTGGGCAGATCGTTAAATGTACTTTATTCGATATAAGAGTAATCCAATCAAATAGAAGCCAATAATAATATAAGGTGTGCTACTTGAAACAGTAAAAAACAACAACGCACTCTGAAAGTATGGCGCAAGGAAGTGATCTAAACTTTAAAGGAAGAAAAAGTAAAAAATAGTTCATATTTTGAACTTCACATAAAACATCTATTTTTACATGTCTTTGTATGTATGTCATATTCTTTTAGCCTCAGAAAAAATTTCTGAAAATGTACACATATTCGCCAACGATCCCTCTTTAGCGTTCTTTCGAGTTCAGGTTGGTTTTTCCCTTCCTCTTATATAAATTACAATTTATAATGTATTCATTTGTGTTCCAGGAACACATTCGTAAGGTGCTTCCTGCAATCCTAGAGAAACGAACCGAAGTTCTTAGCTTACAAAGCAACTTACAAGGACATTGCTTCGATATGGAATATGGTGTGCAAGCACTTAAGTCGATAGAAAAATCAGAAAATACTTTTTACAATATACAAGAAATTATGAAGACTTCAATTTTCCTAAAACAGCAACTAAAGTATGAAGAAAGTCGGAAGAAAACAAAAAAGGACAGCATCAAAAACTCTGTATATAAACGATTTTCAGCGCACCTTGCATTAGATCTTCCAGATTTATCTGACTTTAGCGGGGTTATGCGTGACACAACCCAACGAATGGAGACAATAATAGCAACAGGTCAAGCTCGACAAGACAGTTCAACAGCTCAACCTAATTCCGTTGAGTTTCAAAGGTCACACACAACCTTACATTAGCTTGTAATCTTTTGTGCAAGGTTCTCAAGAAAAATTATGTTTAATACTATTTGTGATTAATGTGTAGTGTTAAGAATTCAACCACATTCTTCTATGTATCCTCGAAGATTTTATTTTTACTAACTAAATTATTTTAATTACATACATTGTTTATTTATTTATATGAAATTGACTATTATTTAATTTTTTTTTTTTTACTTTTTATAAAAACTGTGGAACGTATGAAATTTCCAGTTGTTAATGCCTTTTATATAGCTTTGAATAATAAAATGTCCGCCAAATAGTAAACAATGTAATATTTATTCATAAAAAACCGATAATGAAGCCTCATATATGACTATCGATATTATTAAATGATATCGGTATTATACGAAGGTTATATTTAATAATTTAGGTATTATTCGTTTGGAACAATGTCACCATAAATGAAATACGTTAAAGTTGAAAAGTGAAATAGTTCTCTATCACCAGTGACTTACACAAAATATTGCTTCTCCCTTAATTCCAAATATAGCATGTGATATCGATGTGTGTCATAAAATTGTATAGTCACTTTTATTGAATTAACTCATCTCTATGCTACTTATTACAATGCGATATTTTCCTCTTCAACGTCAGTGCAAAATTCTTGTCCGTGCATTATATTTTGGAACAGCACAGATACGTATGTTTGAAATTCGCAATTGAAGAATTTATTGCATCGGTCATTTAAATATACATCTACAATTGACCTACTATATAGATTCTCAAGGAATTTCAAAAATCGGCATGGCGACTAACATTCAAAAGACTTCAAAGTCATTGGAAGAAAAATTTGTATATCCTATTGTTCGGAAAGACTTAACAATTGTAGATGACTTTCATGGTACAAAAATAATTGATGCTTATCGCTGGCTTGAGGATCCCGATGCCGCTGAAACACAGGAATATGTTAATAGTCAAAATAATATAAGCCAGCCGTTCCTTGAAAATTGTGGAGAGTGGAAAAAAATAAATAATAAACTAACGAAGTTATGGAACTATCCAAAATATGGATGCCCAATGAAGTATGGCGAATATTATTATTATTTTATGAACACCGGTCTACAAAATCAAAGGTAACATTGCTTTATATAACTAGATAAGGCTTGTGTACATTGTCGTTTGATTATTTTTGCAGTGTTATGTATCAGCAAAGTTCTTTGAATGGCGAAAGTAAAGTATTTCTAGACCCCAATACCTTATCGGAAGATGGTACAATTGCACTATCACAGAAGTCATTTTCCGAAGACGGTAAATTTATGGCGTACGGGCTTAGTGAAAGTGGATCAGATTGGATTAAGATTCGCATTCGTGATGCTGAGACCGGTAAAGACTTTGATGAAGTGCTTGAAAAGGTGAAATTTTCGGAGATTTCGTGGACAAAGGACAATAAGGGATTCTTTTATGGAGTATGTACAACAATATTACATATATATTTAATTAAAACTAATTTCTTTATTTAACAGAGATATCCTGATCAAGATGGTAAAACTGACGGTTCAGAGACCCAACAGAACCAAAACCAAAAACTTTATTATCATCGCATTGGAGAAAGTCAGTCAAAAGATGTGCTAGTTGTTCAGTTCAATAATGAACCATCATGGCGCTTGTATGAATTCTATTTTATTTAATTGTTGTGTATTTGTTTTAATACAAATATGCCTATTTTTCTTTCCTACTTAGTCATTCTGTTGTCTCCGATTGTGGAAAATATTTGGTACTGGCCATTGATAAAGACTGCCGTGATAATATTATATACTATGCCGATCTTAAGCCCGAAGAAGATATTAAATCAGAGCTGGATGTGAAAATCATTATCGACAAGTTTGAGTCCGACTACGATGTAAGTAAATATTTATATTCTGTTTTAAATAATCAACACTTAAACAATTTGTGCTTTGCAAGTCTCGCACAAAGCTCCATTTTGTCAACAAAGTTTCAATTCCATATTTCCTTTTTCGTTTCATTTTCAGTACGTCACTAATGTTGGCTCAAAGGTGTATTTCCGTACAAATAAAAATGCTCCGAATTATCGAGTCATAATTATTGATTTCGAAAATCCGGCCGAGGAGAATTGGGAAACCCTTATACCGGAACATGAAAAAGATGTTTTGGACTGGGCTAAATGTGTCAATGAAGATAAGGTTCTTCTTTGTTATATTAGGGACGTGAAAGTAAGTATGCTTTCATTAATAACTTTTCAATTGTAAGTAAAGTAAATCTCTTTTTAGACAATTTTGCAAGCGAATTCACTTCACACTGGTAAATTGATACGAGAATTTGATTTGGATATTGGTACCATAGTTGGAACATCTGGAAAAACAAAATATTCGGAAATTTTTTATAATTTTTCATCGTTCTTAAATCCCGGAACAATTTATCATTACGATTTCAAATATCCGGATCAACCACCAAAAGTTTTTCGAGAGATCAATTTGAACTTAGATGGTTTCGATCGGGCTAATTACACCGTTGAACAAATATTTTATTCAAGTAAAGATGGCACTAAGGTTCCTATGTTTATTATACGAAAGCAGGCGGATGCCGTGAAGCCACGACCATGTCTACTTTACGGCTATGGCGGCTTTAATATTAGCATGCTTCCAACATTTGGACTGACGGGGTGAGTCCTTATATTTATTATATTTTACGGATATGAATGTAACTTTATATTTATATCGAAAAACAGTCTTATGTTTGTAGATACATTTGATGGTGTTTTGGCCTATCCTAACATCCGTGGCGGTGGAGAATATGGAGAAAAATGGCATAATGGTGGCCGCTTGCTCAACAAACAAAACGTATTCGACGACTTTCAGTGCGCTGCCGAATATTTAATTAAGAACAACTATACCACTAAAGATCGTTTGGCAATTCAGGGTGGATCCAATGGCGGTCTCCTTGTAGGTGCTTGTATTAATCAGCGTCCTGATTTGTTTGGAGCAGCAATTGCTCAAGTTGGGTAAGTATATTACCACATTTTATGTAATTATTAGGGTTTTAATTAAAAAGTTTAGTAAAATTCAACGTAATTTATGACAATTTAGATTTAATTAACTGATTGAGAAAAATTAAAAATCCATCTATTTTTACTAACAGCGTCATGGATATGCTGCGATTTCATAAATTCACTATTGGCCACGCCTGGTGCTCGGACTATGGAAATCCCTCTAAGCAGGAACACTTTGACAATCTTTTAAAGTGGTCGCCATTGCACAATGTCCATACGCCAAATAATGCGTCTACTGAGTACCCGTCCACATTGATTTTGACGGCTGATCATGACGATCGTGTCAGTCCATTGCACTCTTTAAAGTTTGCTGCTGCATTGCAAGAAGCTGTACGCGATTCTCCATTCCAGAAAAACCCATTGCTACTGCGTGTATACAAAAAAGCTGGACACGGTGCCGGAAAACCGACATCTAAACGAATTGAGGAAGCTACAGATATTCTTACGTTTATGTACAGAAGCCTAAACATCGATGTCGTCAATTTATAATTCATTCATCAGTATATACGTTATGATTTTCTTATTTAGGAAAAATCCTGTCTATTACACTTTTAATGTTCAAATCGTTTGTCACTTTTATAAGCTTTTGCATTTATCATGTAAAATACAGAAAATATATAAATAAACATTGTTTGATATTATATACCCAAAATTGATTTAACTCCCCTGATTTATAATATCGTAGATAGATAAAAAATGTGAATTTGTTGTTGACTACTTTTGATACAATATAACTCTGTTAAACCGGAACCGGAGCTGCGTTTCTGTAATTCAAAAATTTACTAGAGCTATTTTCTAGAAAACACATTTTCTATAGCAAACGGAAAACAGTGGATCTACATTCCAGATTACTTCTTCAAAAAGTCAATCCTTTCCTGGTTGCTTCTATTTGATGATTTGATATTCTTCTTATTCTCCAAGTTAACTCTTAAGAAGTTCAACGCTACAATTTAATAAAATAAAGTGCTTCAGGCTTATATTAGTTCATATTTATTCACTTAATTACAGCAAAAATGAATGCCTGATAAAAAAGCGCCTGCGCACTACTTCTCTTCTGGCTTACTGAACACAAATGTCAAATTGCATTTGCCACAGTAGTGACGATCCTCGTGGGCAGCCATGAAGACTCCGGCACCACAGTTCTCTCCGGGACACTCGCGTCTCAAGCGATGGATCTTTCCATTTTCGTCAACCTGAAATCAAATAAATAGCATTAATAAGAAATATTTAAACCCTTTTAGTTTATCTTATCAATTTGCTGATTACAGTAAGATCTTAAGATCGTAAACAACAAATGTTAACCTCTTTCATGAAAGTAGTTTACACTTTTGAACGGACAACATACGACAAACGACTTCTATACTCTTTTTTGGGGAAGAGTATATTAAACAGGAGACCGTCTATATTGAATTGATCAATTTGTAACTTGAAAACTTAGCAATCAAGTCAATCAGCTCAAGACCAAGACTCAAGAATTCCAAGAACAGATCATATAATTAGTCTGTTCCAGTTATTGAAGATGTACCTTGTAGTATTTAAGGACAGCTAGCTTGACCTTCTTCCTCTTGTGCTTAATTTTCTTGGGGGTAGAGTAGTTCTTCTTCTTGCGCTTCTTGGCACCACCACGAAGGCGGAGCACCAAGTGCAAGGTTGACTCTTTTTGAATGTTGTAGTCGGAAAGAGTGCGACCATCTTCCAATTGCTTGCCAGCAAAGATTAAACGCTGCTGATCTGGAGGAATTCCTTCTTTGTCCTGGATCTTGGCTTTGACATTCTCGATAGTATCCGACGGTTCGACCTCAAGAGTGATGGTCTTACCCGTGAGGGTTTTGACAAAGATTTGCATTGTGCACCTCCGAAGCCAACTGAAAAATTCCGAAGAGAAAAACTGGTTAATGCATATTAAAATATTATTACAAAAATATACTTATATATTAAAATTAGGCTTTGGGTAATAAAACAAATATTTCATTTATTTTTATTTAAGTTCTATTTATTTTATTAATCCAATTGAATGCAATTTCTATCCACTAACATATCAAACTAGAAGTACAGCATTTATAACTCCATCGTTCTCCGGGTTATTTGTAACTTGTGCATATTTGCCCCAAACAACTTTACCAGTTTGGGTTACTAAGCCTAATTCAGAGATGTTTACTTCTATAACTGTACCCTTGGTTATGACTCCCAATGATGTAAACATTGGAGAGCTTGGATTCTTTTTAACTCCAATAATTGGTAAGTGGAAAGTTGCTTTCAGTTCTGGATGCGTTACATGCGCCTTTTTCATACGCAATGCCATCGGTCGAATGAAACGTTCAAATTTGGGCGGTTTCCGTGTAAAGTTTTCCCCGACAAATGTAACTTTTGTCACCATGCGCTTCCAAGCCTTTCTCTTGGTCTTGCCCGTTTTCAGGACTTTGAATACTTCAGCGTCAGATTGAGCACGTACTTTTGGTATAGGAACATCCCATTTGCCAGCCTTCTCTTTGCGTTTCTGCTTTATCATATTAGATAAAACCTTGGCATTCGACTGGATACCTCTGTCAAGAAGATAATGTGGTAACGCTCCATCCTCGACCTTTTCTTCTTGTTTTTTGACTTTCTTTTCTTCATGCGCTTGAATCTTCTTCTTCATTTGAATCTTTTCATTACGCCTCTCCTTATTGAACAACTTGGCTTTAATACCACGCAACTTTTGAGCTTTACGAGCACGCTCTTTCGGAAGACGGGCTTCCTTCTTGCGTTTACGTTCTTCATAGTCGAGTCGTCGACCATATAATTTGCGGTGACGCTCCATATACTCATTTTGAGGCATGGTGAATTTGTCTTCTGCAGACCTGCAACATTAAATTTGTGAGTAACATAAAACAATTGGGAAAATATGGCACTGTGAATTGTCTGAAGTGAATGTTTCATCGTATATGCAACTATATTATGTATGTATATATTACGAATACATAATTATGTATTTTCTGATAATCCACAGGTGTCATATTGACCACAATCCACTCACCTTTCATTTTATCACTTATTAATTTAGACATGAATATGAACAAATATATGAAAAACGCACATGTGTATATACTTATGGCTAAGTCACAAGTATATAACTCACTGCATAGCTTTTTCATTATTTCCGCTCATATCTCACGCACTGCATAACATAAATATAAAAGGTAAACGCATTCACAGTGTAGATACATATACACGAATCTGTTTTTATCCGAAAAACTTTATGCACACATAATTCTAGTCACACATAGTGATGATCCCATTTATATGTTTAGAATTAAAACTAATATGTTTCGAGCAATAATTGATAGCAAGAAACTTGATTTTGTTTTTCTTACTTATATTTATAGCGAGAATATCACTTTACTTAATAATAATACGTAAAAATAAAAATTTTCAAAATTTCACCCACCTTGGTCTGGCAAAAGTACGACAGGAAAGAGTTTTACAAACGTGACAGGAAGTGGAACCAGAAAAAATACATGGTTGCATACAGAATTGAATTGTATGGCTTTGACAGAAGTAACTGTAAAATAATCATTAGCTTTCAAGACATACTGGTACAGTGAAATGAAACAAAAATTGAATTTACCATAATTTTAAAGTGTTTCAGCACGTATTGTGCGCATTCTTGATAACACACACATTTCAAAAGCTTGACTTACATATTGTTATTGTAAATTAAATTTCATTGTATATATGTATGTATATCTCATTGTAGTCGAGAAACAGTAGATTGTGTTACCATTTTCTGAATCTTCTTACCAAATTATTTTAATTCAGAACTATTGGCAAAGTGCCCAGATCTCATTTCTGCAAATTATAGTCGCGGTCTTAGCTAACGTTTAAAATATTGTAGTCGTGTTGTCCCATTTTTCACTTTAATATTTTAATTTAGATACCAAATCAATCAAGTGTCCAAGGGTGTTGTAAACTTAGACCTAACCAACAGTAGCATTATCCTACTGTCAACTGTTTTGGTTTCGTCGTATATAGTAAGGCAAGTATTCTCAATACGATAATATCATGAAACATTAAGCGTTGCAGTAAAACTCAAAACTTTCTACCTACACCAATTCACCTTGTCTTTCATCAGGTTACAACTAAAGCAACGTAAAGTCTTGAGTCCACCGCTGACACCACAATGTTTGCCTGCCTATGGAAACAGCTGTCAATTTATTCCCTGGATAACGTTATAAAACGGATAACGGAAAATTTTATCAAACGGTTCCGCAGGATCAGTAATAAATTCTACGAAGAATTGTCCGTCTATATGCTAAGACTAATAAACGATGATGTATAAATTTAACGGATAAGATTGTATACTAAACATCTTTAATATTCAAAATCCATTTTTTTTTAATATAAGAATAAGAATAGTTGAAGAGTTAAGTAAGCATTGTGAAATTACTGAATATTTTGCTGACGTTGAAAGATTTTCCTCAGTGAAGGGGTACAAGACAGAAATATGCGCAACGTATTTAATAGTGTCATTCTAACTTTTATTAATATAGCTAATATTTTATCTAAAGATGCTAAGCCGTTGCCCAGATTATATTCCTCAATAGTGAAACAAACAAAATGTTATTAAATAATTTAATTTTTATGCATTAAAAAACTGTAATTGTGATATATATACTGATATAAAATGATTTACAATTATATTCATACAAGCAATTTCTTGATATCGTCGTTCTCTGCCACATCAACATAACTCTGGCCGTCTGGAGTTACTCCATTTTTGTCTGCACCCTGAAAAATAAGAGGAAATATAATTAATACTTTAAAAGAACAATCATTGTTTATTAATTCGGTATACCTTCTCCAACAGAAACTCCACGCATTTCGTATGACCCTCCCAGACAGCGGCCAGAAGTGGAGTTATTCCATGTTTGTCTTTTCTCTATTAAAGATAAATATTCATATTTTTTCTAATTAATATTCTATTATTTACATATATATATTTAAAATATGCAAGTGAATTTTAAATTTTTTTCTTTGGGAAACAAACGGGATAAACTTTATCAACATATCGGTAATATTAACGAGTGACACTATTTATCCTTTTACTTAATATTAACTTTATTGTTCAGTATTAAACATTTTAGCCTTGAATGTTACTTTACGTTTTACCCGAATAATAATCTTTGCTTATAATTTTAAGTACCGTTATCATTGAATGACGCATATTCTTTATCTTGAAAAGAAAAGAAAATAGTTGTCAACAGACACTGCTGAAATTAAAAATAATTTATTATTCTAATAAATGATTATTCTAAAATCTACCAAATATATTAAGCAAAATGTATTTGCAAATGGAATATAGGCTTGTACAAACAGAAAGAAACACTAAAACTGTTGAAACAATAAATAAATCGTGCTTCATCTCAACAATTTGCTGCAATTAGATCAAGAATGATCTATTTCATACCATGTAGCCTAGCGACTAGTATATTTTATATTTTATAAAATCTACTGGTATCTCATATTAACTATTTAACATATAACAAAAATATTCCTTTGATGTATATCTATGAACTGAATATTAAGGCTAAACAGATTTGTTAAAGCCCCAAACCACTTGTTTACTATTTCAAAGTTGAAAGTTGAAGTTCATATGATTTTGATTTCGTTGCATTTTCTCCATACAAAAGCCTCTTAGACAATTGCTTAAGTTTTCCATACTTGTCGATGTACAGGACATTTTTATCATTTGTTTAATAATACTTCCAAATAAAGGTTCGTCACTATTTAACTAAAACCAATGTTCATACATACGAACATAACGTAGCGTACATACAAAGCAGCTTAAAATTGGTTGTGTAGATACGAAAGTAAATTTATGTGTGTGTACCCATTTCAAGCTTCATGTATGTATGTGCGTATACATTCAATACTTTATGCTTTATCAAAAACTAGCTTACGTTTACATCGGCTCCCAATTTAACCAAGAATTGGAGTACATTCAGCTGTCCAAAATCAGCCGCGTAATGTATTGGAAATCTTCCTTTGATCTCTGTATTAACTTTCTGAGTCTGCAAATAATATTAATTAGTCGAAAAAAGTTTAGCCATGAATTATTACTCACATCATTGCTAAAAGCTGTTTGAACGGCATCTAATTCTCCATTTTTTATGGTCCAGATTATATTTTCAGTAGATTCGTCGCTCATTTTATGTGAATAGTTTCAAAAATTACTAACTGCAGACAATTAAAACTGAATAATATTTAACATTCTATGTTGAGGGTTGCCTTCTGTTTTATCGAGCCGCTTACTCATTGAATACAACTTCTCAGTGATGTGTATCGTTTTCAAATGGCTTTGTACAGTACTTGGCCGATAGTTTTAAGTACACCACTAACATATTTGCAATTCACTACGAAATGAATATAGCTTACCAAACTTTTCAAATATAACAATATATAGCAGCAAATTTCTTTTAAATCATTTAAAACATTTTTTGGTATAGTTTAATTCGTCTTTAAGTATTAAGAGAACATATAACTTAAGCAACTTATGAAAAACAATGGTTATTAACTTATACAATGTAAAGCTTAAATATATAATTTTGAATTTTCTTAATAGACAAGGTGGATAGCAATTTAAGAATTGTAAAAAATAAATCAATCGAATACTCATTCACGAATATCTTAAACAGAAATAAGTTAATGGAAATCACTAAACAAAATACTCGAAATACGAAATCAAAAAAAACAGTTAATACATGCACATAAATGTATTGCCATTATCTTCTGGTGATACTGTCTGATTATGCCATATACTGCATACTGATAAGATTAGATATCTGTTAACGGAGAATAAGCCACAAATAAAAACTTTACTTGCTACTCAGTTTTTCAGTGTGCACACAGTTTAGCAAATTAACGCAGTCAGGAATAAAATTTAGAATGAAAATAGTTCGAACTAACATCTTTATCTTAGCAACTCTCTTTGCGCTATTGCCATTTGGCATCACAGACTCAGATGAATCAAAGACAGAGCGAACTGTAACAAAGGTGAGATTGTGTAGTATCTATAATAAATGCACACATGTGTAAATGTGTGTAAATTAATATGAACTTAAAAATCGTCATGAACACAATGTACATATGCACATACATTTAGTTAATAAAAATGTCACTAGACTGACTCATAGTATGAATCAACTGAATTATTTAGAAAAAAAAAGAATGTAAAAATAAAATCATAGATAAAATAGTGGTCGTTCTGTTTGTCCGTTTGTGCTCAAATGTGGATCATAGGATTTTATGTGGAACGTGTGTATATATATCGATAATTTGATAACTACAGTAATTTCTTTCGATTGGAGTAGTTAAAAACAGTCCGATTTCAAATTGAGACATCAAATTCGTCTCTAAACACAGATATCATGTGTGTGCTGTGTTACTTTGTTAATTTTTATTCACAAAAATATATATAAGGGCCAAGAATAAACAAAGTCAGTCGACGCGGTTGAGGTCAAAACGATATAGGCGATTAGATATTTTTACCTATCAGATCAAATTGTACTCTAAAAGGAATTACGTAGTGGAGTATAGCCGAATATAACAATTTTCTCTATTATGTGACAAATTTGAAACTGATTTAAAAAAAGTAAAAATATTCGTGTACAGTTTTTGAAATAACAAAATGATACACTTATCAGTATTTATGAGTATTTTATTTCTGTTTTCAGTCAAGCACGGAACAAAAGCTTAGCACCAACATATGCACTAAATGCATATGCGATATAGAAAACAGTCTAATTGATTGTTCCAGTAAATTGACTGATTGGTTTACCGAGGAAGAATGGAAAAGCCTTCAAAACGAGAAAATTGTTTTCGAGTCTATCAAAATGGAGCACAATAATTTGACAACTGTTCCTGTATTGCCAACGTATGGAGTGAAGAATCTATACTTAGGCAATAACCAAATAGCTTCGATTACGCTGGGAGCCTTTCAAAATTTAACGGAGCTTACTAGACTTGATTTGTCCAAAAACCAATTAACTTCAAAGGCTTTATTACCAGATGTATTCAAAGGTCCATACTCGCAACACGATTTTGAGCCCCTGAAAAACTTAAAATCACTTAATTTGGGTTATAATCTCATTCACTCCTTGAATGATGATTTATTTGAGCATATTCCAAATCTTGAAGAGCTTAGTTTGTGCTCAAATACTTTTAAAGTAATCGACAGGCTTACGGAAACTGCACTTGCTGGATTATCGGCATTGAAGGTAAGAAGTCAACTATTACTATATCTATTCCTCATTTATTAGTTTAATATTAATACCCACATCAGTAATATTGAATATGTTGTTCTACCTATTTTATATGGAAAATTTTAATTTTAGGTCTTGGATATGTCTTTTATGGAACTAGAGATATTGCCCGATACCATTTTCCATGGACCTCGAGACCTGGAAACTCTGATACTTACTGGAAATTTATTTAAGGAATTACCAAAAGCCCTATCGTATTCGAAGAACTTAAAGCGCCTTGTATTGGATGATAATCCTATTGGAAACCTTGAAGGACAAAAGTGAGCAAAATTCACTTGAAATAGAATGTAATTTTGATCTTTTATATTTTTGTTAGTGTTTTTCCGGCAATGACCTCTTTGAAATACTTGAGAATGACATATATGTTGGATATTTACAAAATTGGGCCAGGTGCTTTCAGCGAACTACAAAGTAAGAACATTTGTGCTTTTACCGTGCCAAATGACATATCACTTTTCTTTTATGTTTTGCAGATCTGACAGAGCTGATATTGAGTGACAACAAAATGTTAACAGAAGTGGATATACATGCATTGTCAAAGAATATTACAGGAGGAGCCTTTTTGGACTATCCACCGCTTGATAAGGTAAATGATAATCTGAATTTTATATTTTTTCTAACTAATCCGTTTCTTTTCAATATATTTCAGCTTTATTTAAATAACTGTAATCTAACAACGCTACCACAAGAATTTATCATCCGCTGGGATAAGCTCAGCGTGCTGGATCTGCGTTTTAACCCATGGGCCTGCATTACCTCTAACGAATATATGATCAAATATCTAATTCCAAGAGTCAACAGCACCACGCCGCTTTTAGCATCGAACGTGAAATGCGCATATCCAGAGGAACTAAGCGGCGTGGAGGTCTTAAAAGTTGCAAGCGGGGATTACAGTTTAGCACAGAGTAGCAGTCTAGTCTGGATTGGCATAATTGTTGCCGTTCTATTGGCAATACCTCTTACTTTAGCTGGAATAGCCTTCTATAAGCGTGGCTATTGCCGTTTCGGCAAGAAGAACGAGGTCGCTAATAGAACGCTATATAGCCGAACAAGTTTCAACGAAGAGTTCCATATATAATAATAAGTATATATATATATATATATGTATACATAAAAAGCACAATTTACATGTTTTGTTAAAATAATCAATTATAACTTTTATACAAATTAACAAATTTACAATGAAACTGACAGAATGGGTTAAGCGACAGCGTATTTAACATGGAACTGGAAATGCGAGCTAACTTTTATTGAAGACCTTAGAATCCGTCGGGTAACGTGCCTGAATCAATTCCGACTTTAATGGGAATGTCTAAGATGATAATCAGTTGAAGGGGAATGTTTTCTCGATTTCTCCTGTGGAAATTAATGAAAAACAATTTCTTTAAACCTGTCAATGAAAAAGTCAACGAATTGACTAGGGTAAGCTTACATACTATTCAGTTAATGGGTATGCATTTTGGTAGTTACCATTAGTTAACATTCTCCGTTAAGTATTTTGAAAGTATCCTTCATCACTTGAGTAACATTTTTAAACAAGTCAAGAGCACTTGTATAAACAACTTTTGTTTTTCTTGTAAATCGGTATTTTAGTTTAATATATTTTTATACTTTTAAAAAGTAATTTAATATTTTGTTCGTACATTAACAAGCACAGACCATAACATAATATTACGAGTTCTAGGTATTAAATCGATCTTTGATAAATTAATTTGTTCGCTATGTTAATACATAAATATCTGACAAAACAATTAAAGATTATTTGCTAACTTAATGTGCGAAATAAATACATATTTGTAAGTTAATAGATTTACAGGTCTTTTTAGTTGCATTTGACTTTTCTTACTCCTTCGATACCAATAAAATCAACAATACCTATATGCGCATGATAAACTTGGTCTTTCATTTCTTTTGTTGTTTTCAACATGTACAATGGATTTAAAATACTGTTATCTATTTTTAATGTTAACTCTATTAATTTGTGATTTTTTTCGTGTTTTTGTTTTTAAATTTATAAGGTCAACATTGGTATATACCAAAATATAAAGTTCGATTAGTTGATTACTGATTTATAGATCAGTACAGAGAATTGTTCTATTCAGTACATAGATGCTTCTATAGGTGCTCTTAAGTTGAAAACTTATGTATATAGAGAACATTATTAGTTATATACGGACACACACACAAAACAAGTAAATAGCATGTAAATAAATATATGTATTTTATATATTGAACAATATCACTGCAGCAATAGTGCCGAGTATATTGATAAATATACACGTATAACTTCGATGTGCTTCCGTTGTATTTTTCTTCTTTGCTGCGTCATTTCTAAGGAATTCCAGAGACACCGCTCAGCGAAGCGCCAATTTGCTGTTTCTGCTGCTGTTGGTGAATAAGATTGACTCGCGCCCTTTGCTGCTCCAGTCGCTGCACTGTGGCAGTCAAATGCGAATTCTCCACATACAAATCTTTCACAAGAATATCGGCGTTCTGCAGACGCTGTGTTTGATCGGCAATTAAAACGGCCTGTGCTTCAATACGGCTATGCAATTCATTGAGATCCACTTGATGCTGACGCCACGATTCTACGGATTCAATGATAACAAATAAATGATAAGCATTTTTAATAGTGTCGTAATGCTTACGCTGCATCAGGGACTCGGTATATTTCTGCTGCTGCTTAACTACATTTTGTAAATGACGATTCCGTAACTCCAGTTGATTAAGTCGCTGCTGCAGAGTCGGATGTGTAGTTCGCTAGTTAAAAATATAGAATTATAATGATAACAGATCGCAACTACAATAATCACAATGATCTTTACCGCATATGCCTTCTCAAGAACGGGACGTGCTTCCTGCAACTGTTGCAGTTCCATGACTAAACCGTCACGTTGCAGGCTCAAATCCTTAATCTGCTCTTTAAGTGAAAGTTCGAAGAACTTAAGACGCTTTAACTCCTCCTTAAGGACACTTGGGCTATTGCACTTTTCGTTACTAAAGCAAGACGCTTTACTAGTTGATACTATACTGTGCGAATCGAAGCTCTTGTTCGATGCAGTTGATGAGGTCTCACTATCAGCAATTTCGCCTTCAGACGGCGGTGATTTGGGCTTGCAAATGGGCGCCGGAGTACAAATACTGACAGACGAAGCATATTTAGTATCAGTATTTGTGAGCGATGGGCTCGATGGTGAAGTGTCTACTGGTGTAGTACTAAAGATGGATGTTGTAGAAGTAGTAAGGTTGTTTCTACAAAATAAACACTAATTAGCTTAATTGAAAAACTAATGGTAAAGGTTTATAATAATAAAACAAAAAGCAGACAACATCGACACAAAAATCAATGGATTCGAAACAAAATTATTACGCATAAAGTTAGCTTATCGCTCATTAACTGCCACTGCCACTGCCTTAGATGACTAGTTTCTTATGGCCACACCAAATGTATTAGCTGACTTATGCCGTTACCTAACCAACCCTAAACCAACAATGCGTTTGTGAAATGTTCTTTATGTATATCATAGGTAGAAAAGGTCTGACGTTCATTCTGTTTAAACATTTTCCCATCTTTGGTTTAATTCTTTCCCTTATTAGAAAGTCTAGTCTAGAGTCTTTATAAGCTTAAAATTTATTGTGATTGTGATTGTATTTAATTTAATGCACATTTTAACAATTCTTTAAGTACAGCAAAATAATCTTAACCAAGACTCTCAACTCCTGTGCTGTAGTTTTTATTTCCACAGACCTACATTATGTAATTTAAATTTAAATTTTTTTCTTATCACCCTACTCTATTATAGGCTCAATATTATTTTTTAGAAAAGAGAGTAAGTTCAATAATAATAAGATTATGCTCTTATTACTTGTGCTTTTGACATCTTTCCAGGTTATGCTCAAAAAGTGTGCTAATTTAAAAATATATAAAACATATTGATATTGCCTTGTATCTTGTTGTATATTTATATGCTACTATGTACTACATTACAGATTATTTGCTCTTTTTGAAACTATTTTTCTATATTTTATTTGGTTTATACATTTTATATGAGTCTAGCATAATCTAAAGTACAAATTTATTTGCCAATTTCTTATATCAATATAATTCGCCCATATCAAAAAATAGTCCACAAAAACAATCACACAAGCAGAAACAAATAAAAAAGTAGGAAAAAGCAGCGTATCTACAAGTCAGGCATTTATATAATCGACCAAAACATTCAAACAAGTAAACGCTTCTAATTCATTTATTTTATGAGTAAAACCGCACATTCATTCATTCACTTATTGCTACATGATCATTTTTTATTAAGATAACGTGTCACATACACATACACAGAGTTTTTGCGAAACATTCAAACAAGCTACAAGCTATAGCACCAGATGCTCAGATTGTACTTACCGACTGGTAGCTTTGTGAGTAGGTGATTCGCCAAGCAGAGCCAAGACCTTGGCACTGCTTTCCTCGGTAGCACCGTCAAATGTTTTCAGGGGCTCCTGAATTGTGCTTTGGTGCCACAGGTAGCTAATAGGTGAGCTCGCAGGCCTTTGGCTAGACTGCCCACTTATCTGATGCAATGCATCCGAGTTGATCTCACATGCGCCGGTTAAAATTTCTACGCTTTCGCCCAGGCGTGTACGCAAATCTTCAATCTCTGACTGCAATGTGCTAATTTGATGAGATTTTTCTTCCAGCATGCGAATAGAGTTGTTTCGCAGACTTGTGGCCTCCGCCTCGAGTTCTACGTATTGCTGTTCTAACATATCGCGTTCATCAATAGGCGATAGCCGACCATCTTTGCTAAACTGTTCCTCATATTCGCGTACCTTTTCCATCAGCTCTGTAAACTTTTTGTCGCTTTCCATCTGCTCCTCTTCGTATATGTGGCGCTCTTTATCAAACATTTGACGTTCTTCACTTAGTTTGGCTTGCCAGTAATCCTCACACTCCTCGTAAGCTCGCTGCATTTGCTCCAAACTACTCTCTAGCTCCTTACAGCGTGTCTCCGGCGGCGTACCACGGCTATCGTTCTCGGTACTGCCGAGGACAGTTGACTTGGAAGTTGCCGCCTGTAGCTCTAGTTCCAATTGCTCTACGGTTCTCTTGAGAGAAGTAATCTCCTCCTCATGACTCTTACAGCGTTGCAATTCTGAATTGAGCGCCAACCAGTCACCACTATTATCGCTAACTTCGCCTGCTTCCGAGCACTTACGTTGTTTTCCAAGGCGCGGGCTTTCCCCGGTTAAGTGTGTCTTGCTTGGCGAATCACCTCGCCGTTTAGTGGCTAGCGCAACGCTAACAGCCTCTAGTTCTTCGCCTTCAGTTGACTCCGCAGCTGACACATTCGCAGCATTCACAGCAGAAGGAGCACCTTGCTTTTTTCTTGACTTAGTGCGCGCTAGGTCAACGTACAAGTTCTCAATTTCCATTGTTAGCTCATCAGTTTTGTCGCGCAACTGTGCGTTCTCCATTTGCAAAGCTGTCATTTTTTCCATAACGTGCAGCATCTCATCATCGTCAGAGGTCTTATCTCGGCCGATAACAGCATGGTCGTTGTTTTCTGATTTTATTTCTGGCCGAATAGGCTCGGACATAGCCAACTCCTTATTTAACTTAATGTTCTGCTCCAGTAACTCAGTCATTTGCAGGTGGACTTTTTGCTGCTCCATCTCTAGTTCGCTATTTTCAGTACGCACCAGTTCCAGCTCAGTCTTCAGTTTAACCTCCTCTTGCTCGAGGCTTTTAATTTGACCTTCTAGTCTCGCTGTCATACTGGTCCAATGGTCACGATCGCTTGTAATACGCTGAGTCAATTCTCGCACCATACTCGCATGCCTCTGCTCCAGTTGTTGCACCTCCTGCTTGCAATTGTCCTCTAACATTGCATGCCTTTCATCAACCTCGGCGGCCAACATCGCCACTCGTTGATTAGCTGCCTTATTATCAGAGCGCAGTTTTTGATTTTCTTGATATTGTTGACGATATGCTTGTCGCAGTGATCCTAACTCTACAGATTGCAGCGCTATTAGTGCACGTAACAAATTCGAATTTGGATCTTGCTCGAGTCCACGCAATTCCTCCTCAAGAACTTTGGTCAGCTGATTAAGGTTCACCTCTTCCTCCTCGTCGAAGCCCAGAGCATGTAATAGACCTACACCATTCACGATATTTGCCATTTCCCAGGTCTCAATAAGGCTGTGCGCATTGATAGTCTCCAGTTGATGTGGTGTCATAATTTCTGTAAGAAGCATACATAACTATATTAACCAAATACAAAAAGAAAAAAAAACAAACCACATCTTAAGGCTGGATGTCTAATGGTACCTATATCTATTTTCACAAGATGTTGCATGTTTTGTTTTTCTAAACGGTGTTAGTGACGGTTTGTTAATAGTATAAGATTTTTAAACGTACATATTAAAATTCTGTCAAATATGCTATTGAAAATTATACTAATGAACTATAATGTGTTAAAGACCATTTAGACTACAACTCAAATATGTCCACGACAGCACGCATTTGCTATAATTGTAATTTGGATCTTGGTCTAGATGTTATAAAGACCACATTGTGTTATCTCACTCTGCACTTACCCAGCGACTCCACGCTACTGCACTCCTTTTGTGCCTCTCTAAGATTACTTTTATTGCTGCTATTACCGACTTGCGTACCTACTGTCGAGGACGTTGTTGCGCTCGTAGATGTCATCATTTTGGAGTGCATATTTTTGCGTGCTGGTAGCGAAGCACAACGCTTAAGCTTGCTGCCGCTGTAGTGGACGGACCGCAAAACTCGGCTGCCAGGAAGATCGCTTTGTGACGATGACCGTTGCACCTAAAAGAGCGAAGCAAATGAAAAGAAGCAGTTAGTACAAAAATTAACAAATATATGTTGTTGTAGCTTACTTGGACGGTGTGATCGTTGCAGCCGGTTAGACTTTTGTGCTGATCTTCGTCTGTATTGTCGGAGTCCGTAACGTCGAGACCTAGAATCTGATGCGGTCGTGATCGACGTCCATATTTCTTGGTGCCCACTATTAGTTTGGGGGAAACCTCACGATCAGATGACTCTCCCTCGGGCTGTATTTCAGAGTAGATTTTGTTAGCTGACTCGTCACTAATCACTAAAGAACGTTCTGTAATAGATAAGAATATTAGAAAACTCCTTTTCATATTTTCTTGCGGTGATTATCTCTACCAAAACGAACTGCCAGCCTTTCGATAATAGTATCATAAGAGCTATTGCATTGCTTGTAATATAATTGTGTGCCCATTGTGTCACTTTCAGCGACAAATTGAAACTGATGTGTAAATACTTCGCGCAAAATGTATTTAAATGCTCAATAATTTGTACCTGCCCATGTGGCTGGGCGCAAATTGCGAGATGTTAATCCTTATATACCCCTCATAAAATCGAAGGCAGCCAGGCAGCACGTTTTATGATTTCCAGGTGACAATCGTGGTTAGGTAAAATTGCGGCTTACCTTTAAATCCAGATGCTGTGCTTAATGCCGAACGCGATGAACTGTCAAACTCTGTGCCTAGAAAGTTGAGCAGAGCTACTTTGAACTGCTCAAATGAAACACCCAACTTGGAGCTTGGAGCACTAGCAGTTAGGCTGGAGATCAATGCTGAGCCTTGGTCACGCAACTGGAGCAGCTGGCAGAGGCGCGTTAGCGAAACTTCGTCAAGCAAGCCATTGTTACGATCTGATGTTTCACAACTTTGGAACATCTGATACAATTTCTGCTCATATGGATCGGCCGATACTTCCATTATCTAAGCGCTGTTATGTTTTTATCCGTAAGTTCAGTTTATAGCCGTTATCTAATTTTTCATATATAGACTTGATTAATTACCAAATGAGACAATGCAGTATATAATATATAGCAATTAAATAGTTATTTGATGAGCTAAACTCGCTTTCTACATAACATTTTAGCAAAATAATTTTAAATTAAATGTAGCAATTCATTCGACTAAATAATGCGCAAAGGATAATTATGTGAAGAAACTATTTATCAGAAACAGAATTCTTTAATATTTAGATGTTGATACGTATGTTCTTAAATTATGTATATCAGCAATAAAATCCAATTAGATTCGCTCTATGTTTTGCAGAAACTTTAATATGTTTGTATGTGTGTACGTACATACATATGTACATACTTTTTCATTTGTATAATTCATAAATGTTTTACAATGTATGGGATCATTGATATGAATTCTTCGGTGTGTGATGAGTTTTATATTAATTCTGCATGGATATAACAATAAGTAGTTATATAAATTTTATTGTTTTAATACACTGTATTTATACATTTAAGGTGAAATCGATAAAGATTTCCAGTGTGTTGTAGTTGTAAATTCAGCCTCGGCGTTTTTGGTGTGTTTTTAGCATTAGATATAGTTAAGTATGTGTATACAGTTGTTTGCACGTAAAAAGAACACAAAGGAAATATTGCACATTCAACATTAAAGCATAAAACACGTAAATTTGTATGGTTTATGAAATGTGATAAAAACAATGTATTATAGCAAAAAGACTAAAACAGAGATGTAGAAAGGGGCTGTGAATTTATCGATATATTTTGTTGTCGCCATTTAACATACCCAATTAGTATTTTAATAAACAGTCTAAGCCGTTTCCATTATGTTTCGTGGAAGCTACATCCACTTCCAGCCAATTGACGAACAATCATTGAAAGCGATTTGACGTCTGACTATGCCCATCAATTTATATACAAATATTTTTTGTGTAATTATTTAAAAGAAATAAATTATTATACTGATATAAATGCTGATTTTCCATATACGCTAATAATTAATAATTACGTATATCCGTTTTATTCCATTCAGTATATGGTAAAAGTTTAAAAATGAAATGACAGAATTATTTAAGCATACTCATTCTATTAAATATCACCTATTTGGAGGTGCAAGGTGAGACTTAACAACTTAGCAACTTATTCTATGATACATAAAGGTATCTTTGTTAATTTAAAACTGATTTAGTTGTTTTTAATGATTATTTTATAAAAATAGGAGTTTTCGCCTATTATTTCCTATTTTCCGTACACTGGATTTGTAACAACAACACATTGCTGTGTTATCAAATTTGGTGCAGAATTTCGTATCGTCCCGAAATCATTTTTAAAAGTGAAACTGCAAACAAAATAGAAAGTTATTTAATAATTGACTTAGCTAAAATAATAAAAGTTACACAATTTATTTGGAAAATTTGCAATGATGATCTAAGCTTGATATTACAAATTCTTATAGGAATACCCTTCATTTACTTCAATAAAATTTGACGTATCAGGGTTGCTTATTGTGTTATCGGTTATCCGCCACAAAACTGAAACGATAGCTTATCAACTTCACAGCGACATGAAAAACATTAAAATAAAAGTAGATTTTTGTTGAATTATTGAAAGTTTTGAGTGTGAGCACAATAAAATTGTAAAATATTTATTTCGATTTCAACAAACTATTAAGACTTACTATTATTGTCGTTGGAATATATACACCCCCACCTCCGCCACGGCCTCGGTCAAAGAGCAGTGTAAATAATTTTGTATTATTACGAAACTTGGGTGTACAAATGCAATTGCTTTTAAAGTATAGCTAAAGTATAGATCCCACTCTGGCTGCACATCAATCAGAATGGCCATGCATTCATATATGCGGGCCAACCCGAACCAAACCCAAACAAACAGTGTCAATGTGAATTTAAGTCCCGAAGAGGTGAACAACTTCCTAAAGGACAAACAGGCATGGGAACACGCAATATCGCTTTACCAGGGACCTGATCCGCTAGATCACTGGTACAATTACATATGTTGGTATGAAAACCATGCTCATAGCGACCCAGACCGCAAGTTTCGCGAAACGCTTGAACGCTGCCTTACAGTTTACGAGCACGACGACTATTACAGGCAGGACGTTAGGCTGGTGCGCCTGTGGCTTAAATACATTGCCATGCAGACTGATCAGTTGCGCTTCTATCAGGTGCTCTTCCAGCGAGGCACTGGACGCCAGGTAGCTGCATTTTATATAGGCTGGGCCAGCTACTACGAGGCGCACGAACAGTTTAAGGACGCCGAAGCAGTATTTAATCTTGCTTTTCAAGAAAAAGCCCATAGCAACGCTGAGCTCCAAAGTGCCCATGCCAAGTTCACATATGGCCGGTCAATGTTTTTCCAACAACAGCAGCAACAGCAACAAGTGCAGCAACTTCAGCAGCAGCAGCAACAGCAACACCAGCCGCCACCTCCTCATGATGCATTGCAGCAGTTAACAGCATACACACAAACTCATCACCAGCAACAAGAGCATCAGCATCAACATCAGCAGCAGCAACAGCAAGTCTATCCTCATCCTGCGGCGGCCACAGCATTAAGGCCCCATCATTTACATCAGGATAACTTTCATCAATATCAGCAGCATCCACAGGAGCTAGCTTATCTCCCTCATATACACGGGCAACAACAACAGCAGCAAGCGCCACCAACTCACTACCAGCAACAAGAACAGGTAATGTTTAAAAGATTTCATTTAAATCGCATCACATAGCTCATAGAATTTCTTTAAACTTTTATAGCCGCCTCCTTCGGTACCAGCGCGCTTCGAACAGCAGTTCCACCAGCCCGCACCTGCAACTGCACCCAATCAATTGGTGGGACATCCGCACTATTCACCTATATTGCACCAAAATCGAGTAAGCAAGTTTTTTTGATTGTTTTCTTAGCTCTTTACTAAATTCTGAACCGCATTTTAGCCTGCCACAAATGCATGCTATGGACCGCAAGTGCAGGAACAGATTGAACAGGTTGCAGTGCCTGCAACTTCCAACGAAGGCTATCCGCAGCAACAGGAGCAAGTTGAAGGGACCTTAACGGAAGTGGGTGGAGTGCGTTTACCGCGTAATTTTCATGCTTATGGACGAAACAATCACGAGACCTGGAAGCCAGCACTGACTTTAGAGGAGCCAGACGATCCTTCACGCGTCTGTCACTATGCCAAACAGTTGGTTTATCCGGCAGGAGCGGGCATCGAATATAGTCCAGAAGAACTGCTGGCACGCAAATATACCGAGCTGCTGGAGCAGCGGAAACAAGTAGCACAGGCGCAAGCGCCGCTACAGCCACTAAATGTTAAAGTACAAGAGCCTGCAGAACATGACCAGCAGCTGAAAAAAGAGCCTACTTACCAGGCTGGACAGCACCAGCAGCAACTATACAATTCCTATCAGACAGAGACATCATACTATATGACAGAAGTAGATGGCGAGCTGTACGCGCAAAACAATGACGTGCCAGAAGAGGGAAATTCTGATGGCGATGGTGAGGAGGAAGGTGAGGAGCCTGAGCAATCAGATGAAGAGTCGGATGGGGAGGGTTCCGAGCGACAAGACAATGGTTCAGAGCCCGTAAAGCAGGAGTACAGCAATGGCGTCGATGGAGGCATGCATTTTAGTGCAAAGACGACTTATGAGCAACAGAATCGCTCCATAAGAATCAAGTTTAAGAAGGAACGCACGTTAGAGAGTAGCACATACAGCGCTTATACAATCGAGAGCATTTACCATCAGCAGCAAGAGTTGCCTTCGCCGGCGCCAGAACCTGCGGCAGTGCCGGCGCCGGCGACCGCGCCAATACACAAGCATATCGCTTCACCCAAAATTGTCCAAGACTGGAGTGGAGCTAATGCAATGCCGCGTCAGCGAAACGGTAGCCATCATTTCCATCCTTATATGCTGGGACAGACCTCGACGCCGAAAAGTACAGCGAATGAGAGTCGGCGTGCGCGTGCCAAGGCGAAACTGGGCAAGTTTCAACGTGAACTGTGTAGCAACAGCAATTCGTCCTGCTCAGTACCGGACCAGGTGGCGAACGGTGTCGACGCAGGCCCCATCCATGCGGACTCTGAAGCTGCTGCAGCGCCCATACACAACGCTACCTTTAATGACAATGCCAATTTCTCGTTCTCCAGTGCCGGTGGTCATGACAATTCCAATAATTCGCTTGCGTTAGCCGTGGATGGCCTACACGTGCGCGATGCCTCACAATTGGCTTCCGTTGGCAACAATAAATCGCAACATGCTAACAATAACAACAATTTGACGACACAAAACGCAACGAATACCGCGGACTTTTCCACTTTTCAGGAGAATTCTTATTTTGCTACGCAACACGACTCGGAAGCACAGGAGCGTCGCCTGTCCAAGGCATTGGAGACAATTGAACGTCACCTGGAAAAAGCATCCATCGATCCGTTTAACAGCGAACTCTGTCGCGCCTTCTTGACTAAACTGAATTTTCCCGGAGACAACGATGAACATGCCAGCTACAAAGTGGTGCAAACGCTACTGCCAAAAATATCCAACACGCGTACCCTCAACGTTCTCGATAGCGTGCAGTTCAACATAGACAAGGAGGTGGGTCGTGGGTCTTATGGAGCCGTCTACAAGGCAACAGACACTCGCACCGGCAACGTTGTGGCTCTCAAATATCAGAAGCCGCCAAATACTTGGGAGATCTACATATGTGATCAGGTGAATATTGCTTTAAAGCAATCAATATATTTTATGCTTATACGAGATTTCGGTGTTCTTTGTAGGTGCTGCGACGCATACGGGATCCCCAAGTACTGCCAGGACTAATGGACATATCAACGGCGATTATAGCGCCGAATGCCAGTCTGATTGCCACTGAGTTCTCTCCTTTTGGCTCGCTGCTGGACATCAATAACAAGATACGTCAAGCCACAAGAAAGGTGATGCACGAGTCCCTCGTCATGCACTTCTCAGCACAGATATGCAACATTGTGGATCATTTGCATAAACAGCGCATCATACATGCGGACATTAAGCCGGATAATTTTCTGCTGATGCGTGTCCCAAGTGTCGACAGCGGTGAGCCTTCGCTGCGACTGATTGATTTTGGTTGCGCCATCGATCTGTCGCTCTTCCCGGGCGGAGAGCACACTAAATTCAGCAAAGTGGTGCAAACGGATGGCTTTACGTGCATCGAAATGCAGGAGGGACGCTCATGGTCATACGAGACGGATCTGTTCTGCATTGCCAGCACAGTGCACGTGATGCTCTTTGGCGAGTATATGCAACCGGAAAAGCGCGCTGCCGGCTGGGAGATACGTCAAAAGGTGCCGCGATATTTAAAGAAGCACGTGTGGTCGAAGTTCTTCTGTGACCTTCTAAATATGCAAGCCGATAAGCTCCCCCAGCTGCAGCAGATGCGCAATATCTTTGATGATGAATGCTGCCGCATGGACTCTGAACTACAGAAACAGATACGCACACTCTCTAACATTCTGCATCGCCGATAACCAATGAGCTTTTTCCTCATCAACATTACAATCATTAGAATCGTTACGTTCGGGCTAATTTCGATTTTGTTTTTTGGATATTCTGATAAATTTAAACCTTATTTTCTGTACGCCCACAAGGACAAATATGTGAACTCAGTTAAGAGAAGATGTGACTAGTACGTTTCTATTTCAAGTAAGATCTTTAGCATTGCCAACAAGATACTAGATAGACTCTAACTAACTAAAACGAATTTCTTTAACAACATATATGAGAAAGACACGCTCTAATCCATCTGAGCTGAGCATTCGATATTCTTTATAAAGGAAGCGTAGATTTCATTTAAACCTATAAAACAAAGAGAAAAAAGAAATGAAAAAGCTGAGCATACTATTATCATTATTTTTATATCTCCAAGAATCGGACGAAATTGTATTCGGGCAAACAAAACTATACCAAAAGATAAATAATTAATATAATTCAATATATAATTTTTGATTGTATTTCGGTTTCTTGTATCATATCATATACATAAATACTGTATATAAAGCCTAAAATACTTTCAATGAACTCCTAAATTCCTAAGGAGTCCGTGGCTTGCAATGAAAATTTGAAAATGTTGTATAACGTACTTATGAAACAGTTGATTTATTGCTTCTATAGCAAGTTCTATTCCTTGCATATTTAACATCTGGTAAGTTTCAGATCATGAAATATCCTTGCACAGGATATGGTCTGGGACACTAGTCAATTACGAACAACAACATGAAGCAGCAAAAGTAAAGGCATAACAACAAATTCTTATTAAACAAGACTATGCTGAATACATTTTATAAACGTTTTGAATTCAAATCCAAATTCAACTTTACATAGTTAACTCTAATTTTCATCATCGGACCACCAAAAACATCAAAATTTGCGTTCTATTCAATTTCATATTAATTGCTTAAGTAAATGTAAATACTTATAGAGCACAATGGAAAAGATCGTGCAAATAAAGAAACAAGTGAAAACAAAAAAAATACAATTAATAATTAGTAATTATGATTTTTGTATGTACAGAGAAGACAGCAGACAAACAAAAAAAAAACAGAACAAATTAAGTGTCTAACGCATTGTAAAGTAAATGAAATGTAATATTTAGTAATACGCAAACTTTAAATGATAGATAATAAATTGGAAAAATGTTAAACGAAAATAACAAACTATAAATTTTGGGGTGTTCTCGCCTAGGTACTACAATTTCCAATATATGCTTCATAAGTATGTTATTTGTGGTAACGGATATAAACGTACCGCAAGCCTGTACTGTATTCAAGCAATGGTACAGTGTACCTACTTTCGAAATATCCCCTTGACAATCAACACACTTACATTTATATTGTTCAATCACTTCATATGTTTTTGTTCTTACTTTAATCAATTGGTTATTTTAAATTAGTTTGTGTACATATTTTTAAAGCCAAAAATAAAATACTAAAAACTCAGATTAAATTTTTTCATTAGTTTCACTCATACAGGTAATTTTTCATTTGTTGGGTACACTTAAATGGTACAATACATTTTTGTCAGCTGGCAATGCTGTCTGAAAATTTAAATTTTACCGTTTGGAAACCCAAAATAATAGCAACAAAACGTAACAAGTAATCGGGAGCTATCGCTTTTGGTTCGATATAATAATGCATTCACACATAATAATGCATTCATACATATGTACATAGGCACACTATGTTATACCCTTGGATGCTGATTGTGAATGAGTATAGGTTACAAAAACAAAAACAAAAAGAAAAGAGAAAATTATCGTTGCAGCCTATTTTTGCAAATGCAAATGTCAGTAAAAAAAAAAAGAAAAAGAAAAACAAAAACAAAAACGGCAAACGGCAAACGAAATTCACAATTTGGCCTGCTTGGCAATTGTCAAGTAAGTGCCACAAAGCGCGCTGTGCAACAAGCACGACAGCCGTAGACGTTGCAATAGTGTGGCAACAATGCTGCGCTTGACCCACTTTTCCTTTTTGCCAACAGGCAACGGTAAACAATTTCCACCAACCAAGCGACTGGAAAAAGTTGCAACTTTTCATGCAACACACCAACACGTGTACACACACACACGAGCGCGCGTACACACACATTTTTGAACAACGACACAAAGTCAAAGTCGACGTCGCTGCTAACGCCGGTCTCTAATGCCGTGGCGTCCGCCATTGCCGTCGCCGTTGCAGTTGCCAACGATTTGCGGTTGCAGCAGTTGCATTCGTATTCGCATTCGCATTCGACTCTCGCCAAGTGAAAGTAAAGTGGGACAAATGTAATTATTATTGCTTCTAGTAACCGTAACCGAGTTAGAAGCCTCGATTGCGGTTGGAAAGTTGGCAACAACGTCGACATTAGCTTTTACACAATATTTTATTCAATCAAATTGCAAAGAGAAAATTGCAGCAATTGCTTGCAGCAGCAGCAGCAGCAGTGGCAGCGGCAACTGCATCAGGCAAATAATGCAACACGTAAACTTTCTATTTTTTGTGTGTCGGCTCCGACGTCAACTTTGATTGCAATTGCAGTAGTACACACACATACACACACACAGAGCGGCACAGTGCTTAGCATAAATGCACACATACATACATATTTGCATGCATTTATGTGCAAATACATGCATCTCTCTCTCTCTCTCTCTCACTGCCTGTGTGTGTAAATACAATTTAGCATTTGTTGTTTGCCGATTCGTGTTGCATGCATAAATTAATAAATGTGTCCCACATTTGCTTTCTGAGTTTGAGTGACAAATTAGGTTGCCTATGCGTGAAATTTCCATCTGCACGAGTATGTGTGTGTGTGCACGTGTTTCTTATGAATGTGTGTGTATGTGTCACACAGAATTGGGTTTCGAAAGTAAAGCAGTGCGCACAACAATTCGAGTTAGCTTAGACTAAATGAACTGCAATCGCGCACATTGCAATCAATAAATCTTAGAAATTGATAGCATTATTGATAAGAATTAAAATTGATGACTCGTAGTTACAACAAACTTCAACTCTGCACATATTCATGTATGTGTAAATATGTGTGTGTATGTTGACTTTTACTAATTTACTATTTGCTGGCCAATTTCCTAATGGGTGGGCAAAGCAGCTACAGTTTTTACAGTTACAAAGAGCGTTTGCTAACAGTTCCTGGAGAATTTGTTCTCTTGTGAGCGACTGTGTAGCTACTCTTTAAGATTCGTTTTTTCTAATTATATTATATTACAGTTTACTTAATGTTTATGTTTTTTTTTATATAAAATTAAGCTTTCTGTGTTGAAAAATATAAAAGGATATTGAAAAATGAAAGGAAACTTTTAAAATTAACTACAGTCGAATCTCCAATTGACGAACTGTACACTGATTTAAGTAACCATGTCCAACTAATAGATTCTTCGACTAAATTCAACTGTCTCTTAGCTTAAATTTCACTGTAGACAAATAATCCGATAATCTGATATAAAAAATAATCCGATTCAAGCTACTTTTCCACTTCTATTGCTATCAGTAAGTTATTAGTTAATGTTAGACATTATTCATATTTGTCTGATTTACTTTGAAATTTATTTGATATGAATTTAAAGGAATTGAAAAGAGTTTATTATAGTTGATTTAGTTTCAATGGTATCTAGTAAAACTATACTCCCATTACATTATATAATGCGTTCTGGACTAAAATTACGGTGTAAGTCAATACGAAAGTGTTTATTTCCCATAATCTTGTTGCTAATTAAATGAGGATCTTCGTCTTTAGAATGAGAAACAAAAATTAGCTATAGTGCTCTGATTGGAAATTCCCAACTAGAAGATACCTTGAGCCCTGGGCAAAGCTGTTGTTACTATAATTTGGGTTTTTTTCAAAATTTATTTAAAATTATTTCTTATTCAGGTATAAAGATAGTATCAAAAATACTCAAGAGTATATATCTAAATTTTTAATTCCCTAATTATCAATTCCCTCTTGGGACCGGCTAAGTTGACTTGCCTTTTGATCTTGATCTGGAATATATATATAACCTGATTACCGATTCTCACGGTATAAAAAACACCATTAAAACACACCCACATATAATTTTAAAATTGGCTTCTTAAACATTTTCTGTGTTAAAAATCATCGAATCACCCATTTGCTTAGGCTTAGCCTTAAAACACACACACAAATATAGATTTAGTCGCCATTACCTGTGTTGGCCTTTTTGAATGTCATGACCAACTTAGCGGCTTGGCCGTTTTCCCCATCTTCTTCTTCTTCTTCATCAACATTTTCCCGCTTAGCTGCTCGTGGCATGAATTGTAATTGTGCAACAAAATGCACTGAGCAAATTGTGGCGGCAAAGCAAAAACTGGGCAAATAGTTAAGTAATTTACAGTGAAAAGCGGCATTTAGTTGGCATTGGAGAAATTTGATTTGCTGAGCCGTGTAACAATTGAAAATTGGCATAAGTATATATGTAATATAACAGCAATCGGGGCAGTAAGAGCCCAATGTGTTAAGTATCTCTATCAGGACTTTGGGCTTTTTAGGAATATTCAAGAGACAGATTAGATCTAGATAATATAAGTTAAGTGTTCTTAAATTATGCGTTACAGCTTTCGTGAAAGTCGAGATGTTTCTCGAAGGTTCCTTCATATCCGGTGTGAGAGAGTTTCCAATGTTGCATGGGCGAACACGTTGAACTTGCTTAATTTCATGCTATTGCATCTATTGAGTCAACGACCAAGTAGCATTCTCGAAGTAATGTGGCTTTCGTGACGTGGCAGGGTTCGTCGGCTCGCAGAGTTACAAAGCTATATAGAGGACACTGGCCGCGTCGCCGTCTGATGAACCTCGCTCATGCCACAAGCTGAAGCTTCCGTCGTCGACGAACCCAACCTAAAAGTGAAAGGTTATTATAACAAAAAGAAAAAAGGAGCAGCCGCGGCAAATGTCTGGGCTAAGTCTAATAACCTCTCCCTTTCGACGAGCAGGGGTAGACGACGCGCACCTCGAGAACAACAACAACGACGACGATGTCGGCAACGACAAGGACAAGGACAACACCCCCAGCTGGGGTGACAGCATATCTTACTGTCCCTTCTATGAAGCAATATGGATGTTTGTGTGTGTGCACAAAACTAATAAAATTTTCAGTCTGCGCTCTTCATTATATATGTATGTGTGTACGGTTGTCAGATTCTAATGCAGCTTCACTAATAGCGCGAATCACCTATCTGTCGTATGCTGTCTATTACTGCAGAATAAAGCTTCGGAATATTCTCGATCATGCATATCGAAGAAAGAAGAGAGATTTCTTAACAAATCCTAGTATAATTTCAATAAAATTTAAAGAAAATTTGGTATTATTTTATTCCTTAAAGCATTATCCAAAATTTGTTAGACAAAATTATTTTAATAACCGCATGAAAATCTTTGTTTGGTGTTCACGTTCA